ATAAAATCCTACGTTTAAATATTTGGTTCAAGAATGAAACACGTTGTTGAATTATTTTCATTTAAAGTAAAAGAAAGTCTTGGAATCGGAGTGCAAGTGGATCCGTGGCGCAATGGTAGCGCGTCTGACTCCAGATCAGAAGGTTGCGTGTTCGATTCACGTCGGGTTCAACTTTCGTTTTTCCTTTGGGTTATTTATTTTTAAAAAAATTGCTTAAAAGAAAAATAAATAAATGTCTGAGCCCGGGTTCGAACCGGGGACCTTTAGTGTGTGAGACTAACGTGATAACCAACTACACCACCCAGACGTCAGGCTTGTTGAAATTTGTTTCTCTTTCTATTTGAACAAGTTCGTTTTCCGCGTTAAAATAATATAAATTAGTTACTAGATGAGCAATTATTACAATAGTAAGTTTTAAAGATGTCAGAGATGCTTTTCGAACATATTTGGTGTGTTCGTAAATTAAAGAGTTAGATGTTAATAAAAAGATATAAAATAATTCAATTCCTAGTAATGATTGATGAGAGATAATTAAAAATTAATTTAATGTATAGTTCGAATTAAAAAGAGAGAGAGAGAGAGATAAATTGCTTGGAGGGTGATAATATAAACCCCACCCCCCAAACCCTTTGATGATTAACCCCCTAAAAAAAATAAAAAATAAAAAATAAAAAGTACCAAACAAAGGATGATATTTAACTTCCTTCAACCTCCTATCAAACACATCCTTGTAGTTACTAGTTGCAACAGACAAGGAAAAGAAATTGCGTGCCACGCTGAAAAATGATCCTTTATTGTTGTCCGATTTGCTTACTTGGCATGCAAAATCCCTCACGTACCTTAATATATACAATTCAAATCAATTGAATCCCATTTCAATTTCAAGGGATTAGTCTAGTGATTAATGAAGTATGTTTTTTTTTTCCTTTGATTTTCTTGATTCAAACCTTATGATTAATATTTAAAAGAATTTATTAATTTTTTTCTAAGTACATCAAGTCAACGTGAACGATATGTTTTTAAAATCGTCTGAAAAAAATAATTTTAATAGATACGTAAATTCAAAAATGTTTATTATTTAAAAAAAAAAAGAAATTGAATTTTAGTTTCAAGAGAATAATATCATTAACATATATGAATTATTTTCTTTTATTTTACCCTAGAGTTTTTTATTTTATGAGAAACTAGATTTTTTTATCTGCGCTATGTTACGGGTAGAATAAAATATATAAATTCATTTTAATTTGATAATCTATTTTATGGTGTAAATGTATAAAAATATATGAAATCAAAGGCGAAAAAAATATTTTAAATTTTTAATGTAATTTGAAATTCAATTAATGAGAATTTTTAAAAAATGACAAATTAAAATAGTAAATTTTAAATAATAAAAATAATCAATAAAAAATGCTAAAACAAAATGGGATCAAACCACAATATAATTGAAGTTTGAAATAAAAAAAAATATATTGTATAAAAAAATTAAGGAATAATATTAAAATAAATGAAAACTATCATTAAATTTAATTTTAAATTAATTAAATGAGAATTTGAAAAAAAAGGGGCAAATTTAAGTTATAGATTTTAAATAATAAAAATAATGAAAAAATTAAAAAAAAAAGGGATAAATCACAATACAATTAAATTTTAATTTTTTTAAAAAAAAATGTATAGAAAATATATATAAAAAGAAAAAAAAAGACACACACACACCTAATACACACATAATTTATTGTATAAATTATAATAATATATTTTAAAAAATAAAACACCGACATTCTAAAATTTAATTCAAAATTCATATATTAAAAAAATAAATTTATTAACAAATAAAATCATCTAAAAATTAATTTGATATGAATTTTAATAAGAAATAAATAATTTAAAAAATAAAATTAATATAATTAGATACTCTCTCTCTCTCTCTCTCTCTCTCTCTCTCTCTCTCTCTCTCTCTCTCTCTCTCTCTCTCTCTCTCTCTATCATATATATATATATATATATATATATATATATATATATACCTAGTTGCAAGCCAACCAGGACACTTGCTTGGTTGGCTTGTGCAACCGAGTTGCAAAAGAAAATTGAGGGAGGCCGGGCGTTAGCTTGTGCGAGTAGGCCCGTGCGTCGGGTTGCTCGTCAAAAAAAAAAATCTTGCAACTTTCGACGAATCCGAGGTCGTCGGAAGTTCATCGAAAAATCGATGATCAACTTTTAGACCCTCGTAAATTGAATTTCGGTATCATTTTTTTTTCAAATACCTCTAAATGATTGGAATAAAGTCAATAAACATATCTAAAACTTTAAAAATCGTTTTAATATGCACAAAAACAAAGAAAAATACAAAATCAAATCGGATTTTTTTTCTTTTTTGGCTCCAATCTACTTACTCTAATTGTTTAATGGCTTGAAACAACTATGGACAAACTCATCTCTCAAAGAGAAAAAAATTCAGTGGATTTTTGTCGACCGAGTGGTCTAAATGAGCTTGGCCGGCAATCTCTCTCTCTCTTTCTCTCTTCCTCTCAATCTTCTCTCTCCACCCAAGGACCAAAATAGATGAGGAAATAAACATTTGGATCGAAATGTGAGTTCGAAAATATCGAGAGATCAAGGTGTTAAAAAAATTCATTCACGGTAAAAGTAACAATAAATTACGAGATGGTGAATAGTGAAATGTGATTGCTTGTACGAGTGTTTCAAATAGTGTAGCTACAATGTTTGGATGTTTTACTTTAATTTATTAGTTAATGTTCAGATTTCAACCAAATCATTTAAATTCCGCAACATACACCTTTTAGTGACTCGATTGACGTTATCGTCTTTTTTATAAATAGATTAATCTCATTGGTTAAAGGATAAAAGCAGGAATTAATCCTGCTGTAAAGCAACAAAAATAATGATTATATACACAAATGATTTGGATTTCTGATCAAGTTTCACAATAATACTAATAATTTCTTATGAAATAATGAACTGAGCTTGGTTGTACGTTCTTGTTGCTGCTTTTGTTATATATTTATATGCAAAACCATATTGAATAATATGAGCATTTATACAAACTATGCTTTGTATGTATTGTGGACAAAATTCATTTTCTCTCCAAAAGTTTTTGATCAATTAACTTCCCAATATTGCAAGAGGAAAAAAAATCATCATCTCCACTTTTCACTTTAAACGTTGATGAGTAGAACAGTAGATGAAGGATTTTAGTTAAGATTGTAGAAAACATTTATGAAATCTAATTCAAATCATATTTATAATTTATTTTTCTTAACAGAGTAAACCCTTTTGATGACATGCTTGCTCATCGGCAACATTTCTTTTAACGAGTACATGTATTAAAGTTAAGTGATTAGTAATATAAAGTATATATAGAGCTTAATTTTTTAAATTGATTTTTTTAACTCGTGAGTCTCTTTAATTTTAAGTTTAAAGAATATTTGTTTGAAAAAGTATGTTAAAAGAGTGATATAAATTATATTTTGAGATTTTACCTGATAGTTTAATTTTTTAGATTTAGATTATTATTTGATAATTAGCACGCAGTAAGTTTTCCTTTTAAGAATCATCATCAATAGGCAATCTTTGGTAGTGTGAGAGTGTGCTTTTTGTTTAGGAGAGTACATGTATGTTGCTGCACCAATGGGAGATAGATTTTTAACATTGTGCTTTTTATGCTAAAAAAGATAAAATCAAGAATTTTAAGCATATAACTTAACTTTTAGTAACTTCAGTACTTCTATATGCATCATTTTATAATTTAAGTCTGAGCGCCTGAGCCTCGAAGGAGGACTGAGACTTGGAGACTCGACACTGTACCACCCGCTGGCCGCTTCAATGTGCAATGGCAAACAGGCGGTGCAGATTCGTTGTGGTGTATATTTCAAAAATCAGAACTTTTGAACCAGGTAATGTGATTGTCACGTTATATACGTCACTTGTTATAATTATTTTGCTAACAGCATTCATCATATGGATCCGTGGCGCAATGGTAGCGCGTCTGACTCCAGATCAGAAGGTTGCGTGTTCGATTCACGTCGGGTTCAATCATTGTTTTTCCCGTCTTTTTTTGAAAAAAATATTGCGAAAAATGTGAAAAGAAATCCTACGGGGGTTCAAAAATGTCTGAGCCCGGGTTCGAACCGGGGACCTCTAGTGTGTGAGACTAGCGTGATAACCAACTACACCACCCAGACTTGGTGTGGCTTTCGCATTTTAATTATAAATCGTATATGTGCTTCAACATCAGCCTACCGTTAACCTAAACCGGGCAAAGGGTCAAAGTCAAATCATACATTTCCTCTTAAGATGTTCAGCAACATGAATCATTTCCTTCATCCATCTCGCCCTAGCAAAGTCTTCGTTCAAAGTGAGGTGTTTAGATGTGTTGCACTTTTTTTAATATTTTCAACAAAATCATCCGAATTTTGCTGCATACCTTCATACCCCAAATGGTGAAGGAGCCTAAGGAGCTCTGCCGATAAACAGATTTACCAAGAAATGACTAGCCACGGTGAAATTGCATATCACACGCATTCTTTACAGAGATAACCTAATGTTCCTTTTTTCCACCAGAAGCACCAAAGACAGCCTAGCCTTGTGGCTTTTGTCGAAGACCTATCCACACCATAAATATTCTAGCAAACAAAAAGTACGGGGAACGGAAATTATTAGAGAAATAAGAGCAAGCACTATGATTCAAGACAAGATATAAGACTTTATTACATGACCGCGTTACAAAGAGTACACAAACGGTATTTTATATGCCACTTGAAAGGGTGACAACATATCACAGAAGAGCAGAAGCACTCCTCTCTAAGAGTGCTAACATAACGGGACACATGCATGCAGATGGATTTTAGGCTAACATTACATATTCCTGACCGTCAAATCCTCCATATAGAAACTTTGTCCTCCATTGGTTTACAGTCACTTTCACTTTCACAGCCAACCAGCACAGCATTCTAACTACCCACCCCTTCATCAGTAAGCATTCACATTGCATATACTATCTCTCCACTGCTATCAAGGTCAAGCTCAGGATCACTCTCCAGGTCCTCGTCCATTTCATCATCAATGTCCAGGCTGCCAGTCAAAATTTGGTTTAGACTAGGGGTGCCAGCTGCGGGTATGGTGGCATCAGTTATTATTTGCATTATCTCATCAATGCTCTGCATTGGTTGATCGGGTTCCTCAAACTGGCTATTCATCGTATTTTCCACCATGAGATCTGCTGGGAGATTCTTTAGAAACCACTCATGATTCCGAATCTCGGGAATGGTTATCCTCTGTTGCAAAAAGGTATTCAAATTATAAACTTTACCAACAAATAGTCAATAATAGAGACATGAAGAGAGGGAGGGATAAAGGAGTTGGGACAAGATGTTGGTGAAGCAAAATAGTGCATGTAGGAGGAAGAGAAGGCCATATATACACACGCGCGCGCGCGCGCGAGCGCACATTTGACATAAAATAAGCAATCAAAACAATGTTTTTTGAGATGGCAAACTGATTATCATTGGAAAAATGTTAACAGAATCTAATTTCAGGAATCAAGAAAGAGCATACTGACCTTTGCGGGGTCTGCAACAAAAATTCTCGAGATTAGATGTCGGCATTCAGGAGATATATGAACATAGTCAGGAATTGAATACTGGACATTCAAAATTCGCTGCAAGAAAGAACAAGGGTTGGTCAAGGGTCTCAGCAAAGCTCCCATACTTAGCTAAGAAGCGAGGTGATGGATTACGTGGATTGTCTTGCGAAAATTCTTAGGCTCATCAGGGTCCTCGAAAGGGTACGCTCCCACCAGCATAACATATAAAGTTACCCCACAAGACCATACATCTGCAATCTGGATGAAAGAATTAACTGCAAAACATCAGTATGACATTGAGTTGTAATGTACACATGTTGTAGTTCAAAAATGGCAGCAGCGATATTACAAGACTAATTTATAGGGTCCTGGTTCACATGTGTTTGGTTTTGAGGTTGCTTTTCAGGCTCCTTTGGCAGTGAACTGGGTTGTTTGAAAAAGCCACCTAAAAACCAAGCACAGTTGAAGGCAGCTGCTCCATCCATACAGCCATAAGTGGTCCATATATTTATGGAGCATAATCAAGAAATAAGTTATTGCAAGATATTAATTTCGACTGGTAAAAATGACTCATTTATATAATCTCCTCCCTTACCACATGCATAATTCAAATGCGAGGGGGGGGGGTGGAAACCCTAACAAACAATAACTTGAAAGATGAACAACCGAGGTTATACATGTAAGCTTGACAAAATTTTAACTCCATGAGTTCATTATATTGAATCAAGTAAAAAAGCAGTAATCCTACCTTGCCATCATATTCCTTCTTAAGTAACACTTCAGGAGCAATATAGGCAGGAGTTCCAACAGTAGATTTTGGTTGTGAGTGCAGAACAGATGACTGTTAAAAGCAGATAAAGACAATATACAACTATGTCAGCAATTGATGATGATGACCCAAAAAAGGTAGTAATAAATAAAAGCAGCAGATGAAGAGAAAATCAGTTTCTATTCGTCACGATTGAGCTAATATACCATACGTAAAGAGTGGATAATTCCAATAAGATCCATTGTTCACTCAACAGGAAAAACCTTTACAAATGTTCATCCATGATCCTATAGGCTTCCAGTGTATGATCTTATGGGTTTTGTTTCAACCATAAGAGCATAAACACATAAGGATTCTTGTACCTTAGAGTAACCGAAATCACAAATCTTCAAACGAGGTGCTGGGCTTCCATCCAACAACGTATTCTCCAATTTCAAGTCACGGTGGCATACTTGCTTCACAAAGGAATAAATTAAAACACATTAAAACCCCGCATACTTTTTGCTAAAGTAAGAATAATAAGCAAAGGCAGAATATATGATTTACTAACCATTGCGTGGCAGTAGCTAACCCCTGATATAAGTTGTTGAAAGAAAAAGCGTGCCTGCATCACAAGGCAGCATGCATTAAAAAAAAAAAATCAGGAGCACTAAAACATATCAATACGCTGGGTGAGAACCTCATCCTCGCTGAAGCGACCAGCATTGCATATGCGCTCAAAGAGTTCTCCACCAGATGCATATTCCATCACAATTGCCAGATGAGTTGGGGTTAATATAACCTATAGTTGTGTGGTTGAGTTAGTGAATAAAAAGTAGTAAAGTACATCTTCGGGAAGGGGAAAAAAAGTTGTAGGAATTGGCAGACCTCTTTGAATCTGACAATGTTGGGATGCCTAAGAGACCTGTGGTTAATGATTTCCCTTTGAACATTTTCATCTATCTGTTACACAGAAAATAATTTAAGGTTAATTTATCTATTGCTACATACCAAGTACAAAGAGTGCCTGTATCACACCCGGAAATGCTGAGACCACAATCAATAACTAGGATTCGTCAGAACAGGCTCTACTTTAAATTAGTTGCAAGAATACAAACTAAACATGAATGGCCGATTTCAATAAACCTAGTTCCCAAGACTCGCAAGTTACTTCATTTGAAAACGAACATTCAAATTCTTTATATTTCTTTCCTGGCAAATTACTAAACCTGTAGCCATGCACACAGCAAAAATTCATAGTTATATAAAGGTTTTGCAAATCGCGGGTTTTCTTAATTCGAAACTTATGCCCCATACTTATAGTCTGTCATCGTTCTGTCAAGTTGTGCTTTCGCTTCTAATTTTTACCCCCGTATTGATCCCACTCGTAACAAAATTCGTCGGAACAGGCATCCTATAAGCAAAATCAGCATAAACATTTGATCAACCAAAACCAAAAATTCAAATAAACACGAAACAGCTATACCCTGTAAACCTAGAAAAATCTATAGTTAAAGAAGCTCAGTTCAAGTATAGAAATAAAACAAAACAACTAATTAGACACTTAAGTAAAACGAAACGAAACAAACTGATTCAAACCAAAGAAATACATAAATCAACCCTCAAGCACGCACAAGCAAACATAAATGATAAATCAATCAATAAACCACTAAATTAATAACTTCCCATTAAGCTCTAACTGGAAACAAACTCAACCAAGCTCAAAATCCCATAACAATTTTCTTTGAAAAAAAAGTCAAAAAATTTGACAAGAAAAAAACACTAGTACTAACCTTCTCACCTCTCTCGATATACTTAACCGCAACAAGTTCATCAGTCGTTTTGTCCCTCATCAACCTAGCCACCCCAAAATTCCCTGACCCAATATCTCTCACTAACTCATACCGGTCTCCATCGTGCATAATCGGCAAGTCCATTCCCGGTCCCACTGTCATCGCTGATCGATCCATTTCTCCTTCTAACTCGCTCTACTTAAATATAGCTCTCAAAAACCAAGAATCGACAAGAAGAAAAAAAATAAAAATAAAAAGAAGGCTCAATCAATAACTCACATTATCAGAAAAACTTTCGAGAGAGATCGAAATAGAACTATACGTGGACCGAAAAGATTGGATTTTTAAACAAAAAACACGTGAAAACCTCACCAACCCTTTGTGGGTTTTGATTAGAGAATTGGAGTTGCAGAGATATAATAGAGAAAGATAGAGGAAGAGAGAGAGAGAGAGCTCGTGATAAAGTTTGCTTTTTTATTATTGATTTTCCTTTTTACTCTCACCAAAAACTAACTCTTTACGCTTTCTTTCTTTCCTTCTATCTATAAGCAAAAGAAAAACACAGAGACGAAGACAGAGTTTTGTGCCTTTCACTTAGCTTTTCCTTTTTTTCCCTTTCCTTTTGCCTTTGAGTTTGAGTTGTGTTTTATCCAAAACCGTTGAGGGAAAAAGAAAGGAAAAAAGGAGTTTGAGATATTTTTACTATGTGTGAGATTTTTTTATTTTCTTTTCTCCTTCTTGGACGATGATTTTTGTTGTCTAAAAGTTAGGGAAGTTAATTTTTTTGGTGCTGTAATTACATGAATGTACATGTTGCTTTGACGAGTTAAGGCTGTTTTATGGGTTTGGCCAGAATGGTGATGGTAATGAAATGACAGTTATGGGTTTGCAGTTTGGATAAGGTTTAACTTCACAAGTCACGAGGACGGGGGAGGAACTTTCTGTTTCCGTGGATTCAGAGGAAATGATTCGATGTGGGGAGGAAAAGAGTTACAAGTGTGGACTCTTCTTCTTTCTTTCTTGTCTCACATGCTTTCTACTCAAAGTTTGAGCATCTTGGAATCAATTCTAAGTAGAATTGAATTTTGTGTTCAATTCTCTTGTTTGATGCTATAAATTTATAATGGTCAATTGAGAAGCTAGGAAATTTAAAAGATTAGGAATAAAATATAAAAGTTCCTAAATAAATTGGAATTTAGAATTTGAAATTTCTACTTGATAAGTTTAAATAATAGAAAGTGAGGGTTTAAATTTCAGAAAGATCTAGTTTTATTGTTAAATTACGAAGTATTGGAATATAATTTGTTAAGCATTATGAGTAGAGACTAGAGAGCCACCATTTTGGACCAAAAAAAGAAAAAGCAATGTGATTTATGAAGCATGGGACGATCACTGTACACATAGATAAACGAGTAACATTATAGAATGAAATTGTTCGACAGAAGAGTACTACCAGTTGGTGCCTGGACAACTATCGCTACAAAATTTGAGATAGCTTTTAGTTTTAATGTAAAGGTAATGTTTGGTAGTGGTGCAACTGTGCTGTGTCTGATCTTCACGGTCAACTGAATGAAATCACTTCCTCGACAATTTTTTATGCAGAACAGTTTTAATTAGGTAAGTTTGTGAAGTGGTCGTGATCCTTTCATAATTAGATGGCTTTTAATCCAGATTTATTTTATAGTTGATGTAACTAATTATATGTTGAATTAATAGAGAACACATGTAAAACAAGCCATTTCTAATGTTTGAAAGACTTTTCCATCAGTAAATTAGCCTATAAAGAGAAGTGTTTGGACTGGGTAATATTATGCCAGACTTCGAAGGAGCCCCATGTGGTTGGTCATGTTCTGCGACGTCAAAACTTAATAGCTGATAGGCTAGTTAGTATAAATCATATTCATAGGAATAAAATTATGTTTACATGTTATGATGATTTGCCTAAATATATTCGGAATGCAATTAAATTTGATAGAATTAGTATTTGTACTATTATAGAAAATAACATTTTTTGTACTATTACGTGCTTAGGGAGTAAGCCTTCTTGTCTTTCCTACTATGTCATGGGATTGGGATGATTGTCCTCCTTGAACTTAATTTTTTTATTTAATAAAATTATAAAGATTGTCGTCTATTTTTTTTTTTTTTTAACACAAAGAAAGAAAGGAAGAAGTGTTTTAGAGTGACTAAAGTTAATTGTATTTAACTTTTAGTAGTAAAATATATGTAATGTTATATTGGTTTTTGAGTTGAGAAAACAGAACCTATGACATTTGATATGTTAATTTTTATATAAATAGTAATGTGATCAATTTGTATAAAATGAAAAGTAGAGTAGTCTTTTCTTTTATATTTAGTAGCTCCTAACATCTATTTAAAAGTCTAGATTTTCTTTAAATGAATTTCATGTTTTCATTAAATATATGTTTTTTTTATCTAAAAAATAAAAGTAGTTCTTTTCATGTTCAAACTATCTGTTCATATTTATTGTCTGAACTTTATTTAGTTATAAAGCTCGTTGATTATTGGTCTAGATTATCCTGTTTATATTGAAGTTTTTGTTTAGATAATCTATGAATAGAGTAGAAAAATACAAGTCATAATCGTGATCATGTGGTTATATCTGTATGCATATCCAATCAAGCAATCTGAAGGTCCAGCTTGAAGCAAAATAATTGGAAGGCAGCTAGCTACACCGAATTGGTTTGCAATCCTATCATATTCGTACTCGAAGATAAACATGCCATCTTAATTATATGGTGGGCACGAATTAAACTCTAATGGTGTGGGAGACGGACAAGCATGTAATTTTTGCTGAAGCAATTCCTGGGAGTGGAGTGTAGGAAGGGTTACATGAATTCAAACTATTTGTTGATATTTTTACCATGGATGAATGAGAAGATTGTTTTAGTAGAAGGATCCATTGATGGACTTGTTTGTAGTCTAAAACTACAAATAAAAGCATAAAAAAGGATCTAATTCATTGCCCTTGAAAGCGAGACTGTTAAGTATGATTATAACTAATAGTTTTATAGTCAATAATTCAGGCATAAAAAACTGCTGGTGTTTCGGTCGTATGACTAATCTGCAAAATTATAGGTTGCTGTCCATTTCATGCTTAGTGGCGTTTAAGGGAGCACGTTTCGGAATCCTGTTTCCGACAAGTATGCAAGTAGCCAATTATTGGGCATGCTGGAAAGTAGAAAGTGTTTGCCTTGTGGCTAGGGAAGCTAGCTACCTCGTCTTTGTACGAAAGTAAACGTGTGGTTTCCGTTGAGATCTATATATACAAAAGCAAACACTAACATCCACAAAAATGAAAAACCTGCCTGCCCTTTTCTGTCCAGGGATTTTGATCATTATCAACCTCTGACTGTTGGGCTTAGCTAGGATGGGAAAATCAACGAGAAGTGGTCACGTATTTGACATCTTACCTGTATTCAATATGGAGGCTACTTGTATTGATGTTCGCATTGGATTTTTCCCTCTGTTATTTTGTTAATTTCTAATGAAGAATATATATGTGTGTGTGTTAAAACTTTGGTGAATTGAAAAAAAAAAAAAAAAAAAACTTGGATTTAATTGTATTCTCATTATGTCCACGTGTAAAAAGATATAAATTAATAGATTGAGTATTCTTTGATTGGTTGCTACAGAATGGGAAAGACTTCCATCTTTCCTGTTTCGGATCAGGGAAAAAAATATATCTTTTTACATATCTAAAGAAGTCGCACTTTTTTTCTTCTTCTTACAAACATAGACATTAATATTTAGCTTAATAGATTAATAAATTTAGTACTTTTTTGATTGCTTGATAAAAAATAGAAAAGATTTCTATCTATATAAAAAACAAATATACGATCTTTCCTATTATTAGGATTAGATAAAAAAAAAAAAAATCTTTTTACACGTCTACTTTACAGATAAGTGACACTTTCTTTTGTTTTTTGCTTTTTTTTTTTTTTTTCATCTTACAGATAAGAGAGGAGCTTTCTCTCTGTCTCTCTTTCTTTTTCTTTTTCTTTTTTTCTTTTTTATAGTTTTATTCATGTACATTGATAAAAAATTTACCTAAGCATTAGCTCGCTTATCACTGAGCCAACAATTTATTGGTTTTTTTTTTTTTTTATAAACATATGCATTATTATTTAGTTAAATTTACATAAAACAGAGAAAGATGCTTCTTTAATTTTCTTTCTTTTTTCCCTCTTCAGTGTAACTTGAAAGTTATCATCAAATGTTTACTTAAACTTTGAATAATAGACATTTTCTCTTTACTTTCTATTTAAAATAAAAGAGTTGAGTCAGCAATAAATAAAAAATTAAATTAAATCTGAATGTATTCTTTAAAAGAATATTAAATTTTATGCATAATAATAAAAATTATAAATATGCTTAAATGACCCTTCTCGTCCTTTAATTGTATTAATTGTTTTAATGATATATAATCTTGTGTTAAAAGATTTTCCATAGATCCTTGCATAGTAGAAAATTACAATTAACTTTTCATTTATCAAAACCTTATCAATTTTTTGTAACCTTGAGGTATGTTTTCTCTTAATTAATTTATTCACCAAAAAATCTACTTTAATTGGCAACGTGAAAAAATAAAATCACCAAAATATCATATCTCAATTTAAAAGAGTAGTGTTTTATTTCATTTCAATTTTATTTTTATTTGTATTGACAAAGAATCACTTCTTTATTCCTAATAAATCTAACTCTTTTTCCATGAAGAATTGCATAAAAACCATTTTATTGTGACTTTGAAATAGATAAATTAAACAAATGGTATAGTAGTTGAGATAAAAAAGGAAAAAACAAGACAATATAAGGATTAAATTATATTTATCGATGTTAGACAACATATCTCACATTAAATAGTTAAACAAAAAATAAGCAATATATTCAGTTGAAAAAACACCACCTACCATAAATATTTAAATCTTTTAAATAAAATCTAATTTCAATAATCTAACTTTATATGGTAGCAATATTTTTTAAAAAACCCAACAAGTTCAACAAATATCTTATGGTCCAAACCACTTGATAGACTTTAAAAGATGAAATGCAAATGAAATATAGCATTAGAAAATATATCCCACAAACTACATCTATAATCGGGTTAGAATATTTAATTAAGACTTTCATCAAATATAAATCGTCAAAGTGCACGTGTTATTATGACTGTCAAATAATGAAATTAGATAAACCTTTTGTTATGAACAAAAATGATGGTAGGAAATTAAATTTCACTAATCAAGATTGGTTTGGACTATTTAATATAAGTTTAATCAAACTACACCACGAATCCAATTTTTAAAACAGAGCATTATATATTAATTAATAACTTATCAAATTATTAAAAATATTTATTTTAAAGAAAATAACCAAAAATACTCTTCAAAAAAATAAAAATCAAATACTATATTTTATTTTTTATTGCATTTATGCAATATACTGATAATAAATTTTAATTTCTTTTTTTATTATCGCCTCAGTTTTAATTTTTTTCTAAAGTAATCCCTACATGAACTAGTGATGTTGTATGTGTCTAAATAAATGTTGCAATATTGTATCATAATTACAGTTACAGTGACCACCAAGGAACGTGGTCTAACCAATCCTTACTGCCAATAGATACCTAGTTATAATTATTCATTAGTGATATTAGATTTAGGCTCATTTGATCTAAGTTGCTTAAAAAATAATAGATTTAGTTTTGATTGATACAAAAACTGAATTAAAAATACCTCATTACCTATATATATATATATGGTGATCACAACAATGATTTTGATAATAGTGTGACAAAAATGATGTTAGTCATGATCCTAGTTATAAGATTATAGTAGTAAAATGGTTTTAGTGTTGTCATAATATTGGTTGAAGGGGGCGATAATAATGATTGAAGAAGTGACCGTATATTGGCGTTCGAACATAGAAAATAAAAATATAAAATAATAATGGTTGAAGAAGTGGCCTTATATTGGTGTTTGAACATAGAAAATAAAAATATAAAACTGGTTTATGTTTTTTTTTTTTAATTTATGCTCAAGTTTTTAATATTGTTTGCATAAAAAATGCAACGGTTTATCTTTTGTGTTTTTCTAATAACAATAATAACTTTGATAATGGTGTGACGTGAATGGTATTAATTGTTGTCATATCGATAGTTGTATAGTGTTGAGCTGGTGGTAATGCTACCAAAATTTTGGTTGCAGTAGTGATTATAATAATGAAGATGATGCAGTGATGATAAGGTGGCCATGTCAAAGAAGAAAAATTTGAAAAATTTTAAACTGTTTCTTAATTTTTGAATTTTTGTTGAATTTTTTTATATTATTCATTTTTAATTTTCATAATATTAAATGGCGTTTATTGTAAAATGATGATCAACAATCAAATTTGATTTTCATGAAATTATAAAAAAATATAACATGTAAGTTTAAACTTAAACTTTGATAAAAAAGATCAGCATGATTGGATGAAAGGAATGAAACTTAGCTTGATTTTTATAATTCAAGGGTTCAATTGCATATTTTGAAACGTAAATAATAAAATGCATTTGAGATCAAAACTTTATATATAAAAATAATTCTAACTTCCTTAAATGTTTTTCTGTAGGAAAAAAATTAGAATTCTCTTCAAACATATAATAATTTCAAAACAATATATGTAGTTTAGTTTTTTTTTAGTTAACAAAACAATCACAATTTTTCAATAAAATAGTCAAAATAATAGATACAAAATTTGATAAAAACTTCTACCATGTATAATTATTATAAAAATAAAAATTTCAATATCTTCAATTACACTTAACAATGTAAAGTTTAATTCAATTAATTATCCAATTTGTATTTTAATCATATAATTAATATTAATAGAATATGAATCAATCAAGTTATCATGCAGTACAACAAAAGTTGGATGAAAATTAAATAAAAAAGTCGAAGATGTAGGGGCTTAATTACCTAAATTTGAAGGTTGAGGACCAAAATGAAAATAAGCAGATTAACGTGGCGGAGAAAGAAGCGCGTGAGGGCTCTATGGTGATTGGAATCAGTTGTTTTAGCCTTTTTGGTGGTGCTGGAATCTTTACGTCGTGGCGATTTCAACGGTCCAGGGCGTGTCGAAAATCGGCGACCTGATGAGGGATGACGACATTTTCTTTTTTCGGCCTTTTATCCTTCTATTTTGACTCGATGCGCCTGTGCTGGATGCGCAGTCCAATGCACAATTGGAGCATCCAGGCCCACCTTTTTTTTTTTTTCCTTTTTCTATTTTTCTGGTTTTTTGTATTTCTCTTTTTTTTTCCCCAACTTTTTTAGTTTTTTGTATTTCTCTCTCTCTCTCTTTCTTTTTTTTTTTAAAAATTTTTAGAATAAAAATAGAATAATGATAGTAAGATTTGAACTCATGACCATTTGATCAATGATATTCTAGTACTATATTAAAAAATTATCTCAATTAAAAAATTTAATACATTAGGTGAGGTGTTACATAATTTATTTGTCCTTGATATTTATTTATTTTTAAAATAAAATTATTAATTGCACAAGAATGAATGAGGCTGGAAAAAGCAGTGCTATAAAAATCCATAAGAAATCTATATACCTGGATAGAAATTAAAAGAAAATATTTTTGATATTAAAAAAAGTTAATAGTATCAATAATTGTGATTACTTATTAATTTATCCATAAAAATTATGAATTGTGTTACTAAAGTGTTTACTAAATTATCAATTAGATTCAATAACAATTAAAATGTGAATCATATATAAAGAAAAGTTGATTGACACCTTTTTAATAGACAGTTAACAAACTATTCAAGAAACAATGTACAGAAAAATAATACAAATATCAAATTAGAATATAAATTTTTAGATGAATGTTGATATTAATTTAACATAAATAGGATTATTTAAAATATTCTTTTAATGAATTTTAATTTAATATTTGGAATTTATCAAATTAAAAATAATTTTAATATATTTTGAGATTAATTATTGCTTCAAAGTTTTAAGTATTAATTAAACTATAATAACTGCAAGTAATGTTTACAAGCCATAATGTTTATGCTGAAAATTTAATATTATTTTCTAAAAAAAATTTAACATTAAACCTGATATAATAATTTTATGTGTTTTTACGAAAATATGAAATATCTATTGTACATTCATGTTTGGTATAAATCGATTGATTGTTTTTTTATGTCATTTTAATGTATCAGTGTTTAAATGACTATTACTTTAAAAAATACAAAAATTATCTATTAGTACTAAATATTGTTAAATAATTCATTATATATATTGCTACCTCCCTGATTCCAGCAGGAGAAAAACGCGAATTGCATGTGGAGCCCGTAACAAAATTATTAGTTAACATAAATACATCACACAATAAATAGGATTTAAAAAGAAAAAAAAAAAAAAAGAGTTCTGGGCCCATGGTTGAGCCTGGCCCAAATCTGTTAGCATATGAGATTTTGGATAGGCCCTTAGTTCTTGTTTTTGCCCTTTCCATTGAGGTTGCTGGTTAGACTTGGGTATTAGACTTGCCTATCCAGTCTTCATTAACGTCCTTTCCCTCTGCACTCTATAGTAAAACGTGAAAACCCACAGCGTCCAATGCTTCTCCACGGAGTCCAAGACCCTTCTCTCGTCACTTTCTATCACCAAAATAAACCTCCGTTAAACCCTACAGTACCCATCCTCAGTTCACCTATGCGCACTTCTCTCCTCTCCTCCTCTCTCTCCCTTCTCCGTTCCCTCTCCCTTTCCCTCCGCCAACAACACAGCTTGCACTTCCCCAAACCCATCAACGCCTCCCAAAAATTTCACACAATTTCAATTCCAAAGTGTTTCAGTACTTCCATCGAACAGTTGGCAAGCCATTCGCAAACCGAAGAAATATGGGATGTTGATGAAGCTAAGAGGGAAACTTTTAAATTCGACGACGACGGACTGGGATTTTCTGGTGCCGGAGGGGACAGGAAGCACTTGGATGCTCCGACGCTGGAGGTGAAGGAGCTATCGGAGTTGCCGGAGCAGTGGAGGAGAGCGAAATTGGCGTGGTTGTGTAAGGAGTTGCCGGCGCATAAGCCAGCCGCTGTTTTGAGGATACTTAATGGGCAGAGGAAGTGGATGAGGCAGGAAGATGCTACTTATGTTGTCGTTCATTGTACTCGAATTCGCGAAAACGAGACGGGGTTTAGGGTACTTTTTATAATCACGCTTGGGTTTTCAAGTTTTTCTTCTGCTGCATTAAAGTTTTAGTGCTTAGTGTTATGTTTTATACTATGATTGATTGTTTAGATACTGAGAAATTACGGGTTGTGTTATTAATTTAAATGTGAAATTACTAAAATTTAGTATTACATAGGAAAATGATACGCCCTTCCAAAGAGATGTCAAAGTTTTAATACTATACTTTCCTAAAATGCTACTAACTGATAAAGAAAATCAATTTTCTCATACTTTTCCTCCTTAAACAGAAAAGGGTATATATGAAAGGTACTATTAAAAAAAAATTGTTGATATGGCATGATAATTAATAAAAAAACTATGTGAAAAGTCAAAGGGGATTATCATTTTGGGACAGAGGGAGTAGTAGAGATCTTGACTTGTGAATTATGTTGTTGTAAAGCTACAACCTTTTATAATCATGCTTGGTTTTTCAATTTTTTCTTCTGCAGTGCTAAAATTTTAGTGCTTAGTGTTTTGTTTTATACTATGATGTATTGTTTAGATACTGAAAATTCAGGGGTTGTGTCATTAATTTAAATGAAAACTTACTAAAATTTAGTATCACATAGGAAAATGATAGTAGAGATCTTGACTTGTGAATTATGTTGTTGTAAAGCTACAACCTTTTAGGATTAAGCTGGAGTTTTGATCTAAAACTTTAGATTAAAATAGAGAAAGGTAGAGTTTGGCAATTGAGATTTTTCTATTGGTTATTGTTAGGTGTATAAATGGATGATGCAGCAGCATTGGTATCGATTTGATTTTGCGTTGGCCACTAAGTTAGCAGATTACATGGGCAAGGAGCGAAAGTTTGCAAAATGTAGGGAGATATTTGATGATATTATCAATCAGGGACGTGTTCCCAGTGAATCGACTTTTCATATTCTCGTCGTTGCATATCTTAGTACGACAGTTCAAGGTAGCCTGGAGGAAGCTTGCAGCATTTACAATCGGATGATTCAGTTGGGAGGTTACCGGCCACGACTGAGTTTACACAATTCTTTGTTTAGAGCTCTTGTGAGCAAACCAGGGGTCATTGCAAAACATTATCTTAAACAGGCTGAGTTTATTTATCATAATTTGGTGACATGTGGACTTGAGATACAGAAGAATATTTATTGTGGTCTCATTTGGCTACACAGCTATCAAGACACTATAGATAAGGAAAGAATTGCATCACTAAGGGAAGAGATGAAGCAAGCAGGAGTAGAGGAGAGCAAAGAAGCGATTGTTTCCATCTTGAGAGCTTGCGCAAAGGATGGTGATGTGGAGGAAGCAGAAAGGACTTGGCTCAAACTTGTCCGTCTTGATGAGGGTCTCCCTTCACAAGCTTTTGTGTGTAGAATGGAAGTCTTTTCAAAGGCACGAGAACCTATGAAATCTTTGGAGACTTTCAGGGAGATGCAGGAGGTTTTAAGTTCGTATAATGTTACAACATATCATAAAATTATAGAAGTCTTATGCAAGGCTGAAGAAGTGGAACTTGCAGAGTCACTTATGCAAGAGTTAGTTCAGAGTGGTATGAAGCCGCTTACACCGTCTTTTGTTGCTATAATGGATATGTACCTTAACCTAAACTTGCATGATAAATTAGAGCCCACCTTCTCTGCATGCCTTGAGAAATGTCGACCCAACCGGAGTGTCTACATGATCTACTTGGATTCTTTGGTGAAAGTTGGTAATCTTGACAAAGCTGAGGATATCTTTAACCACATGCGAAATAACGAAGTGATTGGTGTTAATGCTAGATCATGTAATACTATTTTAAGTGGATACCTCTCATATGGATACCACGTGAAGGCAGAGAGGATATACGATCTAATGTGGCAAAAGAAATACGATATTGAATCCCCATTGATGGAAAAGCTTGAGTCTGTTCTGAGCTCGAGCAGGAATGTGGTAAGGAAACGTATTAGCCTCAAGCTTAGCAAAGAGCAAAGAGAAATTTTAGTGGGTTTGTTCTTAGGTGGTTTGCAAATTGAATCAAATGGGAAGAAGCACATGATTCAGTTTGAGTTCAATCAGAATTCTATAACGCATTCCATTTTGAGGAAACATTTACATGGCCAGTACCATGAGTGGTTACATCCATCATGCAAGCCTAGTTATGATAGTGATAGTGATGACATCCCTTACAGATTTCGTACCATCTCGCACTCTTGTTTTGATTTCTATGCGGACCAATTTTGGCCAAGAGGCCAACCTCAGCTGCCAAAGCTAATCCATCGGTGGCTGTCACCTCAGGTTCTTGCATACTGGTATATGTATGGGGGCCACAGAACATCATCAGGGGATATTGTGTTGAAGCTGAAGGGAAGTGTTAAGGGTGTTGGAAGAGTTGTCAAAACATTGAAATCAAAATCTCTGGATTGCAGGGTTAAGAGAAAGGGGAAAGTATTTTGGATAGGTTTTCTTGGAAGCGTTTCTACATGGTTCTGGAAATTGGTAGAACCTTATATTATTGATGACTTGAAAGATTTTCTAAAAGCTGGTGATCATACCTTGGAGAATAATGTGGCAGAACTTCAAGATATGAACTTTGATAATGGGTCTGATTTTGATGAAGAGGCATCTGAGGACAGTGACAGGGACAGTTCTTAGGGCCTTTTGTGGGTGTATTAGGCATCATATGGGCTCTCACATTTTCAGGGATTTGCTCTCAGACTGCCAAGAGTTGAAAATGATTGAATGGGAAACCTACATTTTCAGAGAGTTCAGATGATTCTCATCCACTTATTGTTGTATCATTGTCAATAACCTCAGAGCTGTTCATATAAATGCTTATACAGATTGAAATTAGCAATGTGATTGAACTAGTTGTAACAAGTCTTGACAAAATTGAGATGCTGCAGGATTTTTGAGTGTATCTCATTTTATAACCTCATCTCTATTTGGTGTGTTGTAGAGTATCGTGTTTAATTTCAACTTTGTTGTGATTCATGTCTAGAGTTGAAATCTGAAATCCTGTTTCTCCACTTTGTTTGTAAACGAGCAGAATATAGAATTATGTTGAAGCAAAAGGTTCTAGTTTTTAGTTTTTGCTGTAGACCAGCATCAAAGTTGTTGCATACGAAAATTGCTGAAGATAGGACATGTTACCTTCCTTCACGGATGGAAGTAATTCTTCTAATAGTTTGTGCAAGTTTGAACTTTCTACCTTACTCTGCATCCATTACTCGTTACTTTTTGAATGTTTTATGAGGTTTATGTCAGGAGGCCTGATTAAGTGATGTCTCTGTACCAGATTATGTTTTTTTATAGCTCATTGATTTCTCTCTGTTTTACAACGTATGAAATTATGCCAGAAGGAAAGTAGATGCAGGGTTTGGAAGCTCAAGAATTATACTTCAGCCTTCATAAATTCAATTAAATAGTGATAATCCAGTATTTTTTTTATTTCCACTATCCCAAAATTCACTCGCAGTAAAGGATGATTATGAAAATTCTTAAAAAAAATAAAAAAAGAAACAGACACGTGCCTTGCTCGTGCAACCTTATTGGTTTCAGTCTCAAAGACCAAAAACTAAAAATTGTCTCATGCGTTGTTTCGCTGTCTCCAAAATTGGGCCCCCAAAGCTACATGTTGCACCTGCTTTGGACTATAGGTCAGATTCTGAAGGCTTAGGTCCTTGTCGGATTCAGACGGGTTGGGTTTTTAGTCTTCTTGTTTTTTCATGAGATATTTTTACATAATAAAAATTATTATTTGAAATAAAATACAAATAACTAAATAATTTATTTAACACGATTAACAAATAAAAATTAAAGTTATTTAATTATTCGGATGATATGGTTTGAGGGCAGGCCAATTGCAGAGGTTAAGGAAGGAGAATGCTCATAGTGCTGCTCTCCATAAGTTCCGGCTGGGCTGGGTTAGAGGGCATACACGAATCTCTCATTGGGTTTTGGCGTCCGATTGTAATTTTTTAGGTAAGAGGATACATTTCGATAATTCCAAAGATACCCTTTACACGCCCAAACCCTTTTTGTGTCACACGCTACCTGACCTTGCATTGCATGAGAGAGACACCACTTTCAACGACATCAAAAATTAAACAAATAAATAAAAGAAAGAAAATTGTTGCCGAGTGAGTGAGTCTCCGAGAAGAGAAGGACGAATCGAGCGAAATGGTGTCGGACTTAGACCTCGTGACCCGGCTTCGTGAAATACTCCGGAGTTCGGACTTAGACACGGCCACTGCCGGCAGCATACGGCGCCAGTTAGAGGAGGATTTTGGCGTTGATTTATCGGAGAAAAAGAAGTTTATTAGAGAGCAGATTGATAGTTTTCTTGAAACCCTAAAGGAAGGAGAGGGTGAATCGGAGAATGTGACAGAAAATGAAAATAACGAAAACGACGTCGTTAAAGACAAGGAAAACGAAAACGAAGAAGAGGAGGAGGAGGAAGAAGAGAGTGAGGCAAAAGAAAGCAAAGGGTAATTTTTTATTTTTTATTTTTAAAAAAGTTTAATAGATTTTTACTTAATAAGCAATATAGCATGTGATGAATAAGGTAATGATTTTCATAATGGTGAAATTAATCATCCATGTATGTAGAGATTGGAAGGAAATTAGGTATTTTTATTGATTGGAAATGACAGTTGGATATAGAAATTTGCTGTTTATCACTCATGGACAAATCGCTTGACTTGTTTTATTTTTATTTAGCTTATCATAATACACAAAGTGACATTTCTTGACTTAATTAGAACTACTGATGACACCGCAAGAATCATTTTTTTTTTTTGGCGGTTTCATCATGTAGTTCTCATTAGGTCAAGAAATGTCACTTTTTGTTTTGTGATAAGCTAAATTAGTTTTTTTACTTGCTTTTTTTTTATGCATGTCTTTTGGAGAGTCTGACATGTTTTATTATATAAGAAAACGAAAGCATTAAATTTAATTGTGGGCAGTGAATGATGTGACGCTAATTAGAGATTATTTGTGATTAAATTGGGGAGGATATCAGAATGGAAGTGAAATTAGATGTGATGCTTGTCGATTTACTTTGAGATTAGATAGAGTCTGTTATGTTTTGGAAGTGAAATTAGTATATCATATTTTTGGTGTCTGTTGGTTCAGTATTGGGATGTGAATATGAGAGAAGTGGTTTTTTTTAAGGTTTGAGTAATACAGTCTAGAAACGTCACTTCTCTTTCATGAGTTATAGAAATGACCTTTTGTTTGGCATTTAGTAATGGGTGTATTATCTCTACTTTCAGTGCTTAATAATCTTTGTTGGTTATTTCTTTCTTTTTAGTCTTATACTATCTTTCTTTTGCGTTTTTGGAGGTTTTATTTTGAATACCTAATCTCTGAGTTTCATTTCAGAGGCTTGATTGGTTTGCTGTTAGTTTATTTTCTTATACAGAAAGAAATTAGTTATTCATTTGATTACATTTTTAATTGAATGCATCTCAGATAACCAATCATTCCAGATGTTGGTTCTTTTTAATCATGCTAGGTACTCTTGTGTTATCTATCTTCTAGGTCAAACAAGACAGAAAAAGTGAGGAAAAGAGGTGGTTTTACTAAGCTGAACAGCTTATCGCCACAACTTCAAGCAGTTGTTGGAGTGCCTGAATTGGGCAGAACTGAGGTATGTCAATTACCACGAGATGATTAATTTCCAGAGATTGGTTCAGGTGGTAGTTCTTGGATCAGGATCTAACCTTCATTCTCCTTACTCCTGTTATTCCAGGTTGTGAAGAAACTTTGGGCCTATATTCGCGAAAACAATTTGCAGGATCCAAAGAATAGGAAAAAAATAAAATGTGATGAAGCTTTGCGTGCTCTCTTTCGTGTAAATTCAATTGATATGTTTCAAATGAATAAAGCCCTTTCGAAGCATATTTGGCCTTTAACTGGAGAAGATGGTACTTTCTTTAATAAGTTATGCTCTTTTGTTTCATTCTGTGGTGGGACAATGGGTAGTTAGTTGTTATCAATTATCTTCGTGCCTTCAATGTGTATGGTTGTTTAGGATGTGTATGCATGCTTGTATTCTGTTCTAATTATGTATTGTACTTGTGTTTCTGCTAGTTTAGGAAACCTGGTATATTTTGCTTTGGCAATTAAATTAACAACGTAAGTTTTATCTACCCAGAACAAAAACTGTGATGGGAGAGCATACCTTCTCAATCTTATACTCAGATTTTATTTCTTATAAATCAGTGGGCAGGGGAAGTGTTTGCTATAAATTCTGATTGGTTTGACAAAATTTTTTGTCAGCTATTTTGACTATGATTCTTTTTTTCTTACCCTGTCCTGGGTTGATATCACCATCCTCCTCCCCTTTTCTTTGGCTGTGGTGTAATACTTTATTATTCCAGGGAAACTAATCTTTTCCCCAGTATTTGGACTACATTAAGATGTTTATATTTTCTGCACTTTCAACTTCAACTACTACAAACAGGCTTCCATATTGAACTTCAGCTTTATTTCCTTACGGTACACTATAATCTTCTTAATTATTTACCTTTAGAGATCTCTTCTTAATGTGTCATCGGATGATTATTTGGCTGATATATTAACCAATGATATCATTGAACTGTCAGAAACTGTAAAGCGGAAAGAAAAATGTGAAGACAGTAACAATTCTGGGTCAGAAGGAGACAATGGAGGGGAAGAAGAGGAGGAACAAGAGGAAGATGAAGAAGTGGAAGAGGTAGAGGTAAAGAAAGAGAGTAATGAAAGAAGCAAGAAAGGACGGTAGGTTTCTTGTACCCTTTTATTCCATTTTTTTTACATGATTGAATTGCTTTTCTTGTTTGCCATTATTTGAGGTTCCTACTGTTTCCCTGCTTGAAAGAGTGGAAATTACTCATGCAATCTTTGACTTATGATATGGGTACTTTAAGAGTTGGGGTTTTTTTTTTTTTATTATTATATATATGACTCAATGCAGCTTCATCCTTAAAATATCACCACTGAAAGTAATAAAGTGGTTAGCTCGTCCATAGCCCTGTTGTTCATGCAATAAAGAAATTTTGGTTAAGGTTCTGAATTCATTAGTTTTCATAACCTTTCTACATGTTTGAAGGGTTACTGAAGGGATGATATGAGGTTTTCTGTGATTAGCAGTCCTAGACAGATCTTAGGAAACATGAGGATTGGCATAGCATTCTTATTCCATTAAATAGAATATTGATGGTTGTTTTATGGACTGAATAATCTTATCTTATACAGTAGGTCTGCTAAGGTGGAAGAAGATGTTAAAAAAAGAGGCGGTGGCTTTACTAAATTGTGCAGTCTTTCTCCTCAACTTCAAGAGTTTGTTGGAGTTCCTGAATTAGCCAGAACTGGGGTATTTTAACAGATGTCTGGATAATCTTTATGTTGTCAGTTGACTTGCAGAATGATTGTTTACGACTCTTCTTCTAAATCATAATTCATACTTGTTTTTTTCCCCTTTCCTTTTTGTTTTGGTAGGTTGTGAAGAAAATTTGGGCCTATATCCGGGAGAAGAATTTGCAAGATCCAAAGAATAAGCGAAACATAATATGTGACAAATCATTGCGTACTCTTTTTGATGTTGATTCTATTGACATGTTTCAAATGAATAAAGCCCTGTCCAAACACATATGGGCTGTCCGTGAGGAAGATGGTATGTGCTTAATGAGCTTTTCTTTTCAATTTATGGTATGCTAAGAGAGCCTTTGGGGATGTCATTGTCCAGAAACCTTAACTCCATCTTCACTATAATTAAAGGCTTCCTTGATTTAAACCAGAGGTGGTTTGTTACTTTAATTTTAAATCAATTTTAGCTTTTAGTCTCTGTTTTGAACAACATGTGTACTTTAAATTGAGATGTCAAATTTAGACCAGGCCCAGCAAACCTTGCATTATTTAATTTTTTGAACATCTTGAAATTGTTTGATCTAAGTGAGAAATGACAGAAATCAGAATGAACCTTTTTAATATGTGATGTTTGGTCACCCTCTTTTCAGTGCATGAACATAAGGGTAAGGGTTGGTGGTTCTCCTTCTTTAAAGTGACTAACTTTCTGTCCGAGGAAAAAAGGGACTTGGCTGGTGTATCCTGTGGGCTGTTTTTTTTTTTTTTTTTTTGGATGCGGATACAATTGTTGTTACATGCATCTAGGGATTGAATGTCTGATTGCCACTTCCTAGAGATGAAGAGGCAACTATATTACTGGGGAGTGAGGCAAAACAAACTTGATAGAATGCGTAATATAGGTGCGTCGAATATACATTCAATACCCATGTCTGTGTTTTCCATTTAGTGCAGTTCTTCTCAACTTCAGGCAATGCAGCCTTTATTGTCTTGGAAGTTGATCCTAACAACTGACACTATATATCTCGGCGAGAGTAAGCTAGTTTATCCTCCAGTTAGGTTTCATAACTTTTAATGGTTCTATTAAACTCCCATTTTAAGTTGGAGGTCTCCTTGTGAAGTTCATACAAACTACAGATGATGAATTTCTTGAGGAGAGTAACTTTAATTTTTTTTTTTTAGTTTAATCTTTGGCATTTTACGTTAGAGTTCTGCAATTTTTGTTTATCTTTAAACAGGATCTCTTTTATCAATGGGTTATTGGAAACCTTCATGATGTTTAATTTTAAGCTTTTGAACTGGTTAGTGATTCACATATTTTAGATGAATGATTAAAACATTTTAGGGATATCCCCTTTTGTGCATGTTACATGGTTTTGATTCAATCAATGCACATTTTCTTCCTTTCGTTTAATCTAGCAGATTTTAAAATTTTGATCAATGTGTGAACCTAAATGGTAATAAAGATAATTGATAAGGTTTTCAAGTTTTCCAAGAAAGAATTGTTGGATCGGCAATGAGTGATAAGTTTTAAAGCATCTTTGGAATACTTTAAATGGACCAGGAATTTCATTCTCTACATATTAGTTGTTGGCAAAATGTCAAATACTTCTTTTCTCTTACTTCTGGCTGGTTCTAATTTAAATGTAGAGGATCCCAGCTAGTTTCCTGTTAAGGCTAGTGGAGTTGATTATCATAGAGAGCTCAATGAGCTTAAGTGTTTTATGCTCTGACTTGGGCCCTTTCTCATTAATCTTTACTCATTAAATTGTTGATTTTATCGAATTGCAGTTGTCAATAATATACATTGTGCAAATTTCTTTTGATGTGTTTGCACAAAATCACAACGCAAGTGTTCTCTTTTCTTTCATAAAAAAATGGAGTTCTCTATTATCTGGGAATTGTGAGAATGTTTTAATTGCTCAAATAAAATGCTATATCCCAATCTTGTAGCTCCAAGCAACTCTTCACCAAAGGAAAAGGGTGCTAAACAAGGAAGAGAAGAAGGTGAGACTAGTAACTGTACCTACACTTTTATTCTCCCAGTAGTTGCACAACATACATAAGAAATTGAGCATAGAACCTGACACTCTAATAGTAACAATTTGTTATTTGTCACTATCCAGGACCTGATGAACCTAAACAGAAAGAAAAGCGGCAGAAGAAAGGTGCTTCTGGTCTCCTTGCTCCCCTTCAAATCTCAGACGCCCTTATAAATTTTTTAGGCACCGGTGAAAATGCATTATCTCGATCTGATGTCGTAAAGAGAATGTGGGAATACATAAAAGAGAATGATCTCCAGGTATGTAGTCACCTTCCTGATCAAGATTTTGTTCTGACAGTTCGATAATTCTGATATTTATATGTAAATGCCATGAATGTACATAAATTCCATTAGCAACTGAACCTTCATGCAATGAACAAGTTGGATAGAAGAACGATCTTTCATGGACACTGGATTTTGCCAACTTCAGTTAATTGATCTGTTGACAAGCATGTTGATAAAGCTTGCACAAAATATCATGCTCAGGAGATAGGCTTGCGACTAGACATAGGCATAATTCAAGTATAGATGCATTACAAAGAAAAATTAAGTGACAGCTGAAGATCACAGTTAATAATAAGAGAGTGAAGAGCTTACCAATAATAAAGCTTATGAGCAGGCTTTGGCTTGGTGACATTCATATCGGCCGAGCTTGTGTTGAGTTTAAGCTTGACCCGAGGCTTAAATTTTTTGTGCCACGTCTTGTTTATATGTTGGAATTCAATACATATGCATATAATGGAGTGTGTATGTGTTTCAGAATCTTCTCTTTGTCCTATGATCTTAAATGAAGGATACAAGAAAGCTTTTTGAGTGGATGGTGTATCATCAGTTGCGTGGTTTATCTACTTTCTTCTATAAACCTAGCCCCGTCTATTTGATGAATCTTATCTTCATCCTACAATCTTTATTGAAGTATACGAGAATGCTTTTTGAGTGGAGGGTATCATTAGTTACGTGGTTTGTCTATTTTCTTATGGAAATGTAGCCCTGATTTGGTCTCCACCAAGATAAGGAAAGACCAACTTTGCTACAAATTACAAAATGCACTCTTACAATAATCAGAGTGCTGTTAACTTGGAGATCTTCAAAACCTCAATTGCAAGGCATGAATAAGTACACTTTTCAAAAAGAGAGAAAGATGATCTTTCAATACCATTTTTTTTTCACTTGTCCACAATCATATACTCTGTTAATGGAAAGTAAGGAAAAGATAGCTGAAGCTAATTTATAAATGAAAATCACATCTTAAGAGGCTGAATTCCAATGTTGATATCTGAAGTTAACCCTGTGCCAGGTAGATAACAGTGGTACCATTGAATTTAAACTGCTTTGCGAAATACAATTCCAGTCATGGCTGGACCTGTCACCCTTCCACCACTACGAAACATAACACGTCCTTTTGAAGTATGCTTATGTTAATTTTCATGACTGTTTATTAAGATCTGGACCTTTTCTTCGGGTTCCTTCTTATGATAATATCTTGCTGTATCATATCGGTGCATTTGGTAAATGATCAGCTTTACTCTTTCTTTGTTGTTTTACACTTGTGTCAAATTCAGGCACCTGCACCTTTACCTTACTGAGAGTTTTCTGATTGTTTCTTAAGGATCCAGCTGATAAGAGGAGAATTATTTGTGACAACAAGCTAAAAGAACTATTTGAGGTTGACTCCTTCCATGGCTTCACAGTCTCAAAGCTCCTGTCATCTCATTTTATCAAGACAGAACAGTGAATGACTTATATGTACATAACTTGAGCCCATTTGAAGTGGGAAATTTTGCTTGAGTTGAATTTGCTCTTTTCCATTTTACTCTGGTTGCCTATGTGCTCCTTGTTGAAGAAATGGAAATAGTTTTGCAAAAACAAGTTCCTTCTACTAATTTTTGTCATAGGATTTCTATTTTGCATTTCCACCCCCTATCCTCTTCTGCCTGAGTAGGTTTCTTTCAATCTTTTTTTCCCCTTCTTTTCTTTAGATTCTTTTTCGCTGCTAAGGAGATGGGTGGTAATCGGGGGAGTTAGTTTACCTCCTATACATGATTTGCTTCTTATATGCGGATATCTTTTAGAATTTTACAAAGAACTAGAAGTGGAATTATAACTTATAAGATGTGGCCACATGGAAAAACAATGTGGTCTTACTAGGACCATAAGGTCAAAGAAACTTTCGCACCATATTTGATCTCTTGCAACATGATTTGTTTATCAAACATGTGGTATGTTCTTTTGTCACCTGTGCTATCCAACTGATGGGTGTTAGACGCTAGCCCGAATGTTGGATAGCTGACTACTCGGGAGTTATAATATATCTGGCATGACATATCCATCCTCTTCGTGTGTCTCTGTGTGATGGAACTTGAATGCTATTAATTGTTTTTAATGCCAAAAAGAATTGCTGAGTTCATCAGATGAAGCATTGTTGTCATGGTGCAAATATTTGAAAATTTCCTGCAGGAAATTTTATGTCTACCTGGAAGAAGAGCGTTGAAAAGATTTTAGGTTAAAAATGCCTTCTGCTGAATCAAGCTTGACTGTCTCCCTGATCTCTGCACAAAAGGTTTGATATCTGCCTTCAAATAATCTCATTCTCTGACTGGCTGTTATTTCACTGGGCTCTTTGAGTTTAGAGGCTTATGATCTGGCTGGTGCACACACAAAATTGAAATAGCCTTGGTGACATGATTGTTTTACATCGGACCCCAGATTGTGCATTTCATCAGTGATCAACGGTATCATTTTGCATGACTGGCTTGGAATTTGTCCGCAGACACGTGTTTGATAGTCATGAAATAAAGCATAAGCAAAACTCTCAGGAATTTTTTTTAATGGAAATCTGCGTCTGATAACACGATTGAGGGACTGGTTGCAATAAAGATTTCAATCCGTGACCTCAAATCGTTATCTTCTTTTGTGAACCTGGTATCCTTATCAGTTGAAAGAGTAAAAAATGCAAAGCCTGCACTGCATCTTTCAATCCAAGAATATAGAATCAGGAATGTTTGCTCTGTGGAGAACCTACAAAAAAGGTTCCCGCTAGTGGATGGTGTGAAAAGAAAGCTTTTGTCACAACGTCTTCAAGTCACTTTTGCATCATTGTGAGAACTTTTGTCAATAAGAAAATGCTGTTGCTCACGTGAATTCATGTGAACTTGAAGTAGTTATCCATTTCAAAGTGGAATTCTTTGGTCTATCTGGTGCTGGAGGGGGGTTGTAAATGCTGGCCTCACTTATATATTTGTACAATTCTCTTTTTTAAGGGAATGGTTGGCATGGATCAATTTCTCAATGCCATTTCCTCTTATATTATTATTATTATTATTATAATCATCGTCATCATTATTTTGGACAAATGGTTTGAAGCATGTTTTCACACCTTAATGTTTCTTGTTTCTTCCGTCTTTTGATGATATGCAGCAAAGTTACATCATCCATGCATCACACATATTAATGAGATTTTTATTTTTTCAACAACAATGGAATTTCATTAAAGTGAATCTAATGTCCAATTTACCAGAGAAGGCTTATAAATGCGCACGAGAAGGGAAAAAAGCTTAGTCTGTTAGGCAATAAAAACCAACTCAAAAATCCATTCTCTTTTTATTAGAGATGAAAGGCATTCATCTAACTCAGAAAAACAATGAAAATAGACTCTATCAATACATATGAATGAGATTTGAGATTCACTATCCATCACGTCTCATAGTACGAATTTTAGCTAATAAATAAGGCGAGCACTATTTGGTTTAGATAAAAAAAACTAAAATATCAATTTTTGTTCAGTTTAAATAGAAAACCAAAAAAAAAAAAATTCTAATGTTTTTAAAGTTTCAAAAAATGCAAATAAACTAAAAACTCAACGACTTAACATTATTATAGATATATAATAATGTTAATTATAGATATATAATGGATCGATCTACTTACATTATTTAAAAATAATTAAAAAATTCAAAAAACAGAAATAAAAATAAAAATTTTGATTTTTAAACTCAAACAGAAAAGTAATTCGGTTTTTATTTTTGTAAGTTTGGTTAACAAAAAATTGAACTAAAATTATTGAAAATTGAAGGACACTCCTGCTAACAAATATTACACAGCCAGATTCATTTTTTATGCAATTATTATAAGTTTTGCCATTGTTCCTATAGTGTAAAAAGACAAGACATTGGCAACCATCACCCTTCCTTCCTCTTAACTCCATTGACGGTTAATAATTTTTATATAAGGATAATTTTTTCTGTTAGCGTTTGCTCATAGGGAAACAAAAAGGACAAGAGTGCAAGACCTTTCTTTTCTTTCCTTTCCTAGCGGAAGGATAGAGGGTCCAAATTGTAATTTGGTAAAGGAGAAGAAAAATACGTGAAAGGGGAGAAAAAAGTGGGGGAACAATGACAAATGAGGTCGAAATAGATGGGGGCGAAGAGACAGAATTTGACAATGAAGGAGATAAAAATGTTATCCTGAGAGTGTGTTTTTTCAAAAAATAATAAAAATAAAATAATTGTCCAAACAAAACAAAAAAGAGAATCTATTAGGACGGGACCCACTAATATTCGATTGGTTCAAAGCACCGCCGTTCATATGCGGCGAGCCGATTCCCTTCTCCTCCTCTCTTCATAGGATAGTGTCCTAGCTGGTTCTCACCACGCGCATAGCCTTTTTTCCTTTCCCTTTCTTCTTTTTCTATCCACCAATTTTGTCAACAACTACTATGTTTTTAGTATCTCTCTCTCACATTAACTTACAGGCAAGCAGTAGGGTTTTGATGGAATTCTTTAGATCATCATAACTATTCATCTTTTTGAACTATATCATAACTGCTGCTTCTTTATTTGGAGGGCAAGCCGGCTGCACTTTTTAATTAACGTTAGGCTCTGTCTGAGTCTACAACACAATATATAGAGAGCTAATTCGAAATAATTAAAGGAATTTGAATTTAGGTCGTGAGAGCGTGTTTTGGCATCAAGACTTAATTCAGCAATCCAGCAATTCACAATTTTTTTTGTTTTTTGTTTTTATGTAGGAATGCATTGTTAAAATTATTTGAAAATAAATTTAACGTCGATTGACACATAATTATTGATTTGAAACAGCGTTGATCATAATATTTACAAACAGAAAATTTTGGTAATCATAAATAAAAAAATTTCAGAGTAAAAAATAACTTTTTAAGAGATGGGACGAAAGTTAAATATTTAGAGAATTACTAGGTAAAATTATGGATGTGTTTCAAAAAGAAAAAGAAAAAGGTTGAAAGATAAGATAAGATAAATTAAAATAAAATACAGAATAGAGTTAAAATTTAAAAACCCTTTCTATAGGCGTAAAATTGCTTAAATTTATGAGAAAATTTGATTACCTTAGAATCCTTAACTAGTAAAAGTATTGTACATAGAATAAAGTCCAGGGAGAAGTTAAAATCTCCAGGTAAAAAGGTTAAAAATGAAATAGCTTCCGGAGGACCTAGTATAAGTCATTTTACAAGGGAGAAATAAACACCAAGAAAAAAAATAAACCTAAGTAAAAAAAAATTGTTATTTTTTATGAATCCAGATGTAATTTTTTAATTTTTTTATATCTCTTCAAAAATAGGTTTATAGAATAAGTATTGGATATATATACACAGTAGTTATTTTTAAAATTTCTCCGGCTTCTGAGGTTTTGTAACGATTTAGCAAATAAGTAAATATATGTAAATGTACCTCAACATGTATTATGTATCTTAATATTTTTTCCAAGTTGAGTAGGATCGATTGACCAAACATTTTACAAAATGGATCCGCCTATGAATCACCCAGTTTGATAATTAATAATTCTATGAATTACTTATTTTCTAGTTAATTATTGAAAATTTGAAGTTGTCAATTAAGCATGAGTTCTTGTCAGAGTAAATTTTTTTTTTATCTGTTAACTCTCTCTTTCTTTCGACAAAATACACATCCTCTTAAACTTTACTCTAACCATCTGCTGCTTTTAACCTGTGATAACTTCTCTTTTTTTACTATTGATTTTTTCCTTTTAAAAAAGGTGGGATTTTTATTTTCTATCGTTAGGCCTATTTTTTCATATATGATTTGTAGGTATGATTTTTTTTTTTTTTAATAGACGTGGAAGATTAGGTCTTTAGAGATTTTATTTTATTATTGAAAGGAATTGACATTCATTGGTAGTGTTGGATGGCTAAAATCTTCCACCAATAAAGTCTGGCAATGCGGTCTATTTTTCTATTAATTTATGATAACAAAAGATTGATCTGTGTGCATGATTTGAAAAGATATATATATATATATATTAAAAAAACCTTGGTTTTGAAAATTCAGTTAGCTCTGTATATATTCCATTTATAAAAACGACTAGATGTTGCCTTTCGACAATGAGTCTCCAAAAATGTGAAAGTTTTTGTTAGGTTTTTTTCCCTTGTAACATCTGTTTAATGAAGTAATTTGTTTTCTATCAATTTGATATTAATAAAATTAATGTATTTCTCAAAAAAATAAGATTAATATAGTAGAATAAAAGTCTCAAAGTTTATTTTTAACAAAAAGAAAGTTTAAATATATTTATACAAATTACATTACAACTGTTTCATTGGTGAAAAATATTGGAATTGAAAATGAGCATATTGAAATTTCAGGAGCTCATAAGTTGCTCTAATTCTAATTTAAATTTGTGTTTTATTTTCTGCTATGTAGTTTCCAAAAACTTCTGATGATACCCCTACAGTTAATTAAATAGCTACAAAAATAGAAGCCCCGCCTTTTCATGTATTTGAGTATTTCTGCTTCTTCTTCTTCTTCTTTCTAATAAATGTTCTTTTACCAAATTAGATCATCAAATCAATGATTTTTTATCCTTACATGTGATCATATAAAAAATAAAAAATTGTGTTACTTAATTATAATAATCGAACTAAGAGTGAATGTACGTGATTCTACTTGTAATCTGACATATATATATATATCTGAAAAAGAGAGTGAATGTTCGTGAGCTTATTTAAAAATAATGAATTTAAGTGACAAGGAAAGTGGCATATTATAGAGTAACTTTCTCTCAATAATTGAGATAAAATCTCTCTATATTATCTCATCAAACTCTTATGAAATAATCTTAACATGTTATTTCTCTTATTATATATGCATCTTGCATCAACTTCGACGAATCAAAATTCGATCACATATATAAAGTCTGAAAGCATATCTAATTAAAGAGATAATTTGCTGGTGTGTGTAAGAAATAAATATATAAAGCATTGAATTGCGTTATGAAAAGAAGGACCAGCTCAAAATACTTGACTAATCATACAATTCGAGAACTTATTGATGTGATGCTTTAGAGAAACAACGGTATTCGAGTTGTTGGGTGGTTTTCGTGGCATTTCAAAATTCTAATTGAATGCAGTTGTAAAGCAATTGAAACGATTATGACCATGCTGCCTCTCTTATCTCTATCAACGTTGATATCATAATTTAATTGGGGAATCGGCAAGTAACCTTTTTTTCCCTCTCTCTGGTCCTGTCATGGACTTGATTCTAACACTACTATAGATATAGGAACTGATCATTACACTGTAGAAGATGCGCATGGAGTGAGGATGGGAGGACTTGTGACACATATACTCATTGTCCATCTTTCCACATTTCTGATAAATGCGTCAAATCCAAAGCATATGCCAGAAAAGACTCTTAAGAAATTTATGCCAAGGAAAACTATTTCCTCACCAATGGACATGTCTTAGGAGATCATTCAATTGGAGTCCGAATTAAACCCATTTAGTTTCAATTGGTTGGGGAGCCAACCAATAACTAGGCTGTATTTGTTATCCAAATAATGATATACCTTGGGAAATTTGTAAAGGGTGTTTCTCAAAGAGCTCAAATAAGTATTAGGGTAAGATGTCAAAAAAGGAAGGGGGTAAAAATGATGGCGTTAGGGTATGGGGCCAGAAAGAAGTGGAATTCTTTGAAGACCAAGCATGAACAAACAATAATGCCACTCAACAACTCCTAAAAGCAGACAAAGACAACAAAACCCTAAATGACAAGAACAACCTCACAAAAGAAGAATCAGAAATCAAATTAGAAAATGTTAAATTTGTACATCTCCATTACGTAAAAAGATTCCAGCTTGGCAGGTGCAACGAAAGAATAACAAGACAGAAGATACCCTCCTAAGAAGGGTTCACAAAAATGCCATGAACATGAGCAATTGTCATCACGTGAAAGATGCTTTTTGAGGGTGATGAGGATCGTGTATCTCCTATTCGAATGCCCCTCGTATAAGGTATCTGGATTGGTTTTTTTCTCTGGATTCAATGCAAATTGGTTTGTAACTTTCTTGAAAATGAAAGGGAATAATTGGCCCATTCACTGAATCTCGCAAAAATTTACGGTATCCTTACAAACTTCCACTCTTTACCAGTTAGCGTAGTACGATCGAACAAGATTTATGACTGTTTCTCTAGATATAGATAGCATCAAATGTCTATAGAATTGAACTAAAAATCAGCACTAACAATCAATTAAGTTCACAACCAAGCCGGTTCGTTCTCTCTTCCTAAAAAGATCTCTCACTGCCAACGATTAGGGTTTTAATTTGTAGATCTATTTAAGTCATCGCAATTAGTCTTCCTCTATTTTACATTAGTCATATAGAGTTCTCATGGATCCAAAAATCAACATTGCCCAAAAAATTAAAAAGAATAAGGATGCTTTTGGAATGTTGAACATGACAAGATTAGACTAGACATAATAAATTATGCAATTTTTGATACACATATTGGATATTTACGAGACAAGCTATGTAGGATTTGATTTACACGCTGGATATGACAAGGATTAATCATTCCTTTGTCCAAAGTTCCAACAAAAATAAAAATTCTTGTCTCACCATATAGGATGGAATAAAATTGTCCAATAATTTGCATAAAATCATTATTTCTTTATTTTTCGTATTATTCACTGTCTATTTATTACTCATTTATTTTTTTAATTTGGTTGGCTAAAGTTTGACCAAATTTATCTATATTTTATTAAAATAATTTTTTACCTACAAGAGCTTTATTATACATTTTCTTTCTTATTCAGAGAATAAATTGCATATACTAAAAAATTAGAGGACCAAAAAATTTAAAAGAAGGACTAAATATCATGAAAATAAAATATAGTGATTAAAATTAACTGTTGAAAAAATCAGGTACCAAAATGAATTTATTCAAAGGCTTCATCCACTCTTGTCTTGTCTAGTGTACCAAATACAGTGAATAAATGGATTTGTTTAGTTCGATCTCATCTATTCTATCGTCCAGTTTAATCTAGCCTTATCTGGGCCAGTTCTACCTGTCTTGTCCTGATCAACATGCTAAACGCACCCTAAGTAATTTGTAGATAATATAATTCATCTTGTAAATATCAAATATAAGAAGTTTATCTATTGAGTCCTTTGAAGCTAATTTGGATTAGGTACGAAGCTTCGTTTATTCGTTTTGAATTGATTTGTGTGTCAATTGAAACTAATTTCCTTTTTCAAACCATCTTAGATTAATTGCAAAGTTTTTCTGACATGATTGATTTGCAAAGTTTAATTTCCAACACTAGCTGGATGGCTTGTTTTTCACCATGTAAGAAAACTATGTGTGCCATTTTTTTTGTTCGGATGATGGAAATATTTTTGAATTAACTTGTATGTCAGTTGAAATTAAATTCTTCTCTCAATGATTTTAAGAAAATATTTTTTAAACAAATTTAATATATTCTTCTAAATATTGGTTTCAAAACTTATATCCAAAAAGTTTTAAAAAATAGAACAAATATATTTACCAATTAGGTTACCCATTAAGAATACTTAGTGTACCATTATTATTGAATTTCAGCCTTTTTTCTGCTCCGAATTCAATAACAAGCCACCCCAATCATTATTCGAAGTGACATTTTTACCATTATGATGCTCTGGTTAAAATGACTGAACATTGTCCTCGCATGCAAAAGCCATATTTAATTGCTTCAACAACAAAAACAAGCATGAACTATACCCCCATAATACTCTTCACCAAACTTGTTTTTCTCATTATTTCCGATCTCATCAGACCTAAAACTCAAATTAAAGATGTAAATGCTTTTCTTGTGTGATTGTGTTTGTTGTAGCTAGGCATATAATCTATTATTGTTCACAATAAAATGAAAATGGGGTTTCGAGTCCTTAGTAATATTTATCTGCCTTCCTAAAGCTTGAGGCAGAGAGCGTGTTCCAAAAGTTTTTTTTTTTTACCAGATAAGTATGAACACTTTTGATAGTTACAGATACCATTTCTTGGATTCTTGACGGCCGAGGATCCTCTAAAATAAGAGATGCCTTGCCTTGGCCATCAAATATTAAAAATGCTAGCTATCTCACTGGGTCAAGCCACCTCATATCTTTTAATTTCTTTCTCACCTTTCTCAAGAGTAAATTCCACACTTCCACTTTTGTTTATCTTTTTCTTGAATTGACTAAACTTTTTTCGTTTTTCTTGGGGTTAAAAGACGACCTGGCTCTTCAATTCCATGCCATCATTACCTTCATTAGAGGCAGAATTAAGAGAACCTTATTCCCTTTGACCGCTATCGGAATTTTTATATTTTATATATCGATCGAAGACCTCACCGCTTTCGCATAGAAATGAAATTCCACACTTGCAATAAACTTTTTAATTAATTAGATTAAAATAATATCACATTATATGGGCTATACATCTCTCATGAGTCACGATATCCAATTCGATTCCGGTATGAAAAAAAGTGGGTATTCGCACGGTCCAAATCCTTCAAAACAGAACCGTAGTCCCAGACTTTTATATAAAAAAAGAATTTATATATGTTATTTCATGTTAGGACTGCCTTTCTTTTCAATGTAGCTTAAAACGAGGGTTCCAGTCCATCCATTAACGAACCAAAACGTGGACAAAGACTCTTCGTCTGCTCTTTAAAAGACAAGTGTCATGTTTTTATGGATATAAGGGTGAGATTTGTTTGTTTGTAGAAGACCTTAAAACGAAGGGATGGCACAATATATATATATAGATTCATAATAAAGGGCATGATAGTAATTGAAATAGATACAGAGACTCTTCGATTATGATCATCCGACATAATCAAATGCAGATGCGATAAACCGGAATGGATTCAACCCATCCAATGCTACACGTTTCAAGATAGAATTAAAAAAGGGATTGGAAGATAAGAAACAACTTGTATAGAACGGCGAGTGGTTCCCACTGTGATTAAAGAATTAATCAAAGTGATTGACAAGCTTTGATTTGGATGGATAGAGAGATTCTTAATTCTATGGAAGAAAAATGTGGAATCTAATGGCTGTAAAAAGTTTGTCCTTTTGGGGCCATCCAGAGGGGCATCTTCTTTCTCTTTCTCCAAACATATTTACATATATGTTTCCAAATAAAAAATCTGGCAATATCAAAACTTGGGACCCACACCATTATCCTCAAGATTCCTTATCTCCAAGCTTAACCCCACGTTAAGAATTTGACAAGTCTCCAATGGTTTTGAGGTGTGTTCGATACAGTCTATTCACATGTAATATACTGTCCTTTTCTTGAAAGGGAATCTATCTAGCCACCTTTTTTTTTTTTTTTGAAACCCAACTTGGCCGACGACCAATGGGAGCTTATAAAAAATAATTCTTATTTACATGATTAACATTGCCTAGTTAGGTTTCTTCTTCTTCTTTTATAAACAAAATTTCTAACTTCACTTTTAAGTTATGTCAAAGAATAATTACCCATTTGATTTTCATTTTATATGATATTGTTATGTTATTAATTTTCATAACATGAGTTCAAATTACTTTCACATTTATGTCTATGTGTGTAAATTGTAATTTGAATCATTTTACTCTAACTGTTGGTAATTAAACTGTTATGTATCTATGGAAAAATCATGGCGGTATCATATGCATTTTTTAATTATCTATTTATTTAATTTGTGTGTTTTTTTTTTTTAAACATTAACGCTGGTATATCCAAGCACACAATTTCTAGAATGTCTAAGATTAATTGGTAGGTTAGGCACAAATTTAGCCAAGAACATCTAGAAAATGTCATCTAAAATTCAGATGTAAGTAAACGAATAAATACAAATAAATGCACCACCAACTGTTTTATGCGAAACCCCAGATTCATTCTCGAAAGAGAAAAAAAAACCCACAGACTCCATAGACGGCAGGTGCTTGGACCGTTGATCAAAGATGACCATGGAATTGGGTTTTGGAATCAACAAAAGAACCTTTTTTTCTAATCCACTAGGGAAGCTCCGAAATGCAAAGGCAGCGATTCTCCTTTGAAATTGAGAAATTAAAGAGCACTAGCTAATTACCAACAACGTAGAGGAATCTTACCAATTCCAATATTAAGTAAACAACTCTCACTAATATATGCTTTTGTAAGGAAGTAAAAGTACAAAAGGAGGTGATTAACATATAGACTTCGCTTCAATGTTCCATCTTGGTGGCCTATTGGTGGTCTCTTCAAAGGAAATGAATGATTCTTGACCTCTACCGCAAAGAAACATATATAAAAAAGAAAGGGCAGTTGTGCATGCTTATATATATATATATATATATATATATATATATATATACATATATTGGTGCTCCTTTATCTGACTTTGGAGCCTGGTAAGTCAATTTGACAAATTCAATATATTTTACTGGGCCATTTCAAAAAGGTTAAAAAAAAAAAAAGGCTAACTTTTGTGGAAAAAAAGGGAAGCATTTTCTAATTTTTTTTGTCATGAGAAAAATGACCAAGTTTTAGTGCGTTTGCTAATTATAAAGTCAATAACAACCTTGCCATTAGTGATACGGTGCTTTTGAGTGATGATTTCAATCCTTGGCTTTGGACCCTTTTTTCTGTGAAGTTTTTTCGTTTAGAGGAGCACAAAGGCACACTAGGCTGGTCTTGAAGAGCAGTTTCTCCTGAATGGTGTTTTGTTATCAATCATTTGTATTTGATAATTTGTTTGTATTGTATTTAAAAAAAAAAAATTAAATTCGTTTGTCTCGAAAAAAATATCAATTTGATTTTTTAAATATATTTTTGAATGATTTCGATATGCTCATGTCGCAAAACATAAAAAAAAATGCATCTAACAAACATTAAATTGATGTTTTTTTCATTCGATATACACTTTTGCAAAAACATTATATCACATTATCAAATACACACTTAGTTTGTGCATGATAAGATTACACAATAAAAAGCATTTTGATTCACTTAATATAAAATATATATTTAGATTAATAATAAATTATTGATCCAGCAGTAAACGAGTTAATCTCAAGTAAACTTATTGTTAATGTACGAGATTCGAATCTTGAACTCGTATTTATTGAAAGGAATTAAATTTTGTCGCTCTTACTTCGAATATGATTAGTCATGTCTCAAATGTAAGATGAGAATTCCTTGAAAAAACAAATATATATATATATATATCAATTTACAGTTTTATATTTACATTTAGTTAGAAAGATTTTTCAATACTTATATACAAAGTGAAAGTTAAATTATCTACGTGGATGAAGATGAATTCAAGATGTATATTTATCAAATCATCAAAAGATAGGAGGCTGACTTTTTTAAGAATTATGAAATTTAGAACAAAATATCAATCAATACATATGTATTTATACCGGCAGTTTTGTATTGTACATGAAAGAGCACAAATTTTTGGTTCATTTTTATCGTTTTCTCATCCTAAACTTAGGTGAGACGAAGAATTTGTGTGAGTTTATAACTATCTACTTTAATTTGTCCAATAAAAAAGGGTTAATGAGTGACTTTTGTGTCCTCTTTTGAAGATTGAGGGGCTAAAATTAAATATTGGATACGAAAACGACTTTTCCGTCGGTACATGTGAAATTCCATTGTTTTTTCTACCGTCTCCCTCAAGCCAAACAAACAAATCTTCAGGAATCTAAAAAGCCAAAAGAATAGAAAAACATTTTCTTTTGTGGAATAAAGTTGAAGGAAAGCTAATGTACTCCGTGTACGATGCAAAAGAGATTCCCAATTTGTACAACTCGGGTCATTTTATCTGAGTTTTGAGTTGAAACAAAACTATGTGAGATCAGTCTGGCCGGGCAGCTGCGGCTTTTTAGAGGATTGAAAAAAATAAATATGTATGAAAAAATCTCATGAACAATCATTTTTTTTTAAATAGAGGCGAGTGTTCTTCCGTTAAAACCAATTAATTGAATCAAATTGAAATTAAAATATCAATTCGGTTAAAAAAATCGAATTAATTTTTAGTTATTAGGTTCTGGTTTGGTTTTTAAATTTTCAATTCAAAAACATGTTTAAAGTTGTTAATTAAATTTCTGTATTTTGGTTTACAACATATTTAAACAATAAGTAATTTTTGTTATTATATATTTTAGATATAGAAGTAGACTTTTATTTAAATTTTGAGGTCTTATTACTTGATGTAATTTTGTACTTTAATTTTATTTAAATAAATATTTATTATTTTTTATATAGGTTAATTTAGACTGTTTGAGTTAGATGAATGAATCCATATTCAATTACGCAATATTTTTGGGTTATTTATATTATTTTTAATTTTTTTAAAAGTTCCATTTTTATCAAAAATCAAAACTGAAAATCAAACTTTCTATTTTATAAACTGAAAAATTAAATAGAAATTTGGCTCGAATTTATTTATTTTTACTTGATTAACGGAAAACTAAACAAAAATATTAAAACCTGAATGGTCGTCCTTAGTTAAGGTTTGAAAGCTTGACTGGCTTATGGAGCATTATTAACTTATGAAGTGGGTTTGTTCTGCTATATATCATTTTCCATTCCAATTCATGAAAAGACTGCAACAACAAAAAGTTTTTTGTAGATGTGCCAGTGCATGTATGGATTATCCAGCTCAATAGTTTTTTGTTTTGTTTATTTTCTTTCTTTCTCTGTAATGTTTGAAAATTGGTTTGAGAATACCCTAATCATCAAAATAAAAATAAATAATAATCATCTAAATAAAATAACTATTTGATTTTAAATGACACAATCTTTAATTTTAAAAATCGTGCACTGCGTCAAAGGGTGTTGGCTAAACAAGCTAGCACCTACTTTTATTAGCATTTAATTTTGGATTAACAACTCTAAATTATTTGTTAAAAATCTTATATTTTCAATACATTTTGTTACTAATTATAGTTGATTGACATAAATGTAACACTGCAAACAGAATAAAGAATCCTGAATAAATAGGGGGTCAAAATGACATAATTCTAGGACTCGGTTCGGTTGGTTTAATAACGCAGAATTGGAACGATCTCTCGGGAAAAATGTTACAATTGTGCTGGGATACAGATAAGCATGCAACTTTATCTACTTTCTTTTAGCGTACGACAACAGTAATAGTTATTGTTGTGGGTGACAACTATAAAAAGTTCTGGTAGCTTTTTTCAGCTTAGTTTTAGTTTTCAAGTGATATCATCTTTTTACGTCATATCAGAATTTGATTGATCAAATAGTCTTAAGAATAAAATAATATGAATCTATATAAGTTTTAAATCTAAATATTTTAATTTTTATTTAAAATGATGTGTTAGAAAATAATATAAATCATATACTATCTCATCTAACAGTTCAAATTTTTGAGTTAAGATGATCTTTTGACATGGTATAAAAACCTTATTAACCTAATGGTGAATAGTTCATATCTTATCATTCTTGTTTTCTTTTCTAATTAATCAAGCACAAGGTAATGTAGATACGTGTAAATTTAAAGTCCAAAAGGTTTTCACTTGATAAAGTATATTAGAAAATAATATAAATCATATGTTGTGACCTCACCTAACAATTTAAGCTTTTAGGTGATATAATCTTTTGATAATATATATATTTATAAAAAATGCATATTTTCAAATTAATTTTTACATTAATTCAAAAGCAAAGTCATTGTTTTTTAAAAATTAAATACTGTTTCTTTTAATGGTATAAGTAACTAGCAAACCATGTAGCACGTTGATAAGTAAACATCGATTTGTAAATTAGATTTAGAATTTGTTTTTTATGATTAGCACTTCTGAAAATTTATTCTCAAAATATCCAAAATCATGCATCGGAGAGAACTTTTTAGCCACATTCCGAAAATGATTAGTTTCAAGATGCATAAAAACTAATTCGAAAATCCTCGTATTGCTGAAAAAAAAAAAAGTTTAGGTACCTAGCTAGCTTCCTTGTTTGAACTTACAAATCAGGCCTATCGCAGTAGAAATTTTGCCTATAAATTAAATTTTTAATCAAGCAACCAAAAAATTAACCAAGCTGTCCGACTCTAAACAACTCAATAGACCCACGTCAAATCCTAAAATAAGAACAACATTACAAGGAAATTATGTCAATAAAAAATACAGCAGCAAAACAAGAACTACGTACGTACGAAAGGATTTTAACCTAGTTTTGTTTTTCTATAGTCACAGATGATCAATTTATACTTTATAAATGAAAAGACGAACCTCATTTTCATCCTCAGTAATCCAGCTGGTGGTATTAATACCCTTCATAAGAAATTGTCATGGGCCCTGTTGAGGGTTATAGACTTCTCCGACCACAAAAAAAAAAAAAAAGAAGGTTACAGATTCGTTTGAAGAGTAAATTATAAATTAATCTCTCTAGTTTTGAAAAATAAATTAATCAATGTTTTTTGGTTAGTCTTTACATTTTCAAACTTTCTTGTAACTCAATCTTTTTCTTTTTCTTTTTTAATTTGATTTTTTTGTGAAAGAAATACAAAAAGTAAAAAAAGAAAAAAAAAAAAGGAAATTGATGAAACAAATATTATTATAAAATAAAATAATATTAAATTAATCATGATCAATATCGTTAAGAATTTAAATAATTAATTTTTAAAACAAAAAGTATTAATCAATTCTTTTCTAAAAAAAGAATAAACAACTAATTTATAATTTACTCCTTGTTTGAATTGGCTTCTTTTTTTTTTACTCATGTAATTACTATGTGCTGTTAATCTTACATGACAATATAAGCCATAGCATATAGGATCTATTTTTGTTTTACAAAGAAGGAAAGGAAGTTATTCACACAGTAATTTTTCAACTCAATTTGCACAATTGATAATGGATTTGGGATCGCAGTGAAAAAAATTCCCTGGATGAGGATGACAAGAAGTTTCACCGTTGATTTGTGAACTTGACTTCGTAATATTTTTCTATATTAAAAGAATATTACTGTTATTTTTCTGAAAAAAAGGAAACGTAAGAACAAGTTAAACACTTACCCAAGACCACATTATTCTGGGGAAAAGAATCAGCCTCTTTAACATCATATATTCTATTTTAGTATAAATCAGTTCGTTATAAAATAAAAACCTTATTGCAGTGAATCTCACATAAAATCCATTAATTAGATTTTCCACACTTCATATAATTTAATTAACAAATAAACATTTGGTAGATCTAGATTTGTTCAAAGCAAAATCAGTTTTAAGAAAGAAAAGGTTTTACATTGCTAATTGATGGTGAGGGTTTTACAGTTTAATTGGTACCTTTATTATCAATTTTATTAGTTTGGTCTTTTTACTATTTTTATCCTAATATCACCCCTCAATTCCTATCATTTGGTACTTTCACCGAAAAGGAAAAAAGAATGAAATAATCATAATAATACACAATGAAGATAACTGGCAATAAGATAACATGATGAACCTTTTTTTTGAATGACAGTTTATTAGATAAAACCAAAACAAAACAAAGAGTATCGAGAATATAAAAAAATAAAATTAACCCTTAAACTAAGAAATGGCATGACCTAAACGACTTATTTCATGACATTAAGAACTAATTGCTCTTAAAAATTAAAATATTGAAATGATATTAAGAAAAAAATAGAACCAAATTTAAATAAATATAAAACTTGAGGGACCAAACGCAGCAGCAATAACGCTGAAGGGAGGTAAAATAGTTTTAGAAATAAATAAATAGATATAATATGCGGAGAAACGAAAGTGAATTTATAATGCTAGCACAAAAAACGCATAAACAGAATCTTGGGGTTTTCTTTCCATTCTAGTCCTCTCTCCTCTTCTCTTTTATTGACGAAATAACCCTTCGAAAACCAAAACAACACTTCATCTTTCTCTTTTATCTCTATATATGTGTAGATCTCTCCATTTCTACATCTCTCCTTCTTCTCTTATTAGCTTCAGAGATTTATCAAAACATCGAAAAGTTTTAGTCTTTTTCTTAGGGGAAAAAAATGGGTTCGGTTCCACCTGAACTGAGCTTGGATTTTGTTAGGCCTTCAACAACAAAAGCATTACCGTTTTTGCCTAAAACGATAACCGATTTTCTCAGGGAGGTTTCGATGATCGGTGATGCTGCAGTGAAGGTTTTGAAAGTTGATGGTTTTCTTAAAGATTTAGAAGAAGAAAAGAGAAAGATCGATGCTTTTAAACGAGAGTTACCACTTTGCATGCTCCTTTTGAATGATGGTTGGTTTATGCCATTTTCTTTGAACGTTTATGATTCGTTCTGCTAGCTTTTGATATTTGTTTTCAATGGATTTGATGCGTTTTTTATAATGGGTTTTTGATGGTTTTGGTTTTTGTTGATTTTTGATTAATGGGCTGTTTTTAGCTTGAAGGATAAGTCTAAGATTTTATTTATTTACTGTTGTCTTCTTCTTGTTACAGCAATTCAAGTTTTGAGGGAGGAGTTAATGCAATGTGGAGCACCAAAAAATCAACAACCAGTATTAGAAGAATTCATTCCGTTGAAGAAAAAATTTGATGATGATGAAAATAATGGTTTAATTAAGGAGGAGAAAGACTCTAAAGACAAGAAAAATTGGATGAGTTCTGTTCAATTATGGAATGCTGATGAGGATCATCATCCCTCTACTGATTACTTGTTTGATCCAAAACAAAATCTCAAATTAGAATCTAAGGTATAACAATATTAACTATAATTAAAGTTCATGTCATGCGTCCTTGAAGTCTTAAAAGAAGATAGAAAAAAATGAAAATTGATATTTATTTATTTATTTTATTTTTTGGTTCAGACAAATAAGAAAGGAAATCAGTATGGAAATGAGGATACATTCCAGGCTTGTAAAGGCAGGACTGCAGCAAGAACATTTATGCCATTTAAAGCATACTCTGGTTTATCAAGGAAGGAGGATGATACTAATAGAGAGGAATTGCCAATTCCTGCTCTCTCTCTTTTAACCCCTGGAATTAAGAGCTTAAAAGAGGAATCCAACTCTACTGGTTCAAGAAGCAGCTGTAGTAGATCAGTTTCTACTACTTCTGCCCCTAATTCAGATTCAAATTTACGGAATGGACCTCAATCCCAGCAGCAGAATGCTAGGAAGCAGAGGAGGTGCTGGTCACCAGAGCTTCACCGCCGGTTTGTCAATGCTTTACATCAACTTGGAGGTTCTCAAGGTTAGTATATGATGCTAGATTTGAATCTAGGTCTTTTGGTCTGAGAATCTTGGTAGTGTGGAATTATGTATATTGTTGAATGAAGAGTGATAGATGGAATGTGAAGTAATAGTATATGCTTCGCTTGAAAGATGACAATCATGGATAAGAATTTTAGGTACCATCATAAGTTGGCTAGAAACACGGTGAGGGGAATGAGAGATTACAAATGCGTAAACTTGATGAATCTATTGGAAGTTGAGAGTAGAATTTTTCATTTATTGCGTTGCATTTTTGCTCGTTGATTCAATTTTCTGAAGCATCTAATTTGAATTCATTGGACATTGTACAGCTGCTACTCCAAAGCAGATTAGAGAACTTATGCAAGTTGATGGCTTGACCAATGATGAAGTGAAGAGTCATTTGCAAGTGAGTTTTCAATTCTTCATCTCCTTCCCATGTTGCATGATATAGAAGCATGAGTAAAAGGAAATAAAATGCTTTCTGCGCTGAAGCAATTTCCTTTTCCTTAACTCATTTTGAGAGTCATATGAAGTTTTTCAGTTCTCACGGAACTTTCTTGGCATTGCAGAAATACCGACTCCATACAAGAAGAGTGCCACCAGCTACGGCTGCCGCCTCTGCAAACCAATCTGTTGTTGTTTTGGGAGGTTTGTGGATGACCCAAGATCAGTATGGTGACTCCTCAAAGGCTACAAGTTCTCAGTCTGGCTCTCCTCAAGGTCCTCTGCAGCTAGCTATAAACACTGGAGGGACCTCAATTACAGGAGGTGATAGCATGGAGGATGATGAAGACGCAAAATCTGAGGGCTATAGCTGGAAAAGTCATGCTTACAGATCAGGAAAAGATGATGTATAGACTTTGTCCACCATGAATTTTGCAGATAAACTATACATGGGAGGATTATATGATTATAGAAATAATGTTAGAAAGATTACTTAATTAAAGGGAGGGTTCTTGAGAATGAGCGAGGCTGTTAAATTTTGCAGGAGTAGCTTTCTTTCTGTCTTAATATCGAGTACCTGTATTCGGTCGGGATTGGTATAAAATTCTAAGACCCTTTGTGTTCATGGAATAGACAAGGCCTTTTTTTGTACCATGATCTTTCCTGAATATCACTGTTTAGAACTTGTGTTTTGCCAAACTTTTCCAGCAAAAATATGAGGTTTTGGAATAAATTTTGCTAGAGATTTTCGTTCAACAGCTTCCTTTTGATAGGTTTGAAGTTTAGGTGGAATTAGCTTATGATACTGTCAACTTTGAACTTCATTCACCGAAATGGACCTGCTTCTCATGACCTATTGGTGCATACGTTATGTCCTCTCTGTTGTTTGAAGAAAACCATAATAGATCCTCATTCTCGTTGCCTGGAAGGCCAAGAGAAGTAAAATAAATTTTGAAGCTATGCAGCCAAAATTTTTGACCCAGAAGAAGTTTAGTATTCCAAGTCTTCTGCAATCTTCGCCAGTCCACCAAGGTACATGAGCAGGAAGTCAGGAATATTTCATTTTCAATGTTGATAGTTCCTTTGGATTTTTATAAAGCCTGACAAAGAATTTTGAAAGGTCTTATCAATCTCAGGCATATTATCTCGGAACTGTTTTTCTCTGTTTGGAAGAAGATATTACAGAAGGCCTTTTTTTTTTTTTCCATTCTTTCCCGTTTTAGTTTCTCTTCTTCCAGAAAAAAATATCAGAACCAGTATGCCCTTCAAAAAGGGCAAAACCAAACACGAGCTTTATATTTTATACTCAAAGAATAGGGGGTCAGCTTCTTCACTTGCATTTTCTGTTGGCCCAGCCAAATAAGTATATGATCACTCACAAGCTATCCTTTACCTTTTTGGATGCTTGGTGTAGTTACTTGTAATTGTTGGGATCATGTGTATGATAAATTGGGAATTATTCTGTTCTGCGTAGCCATTATTATATTGACAGAGATGAGCCTAAACATGCCTCAAAGAAATTATTGTTTCAATGTACGCTCATATTGGTTGGTGGTGATGGTGTTTTGGTTGTACAAGATGACAAGACAAGATCAATACTTATCTTAGTGAGAATATTATAGGTTTCTATTCCTTTATTTTCCTGTGACTATGTCCAGTAGTCTCAATTATTTTGGAATCAGGATTCTTATTCAAGGAAAAGATAAGATGGACAAGTAAGCAGTTGACATTATTCTTCCAAATTTAGTTCACCAAAGCACTCATTCTTGCTATGCAAATTGAATAAGGTCTGTTTGGGAAGCAAGAGATCTTGCCAGCATTGATGATGACTTTAGTCCTAATTGCGAATCACACTTCTGGTAAATACCCAAAAAAATAAAAAATAATAATAATAAAATAAAATCCGATATGAACGAATATATTTAGGCTATTCTTATCCTTGAATGTCCACGGCTTCTTTATTCATAAAAATCAATAAAACAACTCTTTCTATGTTGAGAAATATTTATCATTAGATAAACAAGTTTAAACTCTAAAGCAATAATCAAAGCTTATCAGTATACATGATTTTGTGCCAGCTTGACTGAATTATCTGGTCTCCAAACAGCTTCTTGCTTAGTCAATTGTTAAAAATCCTAGATTTTATCCTTCCACCTAACCCAGTATCCCACTTTTTTTCTTTCTTTTTTTAAGAAGAAGAAAAAAAAAAAAATAGAAAACACAATCAAATGCAATGTTTATCTGGGTCCATGACAAAACAGTCACCCTCACAATCAAAATAATAGAGAGAATCTTATAGACAAGATATAATGAAGGAGCCCACAATATAGGTTAAGTTTAAATATTTTGGTGAGAGTGAAAATGATGGAAACTCTCATTAAATTCTCACCCTAAATAAGGTTAACAAACTTATCTTATTTTGTTTGAGTACATCAGATTTTTCAAATCAAAGGACTATTCTGTTTCTTAACTGAGACGATATGGAATGGAATATATGCAGTCAGCTAAGAACATCAGCTGCCCACATGGCACCTAAGATTAAAAATGTATATAATTTGGTCCTACAAAATGAAAACCATTCCCTATTGAAGATTCCTTCAAAGACCAGCCAGACATGATGATACTTCTTGATAGGTTTGGTATTATTAGGAAACTTACAAATTGGAGAAAAGCTATCAAATGGGCAAGCGGCAAGCGGCATGCCCCCCACCAAAAAACTTAAGCAAAAAGGCCAGCCAACAAACAGCTTATTATTATTATTATTATTTCAATAAAGTTGTTTATTTTTTGTATCCTCTAACTTCTATCGAAGAATTTCTGTCCATCTTTTATGCTAACATTAGCTTTCAAGAAGGTGAATTTGTGATCATAAGGCACAGCAGACAATATGAGTTCAGTACTTTTGTGACTTTTACTCTCCATTTGAAGCATTGGTTCTATCAATTTTGCCACTCTATTTAGCATATGCATTTTCATGATGTTGAATTTATATGAGAATTATCTTGAAGTTTATGATTATATCTAAGTATGTCCTAGCTCTTTATGATAAAGGTGTCCCTTTGATATGATGGTTTTGGGATTTGATTTTTATTACAATTTTTCACTACTTTGACTGGCTTGATTTCTTATATTAACTTTTTAACTTTTTTATTGATAACTTGGGCTGGCATGGCTTTTTCAAAATCTTATTACGAATAATTATATTTTGCATGCTATAGTAATTTCAAGTATCTCATGCCATGATGAAACAACAGAAGATACCACAGAGTTGTTTGATTGGTAAACAGATTTGTTTATTATTCAGAATTTAAATCTTAAGAAAGAATGTGGAAATATAATTTCCTGAGATTAAAACAATTTAAATTTGGGTTTAAGGAGAGATTTAGTTTTGGTGTGTTAAAAAAACTAAATCTCTACTCGATTTGGATTTCAAATGGATCATCAACATCTAAATTCACAAATATTTTTACTGTTATATTTGAGTTCCAGAAAGGGGATTACAACATTGGAAGCTCACTACTTGATCCAACACATAGAGGGTTCAAAATCAAGGAAAACAGGATGATTACCCAAATATTTATGTTGGGCCTTAAACCCCAACTCCAATTCTAGACAGCATAACCCAATTTAGCAAATAGCAATGAAGGCTAAAGCAATCGAACCCATTGCATTATTGGAAAAGAAAAGCCTATGAGAAAAATTATCTTTACGAAAACTTGATCTCATAATGTTCAGATGGAACAAAACAATATAAATACTAAAAATTATTTAATGAATTTAATTGATATGAAAAGAAGAAGAAGTTTGATCCACATATATAGAACATGACTTCTTTTTTTTTAATGATTAACCTACCCTTGCAGCAATGGTTTTAGGAAATGTTAGGAGGGAGATGGAGTAGTGGTAAGAATTATCCATTTGGCAAAGATGAGCAAGCTCCGAGCCTCAAAAAATACTGGTCAAATCCTTAAGCTACGGTTTAGTGTAATAAGAAAAATTAGAAACACAAATACCTCTATTTGCGCGTTAAATATGGATTCAATATCACGACAATACAGTTACTGAACTTCAGGAGCAAGGGAGAGAGAAACAGACCACTATACAAAATAAAAACATCAGGCAAGGATCAGGAAAACAATTGTTAACTAGAGAGGCAAAGAAAATAAGTAGGGATGGCACAAGCACAACCTGAAAGAAAGATTGAAGAAGGAATCTCTATAGGAATAGAAAGGAAAGAAACAACCAGACCCAAAAAAGATAGTAACAAGAATGGTGGTTCTGTGTCCTTTAAATTCAACGCACAGGCACCTGAATTTGTGCCAAGATCGCATACCTCTACAACCCAAATGCCTATATCAGGTTATTTTTATCCTTACTTGCATTATCTTGGTGCCACTGCTTGTGCTACTGGAGGGTCTGATTGGTTTTTTGTTGGCGATCAAAACCATGCTGCCTATTTGATCTCTAATAATCCAAATCATGCAATGCTTAATTGCCCCACCAAGAATAGCGATATTCTCACTGACGATCTTCGAAAAAAGATCATCAAACAGGTACCCATTCTTTGTTGAAATCTCATTTTCTGTGTAATTTGCATTGTCTGTCAGTTTCATCTTTCTTTGTTTTTTGTACTGGTGTGTTCTGTTTATGTTTATTAAACAATTCGCGTGATTTTTTTAATCCTTTCACATTCATGATTTGGTCTTGTTAAGTTTCTTATTTCTTTAACTAGTGACATTATAAGACAAGCTTGATTGGTTAATGGTAAAATTTCACAGTGGAAATGTACTTTCACAAATGCATTGCAAAGATCTTGGCATGCCAAAACATCAATGTTTTTGGCACTTCAGTCATTATCCAATTATGTTAATATATGTTCACAATGAATCCCAGTTTTGAAATGCTCTTAGAATCTGAGAACTGTTTTGTGTCTGAAATAGGTGGAGTACCAATTCAGTGACATGAGTCTTCTTGCAAACGAATCGATGTCGAAACACATCAATAAAGAAACTGAAGGTTATGGTAAGGATCATTGAAGTATTCTCTATAGGCTTATATGTTTCGGTACAGTAGTTCGGATATTCTTATCATATTGTTTCGGTGTATTGCAGTGCCGATATCTGTTATGGCTTCAACTAAGAAAATGAGGTCTCTTGTAAGCGATACCGATTTGCTTGCTCAAGCACTCAAGTCTTCTTCAAAACTTGTTAGTCCTTTCGCTTAAATTGCCTCATCATTGTTTTTGTAATTATCAAAAGCAGAATTCTTAAATCTAGAGGGATCATGTCCCTTTGTTGTTACCTTGATGTTCTAAAGGTTCTGACCGAAGATGGCAGGAAGGTTAAACGCAAAATCCCTTTCACTGATAAAGACAGAGAAGAATTGCAGGTAAATCAGCAGAGACTTTCTTGGTTAGACGAATGATCTGAAAGTACTTTGCTTGATTGAAACAATTTTTTTCTTCCTGCAGTCTCGTATTGTTGTAGTGGAGAATTTGCCTGAAGATCATTCTCATCAAAATGTCCAGAAAATTTTTAGCGTGGTTGGAAGGTCAAGTCTATAAGTTAAACACTAATAATTATGCTTCAGTATTCTAGAAAATATCAAGTTCTTGGCTGTGTATTAACAAATGCCATTGTAAACAGTGTGAAAACCATCAGAATATGCCATCCACCAGAATCCAATTCTTCGCGGGCTAAAATTGACTTCTTTGTAACCAACAAGGTATTAAATATGAATTGGCACACATTTTGTTTGCGAACCAGGATAGTTTTAAAAGGAAAACTTTCATGATTCCTTTTCCTTCTATTCTCTAGCTGCATGCACTTGTGGAGCTTGAAACCCGTGAACTAGCTGAGAAAGCGGTATGTCAATGCAATTATGCCAGTTTGGTTTTTATGTTTCTCTTATTTTTGCAATGAAAATGAAAGCTTCTCCTAAATTCAACAGGTTGAGAAGTTGAATGATGAAAGGAATTGGAGGAAAGGCCTTCGAGTAAGGTTGCTGGTTCGGTGCTCGGTATGCATAAACTTTAGCTATTAATTGCACTATCTTCTGCTTAATAAAAGACTACATACCTTACAATTTGTCAAAAAAATTTGCAGCCAAAATCTGTTCTCAGCAGGGGCAGAAAGTCAGAATTTGACATTTGGGAGGAAGAATATTCAACCCTTGATGAATCAACTCAGGATACCTCTCGACCAAACAATTCAGAATCTGTAATAGAACTTCGCTTGTCTAACTAGTCCTATCTTGACATCTATGTGTATACATATCTCAAGTTCTCAGTCTACCATTTTCCTTGCACACTGAAAAATTCCATACCAATGGTCTGATTTAATAATAATAAACAACAAAGTTTAAAGTTAAGGCCTTACAATTTTTCTTGAACACTTTTGCTTAGGCTGAAGATAATTCAGGGGCATCAAAGAAGGCATGGGCAAAAGGCCGAGGCAAGGGCAAAGGCCGCGGTCAAATCAATTATGGCAGAGGTCTGTTTGCTCCTCCCGAATGTGCTAGCACACCGCAATGTCAAGCATATGCTAAACATACTTCTAAGGGTCCAAGAATGCCTGATGGGACCAAAGGTTTCACTGTTGGTCGAGGCAAGCCATTGGTTACTTCAGCTCTGACCAGTTCGATTATGGAATAATGTTTTTTTTCTTTTGATGATTCGGTCACTATTTTTTTGCTCTTATAATTTGTAGTTTTGAAGAAGCAAGAAATTGGTTTTGTAGAAGCTTTGGCCTGTTTAACTTTTTCCTGGCATCACCGATTGTTCTTAATAATTTGAGGAGCATAGCATAGTGTGGCATGTCTTGCGAAAACCACTGTAGCATCCAGCATGACACCCACGTTTTTGCCATTTTAGGTAGGAATGTTGTTTCAGTTCCCTTTTATTCCTATGTAAACTGTCTGAATAATGAATTTGAGGGATGCATTCTCTCCCTTTCTGTCATTTTTTGTTGTGATAATCTCACTCTCTCTATCCCATGCTGTTATTTTTTCCCTTTTAAGGAATATTACTGAAGAAAATAGTAAAAATGTGGATAGTAGTTTAATTTTATGGGGCAAATTATAAATTAGGTTTCTTATTTTAAAAATTAATTATTTAATCTATTGACTAGATTTAATATTTTTTTATTGTCATCAATCTTTTCATATTATATTTTTCTTTTTCTATTTTTTTTTAAATAACAAATTGAAAATGAACATGAAATAGGTGAAAAAGGATTATGTTTCAAATAGATTTAAAAATAGAAGGACTAATTACTTATTTTCAAACTAAAAAAACTATTTAATTCATTAAAAAAAAAACATTAGAGGGATCGACATATAATTTACTCGAATTTTATGCTCCCCGTTTAGGGCTGTTTCTATATAAAAAGAAAAAGACAAAATGGATAAAAAGTTGTTATTATATGTATATAATATAATTTTTCCCCAGTTACCAAATGGCCTATTAGCTCAGTTGGTTAGAGCGTCGTGCTAATAACGCGAAGGTCGCAGGTTCGAAACCTGCATGGGCCATCAACTTTAACACCCGTATCTGTTTTTGGAAAATCTGAAATAAGTCCCCGACTATATGGAGAACTGAATTGAGTCCCTAAACCTGTTTTACATCTCAATTGGATCTGCAGAGGTTTAGAAAATTCTCAACTCCATCCATTCATTCACACACAAAAATGACTCTATTTCTAGAAAGCTTGAAACAGAGTATTTGCAAAAACTTTGGGGACTCAATTAAGATAAAATAATAATAATAATAATAAATAAACAAACTCTTTCAAGACTTAATTGAGATTGTGGTTTTGATATATATATATATATATATATATATAATTTTCTATTCCATTTGAGAGTAATTTCATATTTTAATGTATATTACGTATAAATAATGATGTTTTGAAAAATTAATAGAGAACGTTAGATAAACTAGAAAGCTTTTGAAAGCTTTTTGAGCATTGAAAAAATCTTTAGAATGTCCAATAGAAATCTAATTATATCTTAAATAATTCTAAAAAGTCTCTCATTATTCTAGTATGTACATATTTAGATATTTTTTATTTTTTTTTTAATATTTAGTTAAGAATTCGGATTAAAAAAAAAAGTGAGTATATGGAATTTTAAAAACCACTAAATCTGTAACATTAAGCTGACACATGAGTCATATTACTTCAAATCCAATTAGGATCTGCTAGCTAGAGGGGATAATCAAATCATCTTTGAGAGCTTTTTACATGTATGCAAGACAACATGTCAAGATCATATGCGTCAATAAATTACCACTTTTCCGTTGTTCAATCTTTTTTAGAATAAAACCTAGCTCCCAATGCATTTTTTCATCCAAAAGGAGGAAGCAGTGTTTCTTTCGTTTCGTTATTTCTGTCCATCCTATTGTCATAAAGGAATTTGGCGCACTCCTCTCCATGTACAAGGGATATGCAATGAACTAAGTAGATGAAAGTGCATGCACATTTCATCATTGATATCATCTGCAATAAACAATATCGTAAAAAAAAAAAAAAAGGTGTCAGCCCATTACACTTCTGAAAGTGCTAGTACAAATATCTTATTTTCCTTCCATTAAGTTGACACCTGTGCTTCCACTCCTAAATTAATAACTAATTGACGCATACAGATAATTAGGAGTATATAATATCTTTGTTATCTTATCTTTATACAAGTTGACTTGGCTTAGAATTTTTTGTCATGTACTTTCTCCATATGGGATCCTAGTCAGAGTTTAACTGGATTTTTTTTCAAGAAAAAAAAATCACGTGGGTATATGAATATTTTGGAATGTTTAATTGTTTCTTTAATTCACACCTTGTCGCCAAATAAAACAATTCGTAGGATATGAAAGAAAGTTGCCTTCTCAATTAATGAATAACATCTCTTACGTTTAACTAATATAAATGGTTTGATTGTAACTAAATAACAATATTCTTTCAAGCATGGCTTTTGAATTTACTGTAATCAGCACTAGTTTAATTTTGATAGTTCTTTTGGGAGAAAAATGCAATTTGAGTGTTTAATTTTGATAATTGTTTTGTTTGAATGCTTAACCTTTTATTCTATCTATTCAAGTATTTAATCTTTTTTTTTCTCTATGTTTATTCTGTCATCTAATATTTGAAAATATTGATATAAACAAGGATAATTTTTAACTAATACGTGATAAAAAATATATTACATTCAAATTTAATAAAAAAAATTAATAAGAAAAAATAAATATCAAAAAGCGAAAAAAAAAAAAAAACTTGAATCGGAGGAAACTCCTGCCATAGTTTAGGTGCGTTTTAAGGTAAAGGAGAAGCCATCTACCAAGATGACAAAGGATGAAGTTCAAAACGAATTATACGCCGCCTCCATTAGGCAGCAAGCATAGGCTTCATAGTATAATTTTGAATAACAATTATTATATAACATAATAATTGTTATTTAATGAATTTGAACATATATTTGTTATTGTCGTATATCGTTACAAGAAGTATAATAATGTTTGACATAGATAATACCGTTATACACTGTTATTGTTATATAACAACATTAGTTGCCATCATTTGATAAATAATAATTGTTTTCTTTTTATTCTTATTTGTATTTCAATATTGTTTATGATATTAAACTATTAAAAGTATTATTAATTTTTTTTTGGTAATAAATTTAACTATTATTATATGATATTAAATTATTAGAAATGCTATTATTAAGCTTAAGTAGTTAAACTATTAAAATATGTTGAATGTAATAAATTTATTAACGGTCATTGGTCTATTGATACATTTACAATATCAATTGTCATGATTGTTATTTTATTATTATTATTATAAATAACAATATATTACAATCAACAATCACGATCGTAATTGTTTTTATAACTATATTTACGATTTAAAACCATGTATTTAAGTGCTTTTAACTCCTTGTTACAAAGTCAAGATTTTGTCTTCTTCAATTGTTATTTTTTATAATTCTTTTCTAACAAGTGTAGTTTAGTTTAGAAAAACCTATTTTTTTTAACTAAAATTTAATCATCTAAATTTAGATAGTATAACGCAATCCTAACGGTATTGTCATTTTTTCACTAGAAATATCAACTTCATAACAATTGTAAAAAATTTAAAACCTTCTTACTCTTTAGCTGAACTTTAAAATTTTTTCTCACAATTTTAATATTCACATATCAAATATATAAGTGAAGGATTAGGTCTCTCTCTCTCTCTCTCTCTCTCTCTCTCTCTCTCTCTCTCTCTCTCTCTCTCTCTCTCTCTATATATATATATATATATATATCACTAACTATAGCACGCGTATGGCATTACATATGTTCTTTTGTGCCGTCAAGTGGTGGTCCAGCTTGTCCTAGTGCCCATGGAAAATCCGATACTAAGAAAGTGTCTGAGTTGATGCTTACGTGAAATTGTCCAAGTTCACAGGTACAGTGACCTTCACTAGTTGTCAAAGGTTTTTTAAGTATGGTTTAATTAGTGGAGACTTGTGCATCAAACATGTGATTTACGATTATATTATCTAATAATCATGTAGGCTGTAGCCAACGCATTTTTTCTCATTAATCTAATGTTTTACCTCGTAAAAAAGGAGGGATTCATGAGTTCTTGAATTGTAGTCCTGCTATTATCATCTTAAAAAAGAAAGAAGAAAATCTAATATTTGCTTGACTGATATGAAAAAAGAGCAAAAATTAACGAAGGATGGTGGATGCCAATTAACTTGGCTCGTGAAATCATTTCTTTATGTTTGAGACTTATTTGTGAAGGATTGATTGTTAGATTTCGTTAAGTCTTTAACATTAAAATTCGTATTTTGGATCATTCGATTTTTATCATACAAAACTCTTCAAATTCAGGTTGGTTTTGTGATCCATAAAATGAATTGACACGTTTTATCGTAATCAATCTTAAATAATAAAAAGATAAGGTACAATGTTCAAAATAGACGCACAAAAAACCTTGTTATTGATAAAAATATCTGTAAACAAGAAAGAGTGCTTATCGCATCTAAAGTACCATTGCTAATTTAATCTCACTTAGTCTTGGCCACTTTAAACAGTCATAGTGGCTTTTCCACTTCCAAGCTCAACCAATGAATTCTCTTCGTCTCTCCTTTGTTTGCCATATAAATCAGCACAGAGGTCCCCCCAATTGCAGGTCATCACAATCAGCACTGCACAGCTTCTTCAGGCTCACATGTAAAATGGCAAACACTCTCTTCTCATACTTCACCATCCCGTTGTTTCTTTACTTGTCATTGCTTCAGTTAGTCGCTCCTTTCCCTTCTGCCAATGATCAGACTGATTACAATTACAACTATAATTACTATGATAGGTCATGCCCTCGTTTGGGAATGATTGTCAAGTATGGTGTCTGGGCTGCTTTCCAAAAAGAAACCAGAATTGCTGCATCCCTCCTTCGATTGCATTTTCACGACTGCTTTGTAAACGTAATACTACTTCTTAATCTATTTCTCTCTTACTTAACTACATCCTTAACATGATTAGTAATTTAATTGTCTTTGAACCAAAATCCTATGTTATTGCTATGGTGGCCTCCCCTCTCCGGTCATATAGGAAAGGTCCAGTGGTCCTAGAAAAGGCTCATAGCCTATGAGGCTGAGGCCTAGTTTAACCCAAATTCATACACATAAGACAGGCCTTGTTTAGCCTTAAAAAAGACAGCCCGCTAAACAGATAGGACACCCACCAGTCGGCTATGAGTCCGGTGGTCCTGTTGTTTTTTCGTTTTGTATTTTCTCGTGTTTTGCTTTTAGCTTGGTGGTATTCTTGGATAATATAGGGATTATATTTATTTCTCATATAGGGTCAAGGCTCAAGAGCAGGCCATATATGCCTGGCTTGAATTTTATTGACCAAGGAGGGAGTATACTCTTTAATCATGTGGTAAAATCCTTCCAAGTTGAGCCGGATTATTTTTTTTTTTTTTTTTTTTTTTGAGAATTTTTTTTATTTTCTTTGTTACATAGGGTTGCGATGCTTCGATACTTTTGGACGACAAAATTGATTTCAGGGGAGAGAAGAATGCTTTTCCTAACCGCAATTCAGCTAGAGGATATGAAGTCATTGAAAGCATCAAAGCAGATGTTGAAAAGGCTTGCCCATCGACTGTTTCTTGTGCTGATATATTGACTCTTGCAGCAAGGGAATCTGTCCTTTTGGTATTAAAAATTGCTCACATTCGTTCACATTGTACAACATATTCTTTCCTTTCTTTCGAATTTCTTATTTATTTATTTACATCATTTTCTGGTTCAGTCAGGAGGACCTTATTATCCCCTTTCATTTGGCCGAAGAGATGGATTGACTGCAAGTGAGAAGGCAGCTAATGAACAATTGCCGTCACCTATTGAGCCACTGGAAAACATCACTGCTAAGTTCACATCAAAGGGTCTCGACATCAAGGATGTTGTAGTCCTCTCAGGTTCCTGTCCTCTTCATTTTCACTCTCTATTTTTCAAAGTTCTGTCAATAGAGTGGTGTCTTGTTCAAACTTCAAACCATAATTCTGAACTTTTGGTTCCATATTTACCTTGCATTCATAGAGCTCAAATTTAGCAACGAAGTCTCTGATTTTAATTGGTGTAGACGACCACATATTGCGGCCAGATATATATAGCCATTGTTACCCTTTATCCATTTCTTAAGCATAGGTTCAGGTTTTGACGACAACACAAATTAAGGTTTTTGGTTAATTTCTAATATTGTTGACAGGATAATCAATTTGTTTCTTGTCTATTACAGGAGCGCACACCATAGGTTTTGCTCAATGCTTCACCTTCAAAAGGAGGCTCTATGACTTCAAAGGCACTGGCAAGCCTGACCCCATACTCGATTCTTCGGCCGTGGCAAACTTACAGGGCATGTGTCCAAACAAGGATACATCGAACAGCAATCTTGCTCCTCTCGACTCAGCAAGCACAAACCAATTTGACAATGCTTATTATGTGAACCTCGTGAATAACGCTGGCCTTCTTGAATCTGATCAAGCTCTGATGGGGGATTCAAAGACTGCTGCAATTGCTACTGCCTACAGTTCAAATTCGTATCTTTTCTCAGCTGATTTTGCAGCATCAATGACGAAGCTTAGCAATCTTGGGATACTTACAGGGAGCAATGGGCAAATTAGAAAGAAATGTGGGTCTGTTAACTAAATATATATGTAATGCGAGTTTGTTTACGGAATTTATGTAACTAGCTAGTTTCTTTTATAAAGCTCAAATTCTGGTGCTCATCTAGTGGATGCTATGTAATAGACATGCCAGTCTTTTTACTCTTTGCCTAGATGCAACTTAATATAGTTAAAAATCAGTATATATATATATATTTTTTGGGTAAACATTCCCAATTTGAACACAATTCAGTGTCAGGGTTATTTATTTTCTTAGAGCTGTAGAAAACTTCAACCATCTTTGTGTGACCTGTAAATATGGAGACAGAATTCTGCCATTGCCCTGTTTCTTCTACAGTGAAACGATCCAGGGTATAAAATGCTAAAGTTTCACATTTATGTGACGTCAGGACATGAGTTGATTGATTATGTCATTCCTGGAACTGTAAAAAACAACAGTGAAGATTTATCGCCACGTTGCTTGCAATTGAAGGGCAACCGGTTACAATTTTCGCTACGAAAATCTGTTCTAATTTGGATGAGCTTTTAAACCTAAAAATAAAACACTTGTTCTTTATCGAATGTCAATCATAACCAAAGACAGAGAGATACGCTTCAAAATACTGAATCTATTCTTTTGTCCTATGCTTCACTTGTCCTTGGCTTCCCAATCCTTTGCTTGGCAGGATCGGTTTTGTTATGCAAAGAATGAAGTGGTTGAAGAGTAGGGTTCCAACTTCCAAGTAAGCATTGGTTCATGATTTAAGTGTAAACTAATTACAAAAGTTCAAAACCATCCTTCTTGATTTTGCAAATATTTTCAGTTTCAGATTGAACCTGTAATACAAATTGAAGGTTTTATTTGGTGGGTATTGTTTTAAGTGGAATCCTAAAATTGCCAAAACACTGAATGAAACAATTCCCATAAAGAAGATGGTAATTCATTCTGTTACTGTTCAAATTTATTTTCCAATCTGTAGTTTCCTTTCTAAAATCCAAGTTTTGATTCCACAACTTGGCTAATTCAGTATGCCTTCATCTTGTTCGAGACTTGTTTATAATCTCATCTCAATTTTGAAACGAAAGAATAAACCAATCTCAGTTTTCACAAACTCAAATCCCAAACATCATGGAAAGAATTCCATCCAAATCTTGGCAGACACACATCAATTTCCTGGCTTCCATTAACGGAAGCCAACAAAAAGAACACAATTTGCTTTTTTGTGAACTTACTGTACACAGGAAGAGAAGATTATTTATGTAGAAGAGAGTGTCAGTGCAACAAACTGAGCGAGAGGAAGGGCGAAGGCAAAAGCAAGAGATGAGGGAAGTATTGTCTGCTTTTGGGTGAGAAATATAGTTTTTTCAATTAACTGTTCAACCGGCTTCCAGGTAATGTTATAATTCATTAATGGTAACGTGGATTGTTGTAGTAGCAAGTGTTAGTAGCAACTGCCCAAGCGGCTGTTGCTAGCATTCCTCATCTGTTGAAACTGTGTAGTGTCCGGCCTTGTTCACTTTCCCTCGGCAAATCACAAATAGGGAGTGCCGACGTCTCAGTGGTGCTTCAACAAAATTTCCCAGTTAGTTCAATGTTCACCTCAATTACATGTAAAAGGGTTTTCGAGCAATTAAGGTTTATTGAAAGGTATTGAATCATTATAAGAGACAAATTTCCTTCCCCGGTGCTTTACTTTAACAAACAATAATTTATGACTCTCCTTTGAAATCTTCCACGGAATGTATTTACTTTTGTCACGAATCTAATATTTGCTTGGTTAGAATGTTAATGGATGATGGAGGGTTCCAATTAACTTAATTTTCATGTCATTTGGTGTTAATTGATGTCTTATGCAGAGGTACTGTTGCTATTTTGACTGTACTCTTGGTCAGTTTTAGCAGACTCACAATGGTTTTGCCACTTTATAAGCTAAACTAATGAATTCACTCGGATCATGTTGTTTTTACATATAAATCAAGGACCTCATCAGAAGTCATTAGCGTTATTGCACAACTTGTCAAGTTCTCGAGCAAAAATTTAATGTATCAGAAACTTTTTCATACTTCAGCATTCCATTGCTCCTTTTCTTTTATTTGCTTCGTCTAGTCACTCCCCCTCCTCCTGCTAGTGGCCAGATTGATGATTGCGTTTACTGAGATAACTCATGCTCTAATCTATCCTTGATTGTTAGAAAGATTGCCAGAAAAGGCTTTGCATAATGACCCCAGAATAGTTGCATCCCTCCTTCGCTTATACTTCCAAGACTGTTTTGAATCATATTCTAATGGAAGTGCTGAAGTCTCGGTGGTTTTTAATAAAATTTTCCAGTTAGTTCGTCTGTGGGGACTTTGACAAGGTCGAAATTTTTTTCAAGCAAGGTTTGGTGATGAATCATGCGCCAATATAAGAGGCACAAAATTCTGTTCCCTAAGCTTTAAACAGTCACGGTGGATTTGCCACTTAATAAGCGGTTTCCGAATATATATAAATCACCACAATAAATGTTTCCTTAATCAGAATCAGCATTGCGCAACTTGTTCACAATCACGTTCATGAGCAAATGAGCTCCAAACTCTTCTCGTACTTAAACATCATTACCTGCTTTCTTCTTCTGTCTTAGCATCTATTACCATGCGGTGCCAGTCGCCGTAAAAACCCTTCTTTTGGAGGGGATTCCGATTCACATGGATCTCCTAAAATTGGAGGAGGTTCTGATGACTTAAGTGGTCATGGTTCATATGGATCTCCTCCTGCTGCTATAGCTCAGACAGGTTACGATTATTATGATAACTCATACCCAACATTGCCCAGAATATTGTTAGGCATGGTGTCTTGGAAGCTTTCCATAATGACACCAGAATTGGTGTATCCCTCCTTCGGCTGCACTTTCTTACTGTTTTCTAAATGTGATGAAGCCTTGCAAACTGCTGCTTATATTTTTAGACCAGTTGCCTAGTAAATCAGTTCCTAAAGCTCCATTCAACTTACGGGCAGACAAGAAACCTCGCTAGCTTGCGATTATTATAATCCACTCTTGAAGAACCTTGATGCCAAAACTATTAGTGGAATTTTCATTGGCTATTGTCAGAACTCAAGAGGCTCTAGGTTTTATTATCTTTCCCACTCTACTAGAGTCATGTGGTCAGATAGAGCTAGCTGATCTTGAAGATGACATGGGTTCTTGGAGTTCTCAAACTCGAAAGATTGTTTTTGAGGAAGAGCGTGTGATGCTTCCTATGCCCATCATTGTACCTTCTGTTACTGTGCAATCACCTACAGAGAATCCAGTTACCTATCAAGCACCATCTCCTCAAACACAACCTATTGATAGTATTGCTCCATGCAAAAAACCAATCAAATTTATTAATAAGAGTTTATGGGTTTTAACATGCACCCCAAAAATGATCTTCGACATTCCCAAAGGATTAATAATATAAAGCAACAGGTAATGAATATAAAGAGAAGTTTCGATACCATTTGATAAAATTAACTAACTTCAGTTTAACCAAAATTCAATTATGTCTCTTTAAGTAATTTATACTCGATTCTCCTCCCAAAATAATCAAGTAATCTATTATTATTATTATTTGACATGAATCCAAACTAGAAGTGGAGTCTGCTGAAAAAAATTCAAATGTTATTATTATATTATTTTTTTAGCATTTGATGGTAAGATAAAATAATTAATCTAAAAAAATCTTTTTTTTTTAAAAAAAAAATCTGACTCTTCAAACATGGATGGTGTAACATAATTCTGTAAAAGATTATCCTTATTTCATTATAAATACTAATTTCACAGCAATTGTGAGGGGGAGAATTCTAACTTTTTGATATGAAACAAAACCTTAATATTCTCTAGTTTCCCAAAATTCTCTCTCACACATAAAAAATAATTTAAAACTCTATTTATTTAAATTTTGACAAATTACTTGTCAACCATTCAATTTACTCCTTGTTAACTTTTGTATGATTTTCTTTTCATATCTCTCATTATATATATTCAATATTTTGCTAGTTTTAGACTTGTTTTCAAAAAACCCTGCATACAATTTAACAAGCATATTATTAAAAAATTTAAAAGATCTGGGATTATCACTATTCATTTACTGTAGCATTTGATTTTCTTTTTGTTTTTTGGGTTGAAAAGCAGCTAAGGCCTGCTCGCGGGCCTGCACTCGCAGGCCCGAGCGCGCTGGCCTGCCCTGCAACAAAGCGCTTAGCCTTTTTCTTTTTTTTAAAAAAAAAAACAGGCGTGAGCCTGAGCCTGAGCCTGAGCCTGGCCCATACATATAAGCGCCTGGCTGGCTTATTTATATGTACATGCACGCCTGGTTGATATATATATATATATATATTATCATAAAATTAAGTGTAAAAAATATAAAAAATAAAGCATTATTTTTTTTTAGTTTTATATACAATTTGAAGATGATAGAATATAAATAATATTTTTTAAGATTTTAGTTTGAACATATATATCTTATCACATTATTTTTATTTTTTAAAATTTATTTCTTCAATTATTTGTTTCTTATTAAAATTCTCATCAAATTAATTTTTTGATATAATTTTATTTATTAATAAATCTGATTTTTTAATATATGAATTTTAGAATAAAATTTTATAACATGGGTGTTTTATTTTTTAAAAAATATATTATTATAATTTATAAATTATCTTTTTATTTTAATAATAGTTTTTAGTGAGTTGTAACTTAACTGAAATCAGTGTTGTTTCTCTCTTCAAGAAAGTCTTGAATGCGAACTTTTCATTTATAACTAAAAGAACAATGGACTAGTTGACATATGTAGACTTAGCCTAGCTAATTAAGAGAGTTATGTACCTAGTAACTTCCTAAGTAAGTTTTGAGTTTCAATATCGTTATGTAACATGGGAGAAATGTTAGAAAATCAACAACACTCTCATGAATGCACTAATTTTGTATCACGAATTAATGAATCAATTTTCTACCACCAACTTCTTATCATAAATTAACGCACCAACTTTCTACCATAGATTAATGCGCCATTTGGTTGATTTAATTTGTTAATCAACTAATATGAATAGATAATTATTCTTTCATTTGTAAGCCTCTAACTGATTAGGAGTGAATATTATTTAGTTTAAATAAAAAAATCCATTTCAATTCTGTTTTTAACTCAAAATAAAATAAAAGAAAATAAAAAACAAATCGAGGCTTCGTAACTGTCTACCATGAATTAATGCACCAACTTTCTACCACCAACTTCCTACAATGAATTAATACATTAACTTTCTACCATGGTTTAATATAACAACTTCCTATCATGAATTAATGCATTATTTTTTAACCAACTAGAATAAATTGGTAGTCCCTCTTCTGATTGTAAGCAACCAATAATTGAGTATGTGTAGGGTGTGAATAATGATTTTCAATTCAATAATTGATATAAGAGCCGTGTTAAACCCAACAAGACTTACTTTTGTTATGTAGCTTTAGATTCTTGGACTTTGCAGTAAAGCTTGTACTCGTAAGGTTTGAATTTAGTGTTAGATGATTCTTTTCTTGTCATTAGTGTTAATGATAGAAAGCATAGTCTTCTATATGTTTTGTTGACAATTTATTGTCATTATTTCCTATGCAGTCATTAATTAACAAATTTCTCCACAAAGAGTTGACATCTTTCATGGGCTTTGGCCAACGAAATTGTGCATTTCCGGAGGCCCTAGCTTCAAGTTTTTTTGGTGATGGAACTTGGGCAACGACATAGCCAACACTATTTCCAATTTTTTCCGAATAAATATTTACTGTTGTATCTTTTCTATTACAGGAGAAACGCACCATAGGTTTTCCTCAATGCTCCACCTTTATAGGTAGGTTTTATGACTTCAGAGGCTCTGGCAAGTCTTATCTACACTTTCTTCTTCAGGCCTTTCACACTCTCGAGGCATGTGTCCCAACAAGGATTCGTCAAACACCAATCTTGCTCCATTTGACGTGATAAGTGCACACCGATTTGATATTGCATACTAAAGAAACCTAGTGAAAAACACAGGCAATATTCTTCAGTCTGGTCAAGCTTTAATGGCGGATCCCAAAACTGTTGCTATTTTCCATGAATATAGTACTAGCTTGAATGTTTTCTAACCTGATTTTGCATCAGCGATGGTGAGGCTTTGCAATCCTGACGTACTTAGAGAGGAAAATAACAGGCAGATATGTGGGTCTGTGAACCAAGTTGGTACGTATATATATACACACGCAACGTTGGTCCTTGGAAAAATTGTGGATGTGGTCCAAGTGGACAAACCAATTAGGTTATCTAGATTCACAGCACTAATCTACTGTAGAAGCAAGGTCACTTCACCAACCAAACAATCAAAATGTTTTCATAGCACATCCAACTAGCTTGAAGGCTCCAAATTACTGTATATGGTCTTGTTTCATCCTGTGGATTCTTTATGTGATGAAACATGTCAGTGTTTAGTTGTCATTTAAATGTTTATAAATTTCTACAAACAGCTTTTAAAAAACAGAAAATAAAAAATAATGGTAGAAGAAGGGATATGCAAAATGATAAAACTTTGTGTGGCTGGAAAAAATTCTGTAAACAGTTTTTGAAAAACAAGAAATAAAATAGAAAACAAAAAACAAGAAGAAGCAATGATATCAAATTTGGTCTTCCATTGAGTCTTGCCTGATATATATATATATATATATATATATATTGTGATAGCAAATGTGACTGTTTTTGTTGGTTTAATTTCCTTCCAATTTAGGTCAAATAAATTTTTGACCTACCTCAAGAAGAATAGGCTGATAAAATGCTTACAGATCCAAAAAAGGACGCCGACAAGGAGTCGGCTTTGATTAGGAGAAAAAAAAAAAAAGCTGGTAGATTCCTCTGCCAAACTTCGTACAAGCTCCATAAACATTTAGCACTCTGTCGTCCTTGTCTCGAAAACCACTTTTCTTCTCTTAAATAATTCTACTAGGTTGGATTCGTCAAATTATCGTACGCTATTATGAACTATCACCATCAACATCATCATTCATCGCACAAAGAGATATTTTCTGCTTTCAAATTAGACTCTATGTGCAAATTACTGACCTTCATTCATGGTACAGCCTTGAAACCTTCGGCACCCAGCTTTTGCCTTGAATTGGGTTGTCTTTTTATACAACATTGAAGTTTTAGCCCTTAGTCCTTAATGTCGTATCCTTTAGATGCTATTCTTAGTATTATTCAAGTAGATTCTATTTAATTGAAACGTTCACTTTAATGTAAAAAGGTGAGACTTAAAACTTACGTATGTTACATAAATATAGTCAAACTTGAAACCTATACTATTATTATTATTGCATATTCTTCGAAGAAATATGTTCCTTGTTATAAAATATGCATGGTACAAAACTAAAATCTATCCAACCTGATTTTATTATTGACCATGGCCAAATGAATAATGAATTTTCTATCTTGCTAAGTGAAGGCATTCCACTAGGTACTAGCCATCACAGGAATAGCATACAGACTCCAGCGAGCATTATTTGGGGGGTGATGTGGGCCAATTGGCTTAAAGTTTGAACATAATTCTTCAGATTTTCTTAAAAAGAAAATATAAAGCTTTTTGACCTTTAATTAAAAAAAAAAAAAAAAAGCAAAACTTATCTAAAAAATCTATGGTGGGAGGGACAACTTTTTTTTTTTGGGTGGGGGTCCAATTGGCCCAGATTAATCCAATTAGAGTTCTTTGTACTGAAGCCAACTCATTGGCTAAGGTGAGCACAACTTTAAAAATGAAGAATTAAAGTTTTGCCTCATCTGCTATACAGCTGAAGTTCTGCTTGGCGCATTGAAAATAATTTGTCAGACTAATGGTAAGGACAAGAGAAGCAAAAGAAAGAATTAATGTAGATTTTATGCTTTGTTTCTCTTTTTTGGAAGGAGCATATTCCTCTCGTGGGAAAGCATGACCTGGTAGGCATGTAACAATAGGTAACTAGTCATGACTCAAGGTTGGAATATGGGAGAAGGCTCATGATTCTGTCTGTTTTTAGTTGGTAATGTGAATCAGATAGTTCGATAAATGACATGAGGAAACCGAGATTCGGAAAAAGAAGATTAGCGACGGTTTAGTTGAACCGATCATTAAATCATATTTTAATTTGAAAATTAGTAATGGTTTAGTTATTAGCGTAGGTTTAATTAAACCATAGCTAATTTCGAAATTAAAAGAAAACTTAGAGACGATTTAGTTAAACCGTTGCTAAATTTTTTTCCATACAACATGGATTAGCAATGATCCACCAAAACCGTCGCTAAATCCTCCGAAAAAAATTTCTTAGTTATTCGTGACAGCTTTTTGGAAAAAAAACCATTGCAAATAGAGAGAAACTAGCGATGGTTTAGTAAAACCGTCACTAATTTCGGATTGTTAGGGTAATGGATATAATTTGAAAATTTTCAATTAGCGACGGTTTCAAAACCGTCACTAAAACTAAAATCCCTAAAAACACATTCTCTTCATTTTTTCCCCCTAAATTCTCTCATTTTTCTTCATTTTTCCAACGAGCTTCGAAATACCCTCTCTCCCCCTTTTCCCTCCAACCAGCAGCTTCAACTCTTCCCCTCTTCTCCTCCCTTGTCTCTTTTTTCTTCTTCCCCTCCATCTCTTCCCCTCTCCTCCTCCCTTTTCTTCTTCTTTCTTTCCTTTCCTCCTCCTCCACAACGGCAACAACGTTTAGTCCTTTTCTCCGTGCCAACACCTCCTCCATGGTGACAAGAAGCAACCCCTCCTTCTTTTAGCTTGGTAGCAACTCCTCCGTTTCTAGGTAACCCATCCATCATTTTTTTTTCAATTTTTTTGAATAATTTAATTTTTTATTAATTATTAATTATTAGTTGTTAATTGTTGTTGGTGTTAACTATTTATTAGTCAATTGTTAGTAAGTTTAATTGTTCATTGTTGTTGTTGTTAATTAACTTAATATATTTTTTTAAATAAATTTTAAAGTGTTTGGTTAATAAAATATTTGTTAAATAATTTTGATTTATATAGTTTTTAATGAAATTAAGTTTAGTTATTGGTTTTTAAAAATTTTAGTTGTTAATTATTGTTAAATAAGTGATTAGTTGGTTAATGTTATTTTGTTTAAATTATTTTGTTAACATAAATATTTTTTATTTTTTAATTAATTTTATTATGTGTTTAAATAATTAATTAAGTGTTATTTTAATGAATTACATTTTAAATAAATTTTATTTAATTGTTATTTAGTTTATTTAATTTTGTTGTTATAAGTATTTGTTCTTTGTTAATTAATTAAATATTTTGTTAAAATAATTATTTAAGTGTTACTATAATTAAGTATGTGTTAAGTAAATTTTATTTATATAGTTGTTAATGAAATAAAGTTTATTTGTTGGTATTTCAAAAATTTAATTGTTAATTGTTGTTAAATAAGTGATTTATGGGTTAATTGTTAATTAATTAGTTTACTTTAGTTTATTATTATAAGTATTTGTTATTTTTTAATTAATTTAAGTTTTTTTTACAAAATTATTTAAGTGTTAGTTTAATAAATTAGGTTTTAAATAAATTTCATTTAGTTGTTATTTAAATAATTTAATTGTTCTTAAAAAATTGAATAGGTGTTACTTTTATTAATAAATTATTTAATTGTTAAATTAGTGATTTAAGTGTTAATAAAATTATTTAAAACTGTAGAAAAATAAAATATTTAATATTTTTACAAAATTATTGTTTGTTAATTTAATTGTATAATTAAGTGGTAATCAAATTTTTTATTGTAACATTCACTAAAATAATTTATTGAAAATTAAAATTTTATAATATTGTTTAAAAAAATTAATTAGGTCGTTAAATAAGAAAATTGGTTTAGAATTATATTTTTTAAATATTATATAAAATATATATTTTTAAGTGTTGTTTTAATTTATTTTTTTCTTATTTTAGTATTGTAGTTGTTAATTAAGTCAATTACTTTATACTTAAATTATTTAATTTGCATTTAAAAGAATCATTTAGGTAGTTGAATAAGAAAATTTAGAGTTTATAATTAAATTAATAAATTTTAATTTTAGTTATAAAATTATGAGTTAGTTTTATTCATTTGCTTGTTGATTCATTTGCTTATTAATTTAGCTTTGTAATTGTTAAATTAAATCCATTTTTTGGTAATTTAATTATTATATTATTGGTTAAGAAATTAAATTATTAATTTTTTAAAATATAAAATTACGTGTTAGTTTAATTAATTTGGTTATTAATTTCCTTTTTAAAATTTTCAATTAACTCGATTGTTGAATATGCAGCGAGACAATTCATCCATCAAGCCTCCAATCGACGATGGTTTTTCCACTCAACCTCTAACCGATGACCTTATCGATCGCTCCTAGCTTTCATGTTTTCTTTTTCTTATAATATTAACAAACTTTATACATAATTTAATATTTTAATATATATTTCATTTTATTAAATTTTATATTTTGTAATGTTTAAGAATCTTATGTATTGGGTTTTTTTTTAAGTCTTTAAATTGGAATAGGTGAATTTAAGACAATTAAAATTTGAGTAAATATTAAAAAAAAATTATCAATAGATTTAGTGATGGTTTTAACCGTTGCTAAATCATAATTTTAGCGATCATTTTGACAAACGGTCGCTAAATTAGGTACATTTTATAAAAATCGTAGCAAATTTGTCCAAATTTAGTGACTTTTTTGGTGTCTATTTACCAAAATAGTTGCAAATTTGTCTAATTTTTAGCGATGTTTTTTTCATCAAATTAGCGACAAGCTTTTTGAGGATAATTTGTAAGCTGTCGCTAATTTTATTTAGCGAAGGTTTTTTCAATATGAGCAACGATCTAGACCATCGCTAATTCTATATTTTTTTGGTATAGCTAGCCTCGCTAATTCTACATTTTATGATAGTGCTAAAGTAAATATATTACAAAGAAACTAAAAGAACAAGGGTCTTTCAACGGTAAATTGATACTACCCAGCTTCTTTTGTTTTCTTTTGTTCGTTTTTTTTCTTCTTCGGGTTGACCGAGCAACCAAGGCTTGGCTCTTAGGCAAGCACGCACCGAGCCTTAGCCGCCCAACCTCGCCCTTCTTCTTTTTTTCTTCTTCTTCATATATCCAAGCCTCGGTTGCCCGACTTGGCCTTCTTTCCTTTTTTTCTTCTTCATATATATATATATATATATATATATAATGGTTGATAATTTTTTTTATATAATTTTATTTGTTAATAAATTTTATTTTTTAATAAATGAATCTTGGAATAAAATTTTAGAACGTCAATGTTTTATTTTTTTACAATATATATATATATATATATATATATATATATATATAGAGAGAGAGAGAGAGAGAGAGAGAGAGAGAGCCAAAAGTATGTTTTAGATAGTTTGACTCAATTTTTTTTTAAATAATAATGAGTTAAAAAATTCATAGGTTTTATTTGCTTTTTTGTATATATTTATTCGAATTTATCGAACCAATTTTGTTATAGATTTTATTTTAATCTATTGATTTCAATATATTTCTACAATTTAGGTGAGTTTTTTTTTATATATTTATTCTATATACTCTCGATCTGTTACACATATATATATATAGTTTTATTAAAAATTAACTATATATAGATTCGATTTATATTAATTATTAAAAATAAAACTTTCTACTAGTATTGCATCATCGAATCCTTAACCTTACATATATAATGGTTGTTTGCCCACAACATAGCGCATATATATGACTAGTATTCAACTATTTATCATGCTATTCCTTTGCCTAGCTAGGATGTATGTGTGTAAACTGCAAGGTCTCCAAAGCATAGGACCTTTGCATATCAAGGCCTCTATGGTCTTTTACTCTAAACCATTTGTCGAAGCTGTTTCGCATAAATTCTTCCAGTCCCAGAGAAAGGTGCCAATAAAGCTCCTCCCCATTTTCAAAAGAGGTTTTCTTGCGCTTTGATTTCCACTCAAACACTCCTCATTTCCTATCCAAGAACTTCCCAAACCTTTCTTTCCTCACTTTTCTTTTTCACCGCTTACGCCCTCGTTCTTTCAAAACTCTTTTTATTGAAAAGAAAATCAAATAAAATAAAGATAAATCCCTAGTGATCTCTTTCTATTATGTTCTAAAGCTTATCACCTCCAAACACTTTCTCACACCCTCTTTCTTTCTTAACTCGTAAGATACTAGCTAATACTGCATTTTCTCTCCCCACATTCCACACACTAATTAAAACCACTCAGAATCCTAAAAACTCCTGCGTTTCTGGGTCCGAACGTCATGAAAACCACTACACTGAAGTAAACCCACTTCTACATTTCCAATTTCACAATCTTTATCGACTCTCTTCAAGCAAAACCTTAAAAAGTGCACCTGCTTAGAAACTATATCTCAATGTCTACACCATTAGACCAACAACAACAACCACCACCACCACCACCACCCGATATGGAAGTGACCGCCTACACGACCCACACGGGTCATGGGTCGGTTGGACCAGTCATAGCAGTTCTTGCAGTGATCACAATATTAGGAGTTATAGCAGCAATGATTGGTAGGCTTTGTTCAGGTCGTCGGATCTTGGGGCATGGGCAATATGATTTCGAGGGTTGGGTAGAGAGAAAATGCTCCTCTTGTCTCGATGGCCATGTCGGGCCTCCTCCGACCCGACCCACAGATATTCCGGTGGCAGCTCCGGTGTTGGAGGTGGAGGCTCCGCAAGAGACCAAAGAAGAAGAGCAGGAGCAAGAACAAACTCAACATAAACCACATTCAAGCACTAGTGAATCTTGATTCTTGTTTCTTGATACTAGTAATCGTATATTAATGAGTTTGAAGGGATTCTTGTCTTTTGATGTTTAGTTTAGTTTTTTTCAGTTTATTTCAATATTGTTCTTTAGGCAATTTTTGGTTTAATTTTATGCGGATGTGCAACATCATATAATGTAAATCATGAGCATTAAAACATTTTCACTTTAATCAAAACAAGCTTTGTTTTCACACTTGAAGAATTGAACAGTGGTTTGGTTTTAAAATTAGTCGTAATCTATTTCACTAGTTGCTCGTAACCACAAATGAATATGTTAATGTATATATAATCTTGTATTCAAGGTTATTTTTGTACAGTCGAGGAAATGTTGGTTCTGCAGCTTTTTGGTTTCTTTATTTGCAAAGTTTTTATTATTGTCTTATAGTTATTTTTTCTGTTGGTTACATTGGATTCTCTTCTTGTGGTATGTATTAGATTGCATTTTAAAAGGAACATTCCTTTGTTATGCATATGAGACAAATGTGGTTCAAGATCTCATGCCCCTTTGGGGATTTCGATTCCCAACAGACAGATAGGGGCGCCATTAACTTTTTCTGTTTTTGCTTTCTATTCCCAACAGACAGATGGTTATTATGTGTTTTAATTCCTTTAGATATTCCTCAGATTAGTTTAAGCCTATAATTTATTTAGTCGTTAGACCTCTATTTCTTTAATGTCACCTTCCCTCCCGCTTTAATGTCTTTGGTCACAGTATCATATTAAAGGAAATGTCAGTGTTAGTCAAACCATGTGCTACTGCTGTTGGCTTTTAGATTTAAGAAAGCAGTTGCTATTGTTGAACATTAATTACACTGTTATTTGAGAATATAACGGAGGAAGTATTATGGAGTAATTATTGGAATAATAAAAGAGAGGAAAAAACTTGTTAAAGATCTTCTTTTGACAGCTTTTCTTTTCTAAATCAATGATGTACACTTACATTCAACCAGAGGCAGTCTTAAGTCACTGCAGAGGTAATGATAGTATTGTCCAGAGAAAACCCATTTTGCAGGAGGCCATATGTCGGAGCTCATGGTGGGCATCATCGTGAATCAGGAACGAGGAAAGTTTCAAATTACAGAATTGATGATTCTTGGAAAACCATGTGAAGTGGACAGCTTTTGTCATAGCCTCTACCGAGAAATCGAAGTGTCAAAGTCAAGGAGAAAGTGACTCTCCCTTCCCAAGGACAGTTATACAAAATCTGTACTGTGTTTTTAGGACTTTCTCAGTGTAGATTTATTCTGTTGGACGTATAGTCTGGGTCAATCTTTTGAGTGGCTAATATAATACTTTTCAGAATCTAAAAGCGCCCAGATAGCGCCCTTTTGTGTCTGGTTTTAAACTAAATTAATACACTCGGGAGCCTACATGGTTTTATCGTCTAGCAAGCAATCTTGAATTGTTTCCTGGGGCAGCAATATCTTTTTAATTTTTCTTCCTCTTTATTCGAATCACAGAGCTAATTTAACAGATGTATCAACCTACATCAGCAACGAATCACCAGTTCTCATTTATCTAGCAAAGCATTGTCGCTCTAACGTAGGTTGCAGCTATATAGAAATATTCCGGTGGTTAAAACTTGGGATTTTTACAAGAAAGTAAGAGGTTCAACAAGAGAAAGGTTTTTTAATTAAAAAAACATTGATTTGTTAGAAATTATCTTGAATTATTGGTCAATAAAAAAAAATTATGCTGAATCGGATTTCAAATTTTTTTTACCATAAAATAAGTACATTTTCATTTTATAGATCAATTTCAAGCATTAAGAAATACGTAAAATTATTAAAACAACAATACATATCTTAAAAGCTTTAAACACAAAACACATGTTATTATTTTATAACTCTACGTGTCATTTGCAAGCATCTAGTATGGTTTGATGTTAGTCGATTGAATAAAAAAAATTAATTACGGACCAAAAAGAGGTTTAGGACACCAAAAAAAAAAAAAAAAAAGAAGCTAGAAACTTTTTCCTTGTTGATAAAAAAATCAAAGAGTACTTTATAATCAATTAGTCTTGTTATTATGGATGGAAGACTCTATATAGGTGAGGAAAAACTTTAGAGTACTTCGAGAATAATCATCAGTAGTTACTCTATATATTCATATTAAGAAAAAGAAAAATCACACCAGAATTCATAAAAAAATGATAAAAAGATTCCACCTAAATTCAAAATTATATTTTTAGAATTCTCTCTTATGTTTTATATATTTCTCACCTATACAACAACTATTGATAATTATTCCGTTAAAATTCCTGACTTAAGCTATAGCCAAGGCCTATGAGCTCTTCCGCCCAAGTGGCAATTACCCACTAAAACAAACGTATCACAGCCCACGGCTCATTTCCTTTTGCTGGTGAGAGCCTGAGAGTCGAAGATGGTCTGGGCTTGAACCAAATTTAGCTAACGAATACTTTTGCCGTATTGGCTAATCGATGTAAACAATAGCTTAATGTTTTTGACATATCAATGGGCTCTAGCTCTATTGGTTCTGAGTCAAGATAAAGAAAACAGGGTTACAAAAAAATTGGTTCTTGCTATATTTGATTTTCGTTGGGTGCATAACAAGACAATAACCAGATCTAGTTAGAGATTTTGTGATAAATTTTCAATACGGGATAGATTTGGAATCCACTCTCACACTGTGTTTGTGCTTAAATAACAATGATCCAGAACTATCAATCACTTTCCCACAAGTTGACATTTTTGTTTGCTCTAATGTGGGTGACGTACATATCTAGGGCAGAAATTATTTTTCTAAAACCTTTCCAAATAATTGCGTGTTATTTACATCAAATTGCGCTTTCTAGGCCCCCGCAACTCTCATTAGGAAATGAATTATGGAACACTAGGATGACGAAAATTGAAAGGAAACGCTGTGGGTTTTCTAGAGCTCATGTAATGGGTTGGAATTTCATAGGTTTAGCTATAAGTGAGAACCAGTAGCAACCACTCCTAGTTGATAATTACAAGTGCATTATCTATAATTATTAAGTGGTCCTAGTACGCAACAGGCCCTGTATATTTTGTTTGACGCTTGGTATTATTTTTTTCAAATTTTCCTTCACTGGGGTTCCTCCAAAGTGGCCTTTGATTTTTTATGTTTTATTTTTTACATGATGAATCATAAGGTGGAAACGCTGTGTCTTATGCTCGTTGACATATATCACTATGTTACGACAGAAAAAATAACGTCTTTAGTTTGGAATATATTTTCATGATTGCACCAAATTGACGAGAAAAGCATGCTCTTAAATTCATCACTGATAAATTGGTTTCCACCAAATGTTTTTCATCGTTAGAAAAGGGGGAAAAAAGAAGAAGAAGAAGAAGAATAGGCATGAGATTGGGCAAGATCCACCCAACCAAAGATGTATTAATTATTTTCTATTCTTTATTAAAAAGATCAGAGTATTTTTCTACCGTACTATCAGATCGCAATTGGCCATGTACAGTCGTGAGAGTTGTGGTTTTTTTCTTCTTCTTTTTTAACAACGATGACCATGAAAAATGGGAATTTATGCACTTCTTTTCAATGCAGAGAAGAGGATTAGTGATTCCAATTTCGGCGGACATATACATGCATTAGGGATATAATCCAAAAGAAAATACAATCAAGGGTCAAAATATAAATACACAAGACATCCAAGAAACGAACAGTACACCGTATGCACAGGGCCATAGGCCATAGCTAGGGCTCCCATTTAAGATAGCTGTACTGTACACGATGTTGCCCCTCAAAACAAAAGGGGAGAAAGATAGCTAGGCGGGCAGACGGTAAGGCCAAAGTCAAAATTTTTCTTTTCTTTCTTTTTTATTTTTATTTCCATTTATTGCAAGAAGTTAAAATGAACTAGTGTATATAAATGAACCAGTCCAGGGGTTCAATATTACTTCCTTTTATACAAAGAATTCTCTAGAGTCTCAAACAAACTCTTTCTTTAACATATTTAGTAGCAAAGAGAAAAAAGAAAGAAAGAGAGAAACATAGATGGGGAGGCCAAGGTGTTTTTTGGACATAAGCATAGGAGGTGAGTTAGAAGGAAGGATAGTAGTAGAACTCTACAACGATGTTGTTCCTAAAACTGCTGAAAATTTTAGAGCTCTCTGCAGTGGTGAGAAAGGCATTGGACCTAACACTCATGTTCCTCTTCATTACAAGGTCTTAACTTCACTTTAGTACCTTTTTAATAATTTTTTTTTTTTTTTTTTGTGTGTTTGGGGTTTGTGGGTTCAAGTTGGTTTTTGAATTGGTTGATGAAAATACATCCTTGTCCCTCCCTCTTGTGTTGGTAATGCTCGCGGTTGTTTTGTTTTTTCTCTGTGATCAAAGTGTGTGTTAGATATGTTCGTATTGGATTATTGACCTTTGCGGTGTTTATAACCTGATGGTACTTTTGGGAATTTTAAGGGTACTAAAGTCTTTTGATTTCTGATATTGTTAGTATTATGGTATATGATTGTAATAATTGTTTCATTGTTGATGCCTGTTTCGAAAACGAAACCTTTTTGGGTTTTGGTCAGTGAGAAAGAAAGAAGCTTTTTCTGGGTAGAAGTTAGGTTTTCGGCTCATGATGAAAAGTCAGTTTTGTCCTCAATTGCTTAGAGAAGTAGTAGTCGTGACCCTTGTGCCTTTTAGATTGCTTGATTCTAAAGAATCTTCCGAGGGTTATTTTCTTTTCCCAGTACTTTGAGATTTTGGACCGCTGGAAATACCATGATTGGCGGTTTCTGCTAGTTTTCATTTTTGTTATTTTGGCTTCAGAGCGAGGGTGTTTTTTTTTTTTTTTTTTTTTGGTGATAGATAAAGTTTTTGTGCTTTGGTATTGATATCTTATCATAGTTCTTCATTTTTCTCGGATAGATAAAGTTCTTGTGTTTTGGTATTAATATCTTATCACAGTTCTTCATTTTTCTTGGTCAGTATTTCTAGGCAATCTATGGCTTGAATTTTTTATTGATTAATCGTTGCATATTGACAAACATTATTATTTTTATGTGCACAGCATTGGCTGGAAAGGCCTGTGGGAAAGGAAGTTTAAGCTTATTGTAGTTGATTTTACTTGTTATTTTTTGGATATCAGGGATGCCGTTTTCATCGTGTTATCAAAGGTTTTATGGTTCAAGGCGGAGATATCTCTGCAGGAGATGGGACTGGTGGGGAATCTATTTATAGCTTGAAATTTGAGGATGAGAATTTTGAACTGAAACATGAAAGGAAGGGAATGTTATCTATGGCCAATGCTGGTCCAAACACAAATGGTTCGCAGTTCTTTATCACGACGACTCGCACTTCTCATTTGGACGGAAAACATGTTGTATTTGGAAAGGTTGTTAAAGGAATGGGAGTTGTTCGTTCTATTGAGCATGTATCAACTGGTGATGCTGAGTGTCCTGCTTCTGATGTTTTAATTGTGGATTGTGGAGAGATTCCCGAGGTTGCAGATGATGGGATATGTAATTTCTTCAAGGATGGTGATGTTTATCCTGATTGGCCAGCTGACCTTGATGAGAGTCCTAAGGAACTTTCATGGTGGATGAATGCTGTAGATTCTATTAAGGCTTTCGGAAATGAACATTTCAAGGTAATGGTTTTCATGTTTGGTTGATGTTCTTGTCGCCCCAAAGGCACATTGGTGAAACTTACTGTTATAGCACACATCAGGACTCAGAAGGAAACTTTTAGGGACTCTAGTTAACAATATACTTTGTTGGGGTGTGAAGATTTTAGGTGAACTGATTTTTTCAAGCCATTAATGCTCTCCACTGTCTATGGGCGTTTGTTTTTCTTTATCCATTTCTTCAATAACTTGTGTTGATGACCCAATTTCTAATTATTGATTGCAGAAACAAGACTATAAGATGGCACTAAGAAAGTACCGGAAGGCTTTACGCTATCTGGATATCTGTTGGGAGAAAGAAGGGATTGATGAAGGTGAACAGTTCTGCGCTCCATTACTTCCTAGTCCCTTTATACCTTGATGTTCAAATTGCTTCCTGTGCCTCAGCTGCATTTGATTTACTTATATACTTCTTCTTCTGGTGGCTTTGCAGAGAAGAGTTCGGCTTTGAGGAAGACAAAGTCACAGATATTCACAAACAGTGCAGTAAGTTCTTGTTCTCACTATTGTCTGGATATTTTTACTGCCACTGGCTACTGAAGCTTTTGACCTTTTGAGTAGGCTGCAAAGTTAAAATTAGGGGATCTGAAAGGAGCACTGGTGGACACAGACTTTGCAATACGTGATGGAGAAAACAATGCAAAAGCTCTGTTTCGCCAGGGACAGGTTAGTATTTTCAATTGGGAATAATTTCAATCTCTAGAATCGTGGGAGCTTCTGCACAAGTTTTTTGGTGAGCTAGTTCATCTGTTCTACAAAAGGTTCTTTCTGAGATGTGTAGTTCTGAATCTTCTAATAGCTTCTTTCAAGCTGCTTTTGCCTCCCCACTCCCCCTTTGGAAGACTTAGATTTCTTCCAGTTATTTTCTCGTGTATACTGTTTGTTTGTAATTCACGGAAATGAGTGGCATAGGCTTTCTTGTAGGGACAGCAGTAAGTTACTTTTTCTAACTCTCTTCTGTATCCTTTACTGGTTTCAACTTTTAAGAAATTTGTTTAAATATTTTGGTGACACTTTTTCCCCTTGATTTGTTACTTTTTAATGTTGGAGGAAGTACCTTCTGATACTAATAGGTAGTTTTCTTCTGTATATGTCAGGCATACATGGCTCTTAATGATGTTGATGCTGCGGAGGAAAGCTTCAAAAAGGCATTGCAGTTGGAGCCAAATGATGGTTAGCGATAATCCGAAACAGGGCCAATGGCACATAATTCTGGGTTTATTCTAGGGATAGAAGTTTTGTTCAGATACTTGCTCCCTAATAAAATTTATAAGTTTCAGCAGTTATTTTGAAGTATGCTTAAAAATAGCCGACTCAAATTTATTCACATTGAATAATTTCTAGGAGATTTTGGACCTGTTATTTTACAAAGAATCCATTTAAATTTTCTGATAGCTTACTTTGGTTTCTAATGCTTTTCAGCTGGAATAAAAAGGGAGCTTAATGCTGCTAGGAAGAAGGTTTGTAGAATTTACAGAATTTGAAACATTTTATGATAATAAAAGGTTGCAGTCAACTGGGTGCTAACAATTAGTTTTTTGCAGATTAACGAGAGACGTGATCGGGAGAAAAGGCAATATGAGAAGATGTTCAAAACTTCAAACAGCACTTCTGCAAAACCGTAGCCTCTTGCTATGTGCATTGCCTTTTCAAAATTCTTGCCATTTGATTGGGTATTGCCATCTGATAATAATTTGAACAGGCTGCAAATCCCTTGAATTACAAAAGCTTCAGGTTTCTTTTGCTGCTTCGTAGTTTCATGGACTGAAACTGGTTCAGGCTTTTTTATAAACGAACTCTGTTATTCTGGAAGGAGTGTTAGGTATTAGATGCATCCCCATGCTTCGTGGACACATACATGTTCACTGATTCACAGATGTGTATTCTATCCCTCTGATATTTTGACTCACTTTTCAGGTTTTGTCAGAGACCAAGGAGCCTTCATCAAAGGCAACTGTACAGTTTTGAGGCTTGAACCAATTTTTGTCTAGGGTTTGCATGGACATTTTTGTGAAACTTAGCTAGCTTACAATGATGGAAATAAAAGCTTGTCATGTTCTATGGAACTTTTTTGGAATAAAAGAGAATTTTGGTTTTGACTATATATATATATAAGGTTAATGCCGTCATTTACTTTTATATAATATGTCAAATTTTTAATCTGTTCTTAAATCTTAAAATGCCTCTATATTTGAGTTGGTTTTTCATTTGTTTTTCGGTTCATTTTTCTGGCCAAATTAAAATATCACATAACCTAGGCATGATTTTTATTTTGACAAAAATGCCTTTTACAATTTAATATGTTAAGTTTTTAATTTGTTTTTATATAATGCGATGAGTGTCTAATTTGTTCTTGATACTAAAAAAATCTATTATATTATTATTTATTAATTTTCCTAATAATGTGTTGTAAATTTTTTGTTAATTAAAAATATAAAAAAAATTAGTATAAATTATTATGCAACTGTTCAAGAAATTATCATTTAATATATTTTTAATGCTAAAGAGTTTATTATATTATTGATAATAATTCACTTATGTATAATATTGAATAAATTGATATAATATTTATTAATCTATGCAATCATCTCTATTAAAGAAAACATGTGAATCTTGTGCAACAAACAAATGGTTATGTAATTAAAGAAAATATGTAATTATTTGTTTTTAGTTATATGTTTAAAAGACTAATTAACAATTACTTAAATATAATTTTTTTTAATCTTTTGAATAGTTACACACTAACTTGTATTAATTATTTTTAACTAATAAAAAATTTACTACAGCATAACACATTATTAGAAAAATTATTAACAATGATACAATGGATTTGGTAGTATTAAAGATAGATTGAAAAATTAAACCACAAGAGACATTTTCGGAAAAAAAAAAAAACTTCATGTGCTGATCATGTGATTTTTTAGATGGTTTAACCGGAAAATTGATCAGAGAAACAGTTTGGAAACTAACTTAAATAACAGAGGCACACTAAAAGTGTTTTAAGATTTAGGATAGATTGAAAATTTGATATTAACTCCTTTCATATACTGCATCTATATCTACCAACAACTGATTTACAGTGATTGGCCTGTAGGACAACAATATTTCTTGTCTTTCTTCCCTGTTTCCATGCCCTTTGGTTCACCTCATTCTGCTTGGTGTTCGATCCTGAACAGAGTATATCAACCACAATAGCTAATGCATGCGTTCTCGGTTTGTTCATTAATTGCCAAAACCAGGGCAACGATGTGGTTGGTTCCTGAAAACTGCAGTAACCAGATCGGAGGCCCAATACTGATCCGAAGACATTCAAGAGATTTAGATTCTCACTCTTGACGTCCACATGCATTAAACTCAAGCCCAAAATATTTTGAGGATCACAGAATCACAAACTTGCCCCTCAATCACGGGATAAAATAAAAGATACAGATGAAAGAAAAATAAAGAAAGACGTAAACTTGAAAAAAAGGAAAGAAATGTGCACTAAATGTTTGCGTCTACATTGGAAAAACTCTATTTTGAGATGTTGTATTTGTATCATATCAGTAATTTCGTGTAAATAATTTGATGAATTTGATTTTATATTCGTTTAACATAAGTCTAAAAAATGTGAATTTCACATCAGTTTTATTCTCTTGTTAAAAAAAATGACTTTTAAAAAATATTAAAATAAAATATTTTAATCAAAACTGTGTTTCACGTGACTAATATTTTTCTTCGCATTAATAAGTCTTTAGATGTTTGCTAAAAATTGAAGTCATTGGAATCAAATTACCTAAATATAAAGAATATATGGAATTTATCAAATTATTTATACAGGGTTTAAGTTATTTAATACAAATACAGGGCCTAAAATAATGTTTTTTTTTCCTTTCTTTTTTTTTTTTTTTTTTTTGGAAGAATTAAATACAGAAATAGTGGTAGGTGCGAAATCTCTCTTTCCTTATTCGTAGTGTGCAGAAGTGGATGAAGAGATATTATGGAGTCTATATCTATATTTGTATGGACCATTTGAGTAGAAAGTAACCATCGAAGAAATAGACTAAAAAAGGAAAAGGTAATTAAGTGACAACATATTAGCCGAGAATTTGAAGGCTATAATGTAGTACAGAAAATAATTATATGATAATTCTGTTGTGAGTATTAATGGGAGAAGAACATAATCTTATATTTTCTGTAGAACAGAACCTCGAGGCTTAATTCATCTTCTTAAAGAAAATAAGAAAAGAAAAGACTCCTCTTTTCTTTAGAAGTTTTAATGGCAGAAAACCTTGGACCTCTTCCTGTAATTTTTTCTACGTCTTCACTCTCTCAACATTTCTATATATATGCCGTATTCGAGTTGAGCTTTACTTTTTTTTTTTTGGCAGGCTTGTATTTTGAGAGTGGATGTCCAATGCTGTTCCAAGTGTGCTACGAAAGTGAAGAAAAGGTTGCAAAAAATAAATGGTATAAGTAGTGCCCACTTTGCATCCAATCATGCCTTGTTCATATATCAAGAATTTATGAGGTCTCTTATTTTGTTTATTATTTTGTTGCTTAGGAGTTAACTTGGTAGATTTAAACACGAAAAAGGGGTTGGTGATAGTTTCTGGCTTTGTAGATCCTTCAACGCTCCAAAGGGCCATAACGAAGATAGGGAAGAAAGCAGAGATTTTGTCATATGAAAAGGATCCCATACTAGCCAAAAACAAACTTGATAAATTCATTAGGAACATGCAAAAAGAGTGTAACATCAGTGATGAGGAGAATTGTTGTTGCTGTAAGGAGTCTAAGAAGGATCAGAAGCCGGTACCTAAGGTGAGTGACGATGAGGCAATTTCTATGCCTCCTCAGCCATATTATGGCATGGGAAGTAGTAATGCACCTCCTGCTTGGTACGGGCACAGAAGCGTTGGTCCGAGATTTTATGGTCCTGGTTATCAAGGGCTGCGGCCTAGGTATGACACTCCAATGGTGCCATACAATTACACGGGGAGACCATATGGTTATCCAGGCTATCAGCCATCTGTTTATGCTAGGTTGCCGCTGCAGCCAACACTCCCTCCTCCTCTTCCTCCGCCACCACCTCCGCCACAAATTCCTTTGCCAAATCTTCATGCTGTTTACGGTGGGCAAAAAGAAGCACCAGCCGGCAACTCCATGTATCATGCTTTCAGCGATGATAATGTTAAAGCTTGCAGCATAATGTGATCATTGCTGCGTCCATTGTGAACATTGCATGTATCTTATGGATTTTTTTTTTTCCCCCCAAGCAATGTTACTTGGTACTGAATGTTGGAGAGGCTTTTTTATTGGTCTCCACTACAATTTGAACTGTATCAATTTGATTCCTAGACCTGGTTCTTGTGGCTTCTACTGGTTTCTTACCCTTGAATTCTGGTCCTTACAGCAATGAAAACTCCTTGGAATACAAAATACAAAGGCAATGAAATAGAACTCCTGCTTTGCCTCGTTTTCAGATTTGACCTTCTAACCGAACAGGTTCAGCTTCAGGCATTGATCAATCTCAGGCGGTAACCACCATGATTAACAAACAAAAGTTGCTATTGTTACGGTCCAAACCAAACCTAATAATTTATTCTCCATTCCAGCCGGAGGGGCAGTTAATGATCGCATTGCAAGCAGTTTGTTTGTAATCGAATCACGAATTGTATTTTGAATTAATCAAATTACAAGTTTTTGGAGAGCAAAACCAATAGTCAGTAATTTGTTTGCAAACAAATCCAGTAAACTTAATTATCTGTAATAGGTTATACAAACACCAACGAGAACCTTTGCCGATTTTAAACACGGGGAGAAGAGGGAAAAGAAAGAAGAGGAAAATTGGTACTTTGTAAGATAAATTCTCCCTAAGCACATCACATGAAAATTCAACCTTAGAAATGATGGTGCTTCTTCACACTAAATCTGAATATATTTTGGCTCGAAGCTTTGTAAATGTAGTGGCGAACAATATGCTGACCCACGCTAAGTCAAAAGGAGGCCACACGGAGTATAATCCAATATGCATCAAGTCATTAATTTTCTGAGCATGAACTATGAATTATAGTTATCAAGGCCCAAATCCCTCAGAGCATCAGTGGCAGCATTCTTGCAGGTTTCGTGGTTTACCTTTGCCCTTCTTATAATTTTCTCGATGCCATGACTAAGAAGAAGAGTTCTGTAAAGAGGCAAGATTTAATCTAACATGAGAGACGGTGTTGCAATTTAGTATAGTAGTCCTATTTTTGGGGCTATGTCAGAGCGGTAGTATGAAAAAAGAAAATAAAGCCTGCCTGATGATGTGCCACAAGATAAAAAGAAAGTGTGGACTGGAGAGAAAAAAAAACTTGCCTGTTCTCGGGGTTCCTCACAACAAGATTACGGATCATTAGACAGGAATTTCTCTGTAATTGTGGTACAGTAGAAAACTTCTCCATGGCTTGGATAGCAAGATCTCCAGCTCCGGCTTCCATGGCACGCGCTGAATTATCTGGAGATCTTAAACAGAGCACTGTAAATATGGACATAACCTGAAACATGGTGGAAATATAATTAAAGAATGCAACAGGTGGCTCATAAATGAAAATTTCCAATCCTTACAAATGTCCATTCTCACATAAAACAGTTATTGGACTTGAACATAAAAAAAATTTACAGCAGATGTCAACAGCTCCTACGCATCTAATCTAACTTTTAACAAATTCAAAGCACAGCCACAATACATAAATTCAAATTGTACCATAACTAAAATGACTGGTAAATTTTTTGAAGTGCCAATCCTTGAACTGCAACTTGCAGTGAGCCTCAAACTTGAAATGAACTAAACATTCCCACGTGAACAGAAAATTATTCTATTTCTGGATTAATGGTTATGTGCATTTCATAGTGCAGAGAATAACTTTTTACCTCTTGCAGAACAGAAACGTCATCAGAAAATCTGGCTGAGAGTTGAATTAGCTTATTCATACCCTCCTTCTCAACAATAACACTTTTATTTGAATCACTTCCTGCTAACTAATCAAACACAATGTTGTAAGCACTCTGTTCATCCAAACAATTGAAAACCATAAACTCTGAGCCAGATTTTCCTTCTACCTTGGATAACAAAGAACAGCAAGTTCTAGCAACGATTTTGTTGCCTTGTTCGCCACTGTCATCGATACATTTCAGAATGGCATCAATGCCACCACTTTCAGCAATGGATTTACATATTTCATCCTACAGGTCAGAAGAAAATGAGGAAGAGAAACCTCAAAGTTGAACAAAGAAAGACCATATTTCATATCCAGCATGGAAAATCATAGTACTCTTTGATGTAAGATTCTACAATATATGAAGTTCCTGAACATAAAACAGAGAATACGGCTAGATAGATAGAATGGAGGAAATAGATTCATGTAACCCAAACCTGACGTGCATGTGGTATATAAATAAAGGTCATTTTCCCACAACTTAAGACCATATATGATATAATCATGAGTGCAATGATATATTTTTAAACCACAAAAACCTAATAATTAGTGCAAAAGGATTTTGACATTTCATCAGATGTGAGTAAACTTACATTAACGGCAACAGCCTTCAAAGCGATGCTTGCTGAAACCAAACTGGGTGAGGTAAGCCCTGCCAGTAATGATTCCACAAGAGCTCCAGCAATTCCAATTTTGGCAAATCTTCGTGCATAACCATAAACCTGAAGTTTAATTGAAGTCAGTTGCTTTGATGAAGACCTTTTGCATCAACATGTGGTACATAAATATTTGGTTGTGAAACCATACGTCACTGACAACACAAGCTTAGTGTCCAGGTCGCAAGCCACAAGCATAAAGTTGATCAATCATACCGAGGTTTGTAAATTTGTGTTGAAACATTTACTTACTTGGGATGCCACAACACGATTATCATCAGGTGTCAAGAGAACACGTATAGAATCATATAGACCTTGGATGTTGCCTTGACTCTGTGTACTCAGTGCTTCCAAAATAAGCTCATCAATTTTCAACTCCATCAACAACTCTTTCACAACCTCATTGCCAGTTGCCGCTGCAGCAACAACAGCAAACCCACTATTTAAGATGTCTAAACTTTCACTTCCGTCCTTTAAAATACCAACCACCATTTTTGTTCCATCACTAGACCGAAACGTTTCAGTACTTTGAAGATCTGCAGATTACAAGGACACGAACATTACAAAAACCCACAAATTACAATGAACTATAGCGTTGAGCTGGATCTTTTTTCTTTGGAAGCAAAGATTCAAGGGTTAAGAAAACTAAGTAATATCACTGAAACATAAATAACACTCATAAGGAAACAAAAAAGGAAAAAAGAAAACCCTTATAAATCGCACTCCAAATTCTAAACCAACCATCTAAAAAAAAAAAAAACCAAACAAACAGCATTATCCTACGCAGATAAAAACACATACCATGAATCAACAATGCCAACGTTTTCAAAGCCGAAACGAGAACTTTCTCAGACCCAATAGGAATGTTGGAGCAAATAGAACAAACTAACTCCACCCCACCATTTCTAACACCAACTGCAACGTTCCCAGATCCTTCAACGCCACTAAACAATCCAACCAACTGATCAAACAGCCCCACCATCTCATCCAAACCATGGTTATCAAATCCCACTTCCTTCAATCTCTCCAAACAGTTAATGACCGGATTCTCCCTCACATTCGCCTCTCCTGGTACACAAGTCACAATCCCTGCAACAAACCCATGATTTTTATTTGTTATTATTATTATTATTATTATTTTGAAATGATAAAAAAGGGAAATGTAAAAATGGGGTTCTTTATCGAGTTGTTTGTTACCTGAGAGATCAACGCCTTGAAGAGTGAGAGTTTGGATTGCATCTTCAAGGGCTTCTGTGGGGTCCATACCTAGATCTTCTATGTTCTCTTTTACTAGTTCATCGAAAGCTTCTTGTGAGATTGTACGGACATTCTTGCTAGGTGGGCCCATTATTGTATCTCCTCCTCCTCCTCCTTTTTCTTCTGGGTTTGGAATTTGTGTGGGCGAAGGAGGGAAGGGAGAGAGAGAAACAGAGAGAGAAGGCAGTCCTCTTGCAGGCTGGTTTTAAACATTTAACGACGTGTTGCTGTACTTATCTTACATGTCGTTCGTGTTTCAGTGACTTGTAGTCATATCGAAGATTATAATCTGTCTACGAGAATGAGACAGCTTCATGTCTCTCAGAGTTGGGAATTTTCCTTTTAACTACTTATACACTTGTAGGCTTGGCTTCCCCCAACTTTAGGACTAATACGTGTAAATTGATTCGAAAATACATCTCTATTAATATCAAATATATAAAGATAGTGTGGTGATTATTAATTTTAATAACAACAACAACAACTAAAAAAAAAACACAATGGAAGCAGCCATCGCAACGTTAACATAAAATAAAAATACAGTTAAGACATCTTAGAGTTCACTTGCAACCCACATGAACTCGGAATTTTAGGTAGTTTGGCAACCCACATGAACTCGGAATTTTAGGTAGTTTGGAATGACCAAATACTTGGAAACCATGATTAATGAAATAAATAAATAAATAAAGGGACAAAATTAACTCCAAAAAAGGGTAATTTAATGAAGAAGACAAAGATAGAACCCATGCAATGAACTTGTAGTCGAAAGCGTTACAGAATAGCTGCATAGGTCACTATACTATTTATATAAATTCTTATAATGTGTGGAAACTAATTTCATGCGCCTTAACTCAACTACTGTCAGATGTTCTGTTGTTAAAGACCATCGTACCAAAAGGATACACAGTTTCAAAAGTATCTCCAGATACTGACAACATGCTTCTAAAGGATCAAGGAACTAAAGGTTCAATAGCATCCAATTCCTTAACAAACTGGTTGAGTTGTCGTCTGCAATAGAAACCAACAAGTTGAAGTACGATTGATAGCAACAAACAAAGAACCAAAGTCGGAACAATCTGAAAACTCCATTACGTCCTGTAGAACAGTCACCATCAATCTAAGTCAAAACTGAGGCAGGCGTCAAAGTCACACATACAACAACTATTAAATCCATTTGTTTTATAATAGGCAGAACATTTTTATGGCTGATGACCTACCATTGTCATAGTTTTGGATAACAATTCTGCATCAAAAAGTTAGCTGTTTCATATTGCAAAGCATACACTCTATGCAAGAAAACCAGTGCAAAATCATCTTCACGTGCTAATATTTCCATGTTATCTGTTGGAGAGTGTGACCTTTAATTATAGCACCTGTGTATTTCAAAGAAGACCATTACTTCAGGAAAGTCAGCACTAAGTATAGTGGCACAGGCAATAATTTACCAAGCAACTTACCTAGAGGAATGAAGTTAACCAGATAAGCGAGATAGAGAGAAGCTAATATCATCTGCAAACATAAGAAGGCAATCAGAATCACCAGAAGAAAAGGAGAATGGAGTTTTATAAAAACAAACAAAAAGAAAAAGGCAATTACGCTAATTTTTTAAATGAGAAGAGTAAACATCATGGTGTAATGTTTAGTGCTGAATTACTAAATTACAAATAACTCTTGAGTAAGATTTTTCATAATGTGCAATTTAGAATGCCTAGGCCAAAAGATGCATCTATGCATCATATTTATATGAATTAGGTTAACAGTTTAGTTGCCAGGAATAATAAATTGAAATTAATAACACTTATATAAAGAAATAAATAAAAGCACTCAGAATAGTAATGTTGCATGGATGCAAAAGCAACTAGGGTAACTATGTCCGCATCAGTGAACCATTAGCAATTCCTAGGGTTGCACCTCCTTTCCAAACAAGTGTCCATTGGAAAACGAAACCACATCAGGTCTCCACATGAGTGCCCATAGTATAGATCCCTGCACCCAAATCCACCAGCAAGAATCCATTAAACACCCACAACTTCAACATGTAGTGATTTAGAGAATATAGACCTTAAGAATCTTCAGCCTTTGAAATTCTTTATGTTCCAATCATCTCTCCGATCTCTCAAACATCATTTTTGGTCTTTGCTGGGAAAATCTTGTCACTGTAAGCAATTCTACTTCAAAAAGGCTACTCCAGTCCATGAACATAAAATTTCTTGAACTTAAATGACTGGCGAGCTCTCAAGGTAGAGTTGCCGGACCAGCACAAATCTTGACCAGACTACATACATGAAAACACTCTAAAATTAGTACAAGCAACTTCCTATCAAAATGCGAGTTCCTCATTTCCCACACATTTCAGTTGTCTATCACATTTTTTTCTTCTTTCAAGTCTAAGGAATGAAAATTAATTATTATTAAAACAGCCAAAAGTTGCCAAACAATCACAAATGCACTGTATTGAGAACACTTATTTTTTTACTAATCACAAATGCAATGCATTAAGAACACTTATTTTTTACTTGCATTATTATGCTCTGAATCAGTCTTATTCTTTGTTAACACTTCAACAAGGAAGAAGTATTGCAACTTCTCACTACGCCTTAAACTCTTAAGCATGATATTTAACTTGTGTACTTTTCAAACTAAGTGTGTTGAGTTCAAATTTCAGAACTCCAAAATGGAATTAGCAAAAAATAGTCGGAAAAATTCTGCAAAACACACTTCTCATTAATTGCCAGCAAAATATGTCATAATTATGCACAGCAACTGTTGGAAAAGGGTGGGAAAAAAATTGAATGGTCTAAAGTGACAAAATTGCCAACTCTATTTAAGCCAAAAAAATTGTATGCAGTTTAAAAAAATGAAAGGAAGACACAAATCCTAATGACTGTAAAGTTACTGCAAATACAAGCAGGATACTTTCATGAAGAGTGAAATTGCGCCCATCAGGAACCATCAGAGTTCTCTTGAAGAAATAAGGCAAGAATTCACCTTAGATCTTTCACAGAATAAAGAATTCACCTTAAAACATAAAAAACTTAATAATATATGATATAGAAACTTTTTCACTAGAAACAAATAAATGAAAAACAAGAAACTTGTTATTATACACAACTCAAACATAAATGACATAATGAATGGTAAAGCAAGCACAAGGACTGACTCTGGAAACACTAGTTACACTAGAGCGGGCCCTTGTTATCTAATTTCATCTCTGTGTCCCTTTTCCTTAGTTTTCATGCCCACCAGAGAGACAGGCCTATTTCAAAGAAATTAACCGGTTTGTTAATAAGTGCTGAGTCGGGAAACACCTATATGTGACAGCTAATGACCCAACATTTCGCATAACATACATATTATAACGGAAGTCACTTTAGTTTTCAGAGAACAATCATAGTATTAACACCACACTAACAGAACATACAACATCAAAGCCACCGATTGGATTAACAAGCAAACTAACCTGGACAAGACCACGTACACCTCCAACAAAAAAACGATTATACTTCTGAACCTGTTCCATCACCTTTGTAACTTCCTCCTCTTGCTGATTAAGTAATGACGCCTCTGGTGTCAATTTGGTAACCCTTGAACAACACATTGGACATCTGCAAGCCGTAGAAACCCCACGAAACTTCCAGTACTGCAAAATGCAACCCCCTAACAAAACAGAACCCACATTTTTAGCGCAAATTACACCCAAAACTCTCATTTCACAATAAAAGGAAAAAAAATCAGCATGACTAGCTTCAGATAAGAAATTCCTCATTTACCCTAACAAAATCAAATAAAACGTAAAATCGTTGCCATTTTAACATGAAAACATGATCAATTAGAGTTAAAGCCTAACAGAATAAAACAACAAAGAGAGAAAAGAACCGCAAAACCAGTGACCGCAATTAGCTCTGCAATGGATAGAGAAGGTGCCAGAGCAAATAGAACAGCAATCATCAATGCGATCCAAATAGCTACGAATACTCAAAATCACCGCCTTTTTCTCTGCTCCTTCTCCTCCTTCTTCAATCTCATTTTCGTTTCGGTGAGTTTCTCGCGCGTCTTCTCGTTACGACACTCATTTCGCATTCTCTGATCTTTTTAGTTCTTTTTTATCTCTTTCAGAAATTAGCAGGGAGCGTTTCAGAAGTTTTTCCATTTTGGATAAACAAACTACTCCTCCATTAATACATAGCTACCGTAGATTTAGAAATATTCCATATTTGACCCCATAACTTAACATTTTCTAACATTAAGTTTATAAAATTTTAAACGTTTCAGTATTACCCTTGATCACGTGACTATTCAAAGATAAGGAAATCTAACTGGGAGACCAATTTTATTTTGTTTATTTTTTTCATTTGAAGCTTTTAGAAATAGATTGGCAAAGCAAGACCTGTTTTATTCTTTGTAATATTTTTAATATATTTATGTATAATAAAAATATTTAATTAATATAATAAGATAACTTAATAGTGTGTGTGGTGTGTAAGAACAAACCTAAAAAGAACTTAATAATAATCCAAGTCGAGTTTGGATTAGGGAGCGAGGCCTGAGATACAAATCATTGAAGTAAATCGATTATTGTTTAAACAGGATTAGACAATTTATTTATCAAATCATCAAATGATTATTTCACAAACATGGGAGTTTAGGAGAAAAAGATGAGAGAAACTTCGAACAAAAAAGTAAAAGCAAAGATGAAAAGAAATCAAAACATTGGCTTCCATTGATGATTTGATGGCTATAGATCGCATTAATTTTTTATAGAAGCTGGAGTCAAACATCGGAAAATTTACATAAAACAAAAATCTAGTAGTTTGCAAGAAGAATGGGCCTGCGGTCTTTTAATGCTGTATTTGGCTTGATAAACCTGTAGTGGTCCTTAAAACTGCCATTGAAACCAATAAAGATGCCGGGTTTCCGCATGATTCTGCGACACTGAATTCATTTGGATCCCCAACTTGCGCGGTCGGAATTACTCGAGCATCTCATGTTACCATGGTCTTCAGCAGGCTAGAGCCGTTTAATTTCTGATTTTAATTTTCGAATAGAAGAGGATACCCAGAAATTCCAATCTTTCACTTGCAATTTGCATTAACACAGAACTCCGGGCAGAAACAAATGACCCAATGCTTGAAACCACGATTAATGAAATTAGAGAGGGTTCTTTAATTTCAAGCAATTCATAAGATCTATGTAAATATATATTAATTAAGGTTTTTCTGGGAAAAAGCACGGGGCAATTTAAATGAACATGACAAAAATAAACAAAGCCAATAACCCCCAAATACTTACAATACTGACTACTTATCATATATGCTATATACAAAGATAACAGCCCGGACGAAACTACTTTAGACTATACCGGTGTCACAAGACTGGTGTGTAAATTAATTTTTACCCACTTTTACTCCATTCTCCCATACATGTGTTGTTAATGGCATCATTCTGAAAGATACACAGTTTCAAGAGTTATCTCCATTTATTTACAACATGCTATGCTAATGCGTGTGTACATTGTAGCTTATTGACCTAAAGGGGCAGCAGCCAAATCTCTGACACGCTGGTTGAGTCGTCGTCTGTGAAATATACCTACTATACGTAGGGTGAAAGCGAGAAACATAGAAATATACTCAAACAGTCTCACAACTCCAACGCGTCCTGTAGAACAATATCTATGTCAAAAGAGTGATTCTGTTGTTTGTGAACATAGTATGGTACTTGTGGTCTCTAGAAAGGAAAGGCAAGCATCGAAGCCACAAGTACAAGAACTAGGTAACTAAAAACCAATAGCTTTTTTAACGAACAAATTTTTTTTCCTCTTCTAAGGAGTAAGGACCCATTATAAGCATAACTTTGAATCATAATTTTGGACCAGTCAGTTAGGTGTTGCATATTTTACAAAAACAAATTCAATTTATATACAAAAAATGGAGCAAAATCATCTAGCATGCTAATATTTCTATATGAAAGCCTATGGGAAAGTAGGACCTATTAATTTTTGCATTTGTCCATTTTCACAGACAACTTTTATGCAAAGAAAATGTACACTAATAATTGTGGTGTAAACAATAATGCTTCCCAAGAAGCAACTTACCTAACGGAATGAAGTCAAAGGGTGAGGATATATAGAGGATGGCCAATAAAATCTGCAAAAATAAGAAAATATGGATTACCAGAAGGAAAAAGCTGAAACCAATCAAAATGTGTATAAAGAATACTTTTGTTCTTGGAAATCAAGCATCCCTTAAGTGACCACGACTAAACAATTGGTTCAACTTCAACTTCAACATATAAATAAAGTTCTAAGGAATCTTGAGCCTTCATGGTTGCAAAATAAGACATGGTTGCATTTTTTATCTTCCATAGATTCCTTAAATTTCCAGTCATGTCTCAATTCTCTCAACAGTCAGTTTTGGTCTTTCTTTTCATCTTCATATGTACTAACCAGTAATGCAACTGGCCAAGATCCCATGAAAAAGTTGTTGTCATAAGCAATAAATAGCACACTGTAAGAGCCAAAAGCTGTTGAACAATCAGAAAGGCACAGCACTGAGCACCCTCCATTACCACAAGCATTATTACGCCACTTAACTTATTAAGAGCCTCACTCAGTTTTACTCTTTTATAACGCTTCAACAAGAAAAAAAAAAAAAACTCACTACTTTTCACTAATGTCTTCACTCTTAAGCATGATGATGGTCTAACTTGTTTAATACCCAAACTTGGTGTGATGATTTCAAATTCCAGAAATCCATAAAGGAAGTTAGCAGAATATTAGCAAGAATAGTCAGGAAGATTCGGCAGAACACAATCTTAGTGTGTTGTTGACAAAAGATGTCAAATTTCATGCACCACAATGGCTGGAAAAGGGTAGCAAAAATTAGTAGTGTGTAAAGTTAACAAAATTGCCAACTCTGTTTATGGAAAAAAACAGTGTGCAGTTTAAAATTAAAACAGAAAGGAAGATACAAATCTCAATGGCTGTAGAATGAACTTACTGCAAACATGCGCATGAGCCTTTCATAAAGAAAGAAATTGCGTCCATCAGGATCCATCATTTCTTCAAGCATTCTCTTAAAGAGAAACGGCACCACTTGCACTTTCTGCAAAAAGAATTCATCTCGGATCTCTCAGAGGAAGATAGAAAAAATGTTTCAAATTTAATTACGTAGATGATACAATGAATTTCTCCAGAAACATATAAAAGGAAGAGGAGCAATAATGTAACTATACATAATTCAACATGGATGACACAACAAAATGGCCAAGTAATAAAGGATTTACGCAGTTAACATTACCACAGGCCATTGTTTTCTAATTTCATCTCTATGAGTTTTCCATGTCAGCCAGATAGAGAGAGGATCCATTTCAATGAAGTTGGCATAGAATACAAAAAAACACCTTCACGCATAACAAGCTCAAATTACTTCATGAAGGAATTTTATTCAAGAAAAGGTTGAAGTAGGAACAACAAAGGTTGACAAAACAAATGTATACGTAGAACATATAAACAGACAACAATCCAGCATCTCAAATAACAAAAGTAATAGAATGGCAGCAGCTACCCAATCCACAACAAACCTGAACTATGAATGAACCAGGATTCTCACAAAAAAATCAATCAAGGTATTGCCATCATGTTTAACTAGGTATCCAACAACTAACATACAACACAACATTAAAATCCCCAACTCACCCGAACAAGACCTCGCACACCTCCAACAAAAATGCAGTTATACCTCCGAACATCTTCCAGGACCTTGGTAACTTCCTGCTCTTGCTGATCATGTAAGGATGCCTCCGGTGTCAAATTGCTGATTCTTGACGAACACATTGGACACTTGCAACCCCTAGTCGGTCCAGAATACTTCCAGTACTGAAGAATGCAACTCCCTAACCAAGACAAAACCAAGAAATTTAGCACAACGACGCCCAAAAACATCATTACTTAGAACTAAATGCCGATTCAATAACTTATTTTTCCTTTCATTTCTTCGAAATCTCTCTCGTAATCCGCGAAACGCGAGTAACAATTTGGTTAATGTAGAATTAAAAGCCATAAAGAAAACTTCCGAATTAATTAATTTGAAACCCTAACAACATGATCCAAGAAAATCAAAAGAAAGAGAGAAATACCGCAAAACCAGTGACCGCAATTAGCTTTGCAAGGAACATCAAAGGTGCCGAAGCAAATAGGGCAGCAATCATCATGCGGAGGACCGTCCCGATCCATATAGCTAGGGTTTTTCAAAACCACCGCCACTTTCTCTGCTTCTTCTTCTTCTTCTGCCGTTTGTCCAATCGCATTGTTGTCGTTTTGGTGAGTTTGTTGTTGATCAGGAGAATTGACGGGTGTTGCGTTTTGCGCACTCATGCTTCTTGATGCTGCAGGTGCAGGCATTTTATTTTGTTTTCATTCTAATCTTTGTTTGTTTAAAAAGGGAAGTCGGTCGGTCCTTAAGATTTGTTCTTGTCGCTTTCTTCTCTCTCTCCCCCGCTTCTCCGAGAAATTACCAGGAAGCTCAAATGCGTGTTCCCGGGTTATTAGCTTGGCCAGCTGGTATGGTTTTGTAATCAAAGCTTAGCCAGGACTTTTAACAGGCTTTGGCCCATTTAGGCCCAATCCAGTTATTTTAACGGTTAATATCTCAATTTATCATTATGTAATAATGTAATTTTTCAATCAGTCGAGGTGCTTTTATCTTTAAATATATATTAATTTTTTAATCTATTTTTTAATATTTTCAAGTTAAATTATCAAGATTATTCATGTAATTTGTACATAATTATTTTTTATTTTCAAAACGTCATTTCAAATTAGTTAAATAGAAAATTTTCATATACAAATCGTACAACTAATTTTGATAATTTAGTTTAAAAATATTTTTCAAAAAATAGATTAGATACTTAATTTATATTCAAAGATAAAATTAATTTTATTAAAAATATAAAAATATATTAAAGAATTATCACATTAAATAAAGACATTTTGAGTCATGAACGTTAATTACTTGTAAAGTTAACATTTATTTTTTTGTTTGAATATTTATTTGATAAGATGGAAAATCTTAAAGGATTGGTCTCATGGTTAAAATTTGTTTATTTGATTTTTTTTTTAAGTTCAAATTCTAGAATCAACACAGTTTTTTTAAAAAAATTAAATGAACCATATTGATGTAGGATGTAGGAAGTGCGTTTAAAAAATCGTTTGGAGAGATACTTAATTTGGATTTATGTATAAATTGTTTTGAAAATATTCTTGTCGTGGAGTTTAGGGAAAAAAAAATTGGATGGAAAAATTGAAATTGAGCAATGTGATTCTTAAAAGTCGTGTCTTCAATTCTTAAGTATTGGTCCAATGACTTGTTGGATTGAGACGAATATGAAAAAATTACAAATGAGATTAATTTGGATTATCATCAATGCAGAACAAATTTGATTGAATAAAAAAGTACGTCCTCCCAAAAAGATGATTCTAAATTGGGAAAGCATAAATTATGATCCCTTTCCTTTAGTAGAAAAGGTAGGAATAAGTTACAGTAAATGAGAGAGGAGTGAGAACAAAGTAAGCAAAACTGTATCTTTTTTTAATGCATCAGTACCATACCAAAGTGACTATATCACAATATTCACCAGCACTGGCTTATTTTATTTAAAACTCACAAATCTCATATTAAAAATATAGAAAAGGAAAAAGGGTAAAAAAAAAAACGAAAGGAGTGGCAATGCATGTAATTCACTGGATTAATGTTAGATTTCCCTGCTTCAGTACCAACGACGAAACATCGGCATGACAATGAACTTCATGGTGCCATTATTACAGTGGAAGCCAGCACCTCCGCCGCAAGCAAAGTAATGAGGCTGCCACTTATTGAGCGCGAACTCGAACCCATCACCACCCCCTTGTGTCTCATTAGCAACCAAAACGGCTCTACTTAGGTCACACTTTATGAAGCTCCATAGGTCTGGTAGCAAGTAGACACTGTGAGGATGAGTGTTTGTGTCACTCGGTGGATCATACTTGAACACTGCAAAAATTAATCATGTTAATACACTGCTACGAGACAACTCAAATTAAATCTATACACGCAAGCACGGGCTGAATGAATATATATATATATATATATATACACGTATAGCATTGTCTTATGCCAAGTGGTTAACTAACCTAAAGTATCATTGTAATAAAATGGGCCATTTTTGCAGACTCCAATCATTGTAATTGACACCAAACGTCCAATTTTGAGATCCACCCACAACGATCTTTCTGGGTGTATCTGTACTGTTTTGGCGACAAGGGCGACGCTTGTAGCTCCCATCAGGGCTGTTGAAACCATATTGCCATTGCCTGTTTGCCATGCTTATTGCCCACATGGAAGCACCAAGCAGAAGGACGAGTGCTTGTGCATGTGTTAGACGAGCCATCTTCCCCAGTCAAGGGCAATAAGTGAAAGATGTGAGTCTTTAGATAGAACTGAAACTTGATTAGAGAAGAAAGATGTGTAGAATTGAACTAGATGGTGTTGTGTACAAGATAAGTTGATAACATCTATATATAGGCGAGGGAAAGAGAAATAGCGTTGAACTGCCAAACTGGCCCCCTTTTTTCTTTTTCTTTTACTGTTTTGAGTAGGTGTAGGATGGAGAAATGTGATGTTTACCAATTTCAATGGCCGCCTTATTGTTCCTCTACTTTTATTGACGAATTAAGTTTTCCACTCATGCTATTAAATAAATTAAACAACGAAAATAGTTTACATTTTGGCTTGTTTGGCGTGGAAAAGTTATTGCCAGGGGAAAAACCAGTTTCTTAGATCCCAGCAGCTGTATGAAAAGCTCGATATTCTTTCTAGTGATGGTTGGCTATAGGAGAAAAGAGGTCAACGAAATGGTATAATCACTTCCAGTGTTTTTCTTTGAGAGTTTGTAGACTTCACCAAACCAAAGCGTGCGCTAAATGGAAGCTGCAAAGGTAATCGATATTGGGGTTTTAACTAAAATAGGTTGACAAAGTATGAATTTCGTCACACAGTCCCCAAATGGTCATACGCTTGCATGATGTAAAGATGATGATTTATGATATTAGCTATAAGAATTTTTATTTTATTTTTTTGTGTGTGTTGTTATGAAATAGTATTTGAAATGAACTAGTTTTTGTACATTAATTAAAATTAGATCTATTTCTCCAATTTAATTGGAGATATATCAGTCATAAATTATAAGAATTTATGATAAAATATCTCATACAACTTATCTTTTTTAATATATGTATATAATATTTACTATATTGTAAACCAATTTACATAACATATACTCATATAATAAGTGTCCACTCACCCAGATCCTTTAATCATAAAAATGCATGCATGAGAGGAGTTAACTTTTTTCTTGGCTACATTCAACTAAAAAAACTTAACTCAATTACTATTAACATCCGATAAATAGAATATAGTTTTATCATCATGGTAATAATAAAAACTCATGGTACAAAAAAAACCGTATCAATAAGAACCAACCTCTTAATTACTTCATCACTTACGCAAACGTTATTTTCGTTGCTGGTTAGTGCGACCTTAACCGCGGGAGGGTGGTGGAGGTGGTGTGTGGATACAGATTCAAATGTCTTGTTTGCCCTCGCAATCTCATCCTCGATTTCCTGTCATACTCTTTGTAAGCCCCGCACCCTCCTCTGAATCCTTTAGTTTTTCTTCAACTATTTTAATCATCATTCGGTGACGCCGAGTTTTTTTTTTAAAAAATACAAGTTTACGATGTCCGTTACCTCATGCAAACGTATTAATGGCATAGAACCACAACCCACTACGAGTTTTGATAAGATCCCGTTCAATTTTCGTCAACCTTTCAGTCAAACCAAAAAGGTATTTACCGTTGCTCGGTTTCCGAGAATTAGGATTTTGTCTTGGTAGACTTTTTTCAAAAGAAAACGAATAGAAACGATACCCTATTTTGTTGGCATGCGTTTAAAGAGAACAAATACATGGTGTCCACGAAATGCATCCCAAATCACCAACCCATTGCACTTTAGAAACGTGTGTTCTTAGTTTAGCCAGCCTTTAATAGAAATACACCGAGTGTTTCATAACCGTTGACTCGGAATCTTAAATTTCAAGGATTTAGTCCAATGACTAAAGAGATTTGTTTTATATATATATATATATAATTTATTTATTTTTTTATCAACATCCAGCATAATTTATTAACTTGCTCTGATGCACTAAATTCATGCAGAATTGTGTCTTTTAGATCATCCTCTTGAAAGAAACTCAACATCACTTGACGCATAGCTAGGCGGATTCGAGGATACTCTAGTTTACACTAATAAAAAGTTAACTCAGTAAGAATAAAATTAGTCCCTCTAATTTAGTGAAACAAATTAATTAGTACTTTGAGTATGAGAAATAATTCAATAGTCCTTATCGTTTCATCTTCTAAACATTTATTTTGCATAATCCAAGAGTTTAAATTTTTAATCATTTAAAGAATCTTAATTCATTCAACTAACAATGATTACTTTTGATTTATTTTTATTAACTCTTGCCAACAATTTTTTTATAAAAATTTTACTATTTTTTTATTTTTTTATCAATAAATATGAGTAAGACTCATTTTTTGCCGCTTGCCAGCCAGTTAAAGAATTCACATGTTAGTGCATCCTAACTAAGTTCGTATTTTTCAATCTCAAGTAATTGTAAAAACTCTAAAAAAAAAAATTAATTAAATTTTGGACACTCAGGCAGAAAATAACAAAAAATTAACTTAAATTGTATTTTTTTAAATAATCAAAGCGAGACTCATTTTTTATTACGTATCAATTAGAGATCATCACGTATAGTTAATTCTGAACACATCAATATTTTTCAATTTCATGTGATTGTGAGCACTTAAAAGAGAAAAAAAAATCAAAACTTAGTGTTTAAATAAAAATATTTGCTTATTTGATATTCAAATAGAAAAAAAAAATTGACATTTGAATTACAGTTTTCTCTTAAGAATTCAACAATACCCCTAAAATTCAAACTTTTGTACCCCAATTTTTTCCAAGTATCTATAATATTGTGACTAATTTTGTTTCTGCATTATCTAAAAACTAAAAAAAGTTAAACTCTTACATTTGTTTTTTTTTCAATACTCTTTTTTTATCTATCATTAGGGTATTTTAGACTCAAAACAAAAGATCTAAATTAATATTTCGTTATTCAATTAAACACAAAAAATTAGGCACAACTACTCAATAAATTTTTTTGCATATGCAAAAACAAAAATCCAAGACCACTTGTATATACTAAGAATTTTTTTTCGCTCTTTGACTGTGATCTAACCTAAACTTTTTTATTCTCGCAGCTTCTTAGTTATTTCAATTCTTTCTTTTAATTGCCTTTTTAGCCATTTGTCCCAACACAAAGCTATATAAAGATATTAGATTTTTGACCTGTGCTACGCTGCGAGGTTAAATAAAAAATATAAAATCATTTAGAAAAATTATTTCGGTTTAATAATTTATTTTATGATAAAAAATAATTATAATTTTTTAATCAAAATTTTTGTATTTAACTATTTCTTATTTGTGTTTTTAAATTTTAAAAATAAATAATAAAGAAAATAAATTATTGGTTTCTTTAAAATTTTAACACTCAATTAATTGTTGGTTCTTTTAAAATTTTAACACCTAATATTATTAAGAAACAAAATTTTTTAAAAAAATTCAATGTTTAGGAAAAAAAAAGGGGGGTTGGAAACCATATACTTGTTCATATGAATAGTAAATAGATGAAAATTTAAAAAAAAAGTTTAGTGTTTAGAAAAAAAGAGGGGATGAGCCGTTTACTTGTTCAAATGGACGAGTAAATGGGGTAAAAAAAAGGGAAAGAAGGCATAGGGTGTTGGCAAAAAAAAATGAAATTTTTTATTAAAAAAAAACCAAAGCACTATAGGAAATTTAAAAAAAAAATCAATTTTTAAAAAGAAAAAGAAGGGAGCCGACTATTTACTTGTTCAAATGAACAATAAACAAAAAAAAAAAAAAAAAAAGAAGAAGACAGAGGGTGCTAGCAAAAAAAAAATGAATTTTTTTTTTAAAAAAAACAAAAGCACTATAGCAATGAACAGTGATTAATTAACATTGTTCATTGCTACAATGAAAAACTTGTTTTCCTTTATTTTATAGCTCACGCTATCTTGCGGGTTGGATAAAATATATAAAATTATTTTTAAAAAATTATTTCATTTTGATATCTCGTGTTATATTGTGCTTTTTATCAAAATATATCAAATCAAAACTAAATAAAAATTCATTCAATTTTATAATTTTCTAATCAAAATTTTATATTTGACTAATTATTTTTTATATTTTCATAAATTTTGTATTAAAAAAAGTTAATTTATTTATCTTTATATTCTTTCTTTTAATTGCCTTTTTAGCCATTTGTCCCAACACAAAGCTCTAGAGAGATATGTGCAGAAATTGATACTTTCCATTATTTTATTTATTGGCTGTTAACATGAAAACTGAAAACTATACATTATGATTGACTGCCTGTTATAGATATTACGATAAGACAAAACTACATATATTTTACTTCCCTTGCTTTAAATTTTAATTGGTCAATTGTCATGTACATGTCAGACCCATAGAGCGTAATGAAACAAGAAAAAGTATATAACAAAATCTTAAACTATTAATTTAATAATAATCACTAAAAAATATAAATAAAGAGTTTTTTTTTTTTTTTTTTTGCGAGTTCTCTACTTTGTTGTTGTTACCTCCGTGAATGGTTTCTCAAATTCTTGATAGACTAAGTAACGAAATATAAAACTATAAGGAGTATTAACTTATTTCTCACATTTAAGAAACTAATTAAATTGAGAGAAGGACTAATAAATTAGTTCTCTTGCTTTGGATGGACTAATTAATTTGTTTCGCTAAACTAAAAGACTAATCTAGAATTAAGTCGTGTTTCTTCGCTTAAATTTTGAGCGCAAAACACACGCCAGCACGTTATTTTCGTTGGCTAATTTAGTATTTAACAGCAGAAGTGGAGGACGTACTAACTCCCACTCAAATCAAGAAAAAGGGCCCATTTGGCTGTTCCACACGCTATTCTCTTTCCCTCTCTCCCTCACTTGTATATAGAAACGCTGTCAACTCATCTTGTACACAACTTAACCTAGCTGTTCTCGTATACCTTTCTTTCCCTAATCAAGTTTTGGCATTACCATCTAAAATTCACATCTTTCTCTAGTTGCACTCGACAGGGAAGAATATGGCTTGTCCAACATATGGACGGGCATTCATTCTCCTACTTAGCACTTCTATGTG